CCACACCCACACCCACACCCACACCCACACCCACACCCACACCCACATCCACACCGCACCCACACCCCACCCAAACCCAAACCTACCCATACTATGCCTTCACTCTCATCCTCATCCACACACACATACCATACACACCCACACCCTTGGAGTTGAAGTGAATTTGATTTTCAAGCTTTTCTCTAACTTCAATTTAACTCCTCCTGATTCGAGTCGTTGTTGGAAAAAAAGAAAACAAGCAGATGCTAGTAGACGCCCATACTTATAATATGTGGCGCAGATCATAGATCTATGAATGTATAATGTTGCGGTAGTGTAGCAAAGAACGAAAAAAAGAGAGAACCATCTTGAGGGTGTGAATGTGGGTGGAAGTATATTCTGTTTATTCACACCTGCTCCTGCTTTGAATCTATCTGAATAAAAACTCAGATTCAAACCCTGATTCACATTCTCACCCTCAGCTACTTGATGATATCTATGATGAAATCAAAATTCGTATCGTGCTAATCTATTCGTTGCTCATCATATGAATAAATTATCTACTTGTCTTACAATTTCGTCAATATTGAAAGAGTTTTTTTCAGTTCTTAGTAGTTTATTAATTTAGTATTATGCAGACTACTAATATCACTCGATGGCATTGTCAACTAAATGAAAATCTGGATAGGAGTAGTCTATTCGTTATTTTCCATGTTTCTTTTCAAGAAGACTATGCATATAAGACAAAGAAAAGGAATACCAGCTACAATAATAATGCCAATAACAAGAAGAGCACCAGTATTAACGTTACCATGACGGGCACCAACAACAGTAAAAGAAATACCAATAGTAAGAAGCAAAGCAAGAATAATACAGCAAAAAAATGATGTCGAAGCGACTTGAGCTTCTTTTAGCGCTTTTGCTTTGGCACCATGCTCTCCTGAAATAAAAATTTCAAATTGCTTTCATTCTTAGTTAAAGAGATACGATTCTGAAATTTTTTCATAGCAAAAGAAAAGTAAAAAGTTACTGAAAATCTGCAGCCATTAATAAGTATAATGATCCTGAATAGAAAATTTTGTAGTTTTAGGAATAGATAACTCGATCAGATATTTATTTGAATTACCAAAAACTTGTCTCACGTTTGAATCTACCTCTATATGTCAGAATTTTCCACCGTCCTGGCAGTTAAACAGCGAGAATAGATATGATGAAAATGTAGCCGACAGTAGCCGCGTGAGTCAGAATTTTATGAGAAGCTTATGCTTATATGCCCAGCAGCGATGGGACCGGTTCAGTTCTGATTCACACCTGTATTCTCTCGAGTTTTGGGAAAGTTTTCAAAAAATTTCAGTTTATCTGACAACACGACCTTTGCAGAATGAATTAGGTTGTATTGTAGAATATCTGATCACATACCGATTCGGATAAAGAATCATATTTGGAAAAACCTCGGTCAACTTATAGAGAACTATTTTTATTCACTCACGTGATTGTTGATTTGCAGTTCTTAATTGAGTGTTTATGTTTCTCAGTTGTGTATTTAATTGTGTGTTCTCACGTTGATATGTAACAGCATTTGCTTGTAACTGTACTGTTTGCTCCTTAAATCTTTGATTGTCCCGCTGCTGTCTAGCTATTTCTATTGCTTGTTGATCTAATTTTATTGTTTGTTGATCTAATTGCGTATGGTTTTGTCTAATCTCATTTTGATGTGCGTCGATCTGAGTAATTTGTTGATCTATTAGTTCTTTAAGATGGTCAACTTCATTTTGTCGTATAGTTAGTTGAGTATTCTGTTGATTTATTTGCTCTCTCAGTTGCTGATTTTCGTTCATAAGTTGCGTGATAACAGGTCTTACTGGTTCAAAGTGACAATGACTTATGTGTCGATTGAGTTGATCTCGATGTCCTGTCCATGGACATCTGATAGTTGAGGCTGGGCAGGAAACAGCTGTTTTCGGACACATTCTTTGAACATGTTCATCAAATTTGCCTCGTTGCAAATCAGCTTGTCCACAAACTTTACACTTCACTCGAAGTTCATCAAGCACATTGCGTAGAACATGTGGAGCCTGTGTAAGTGTGTTGATTGTCAGAGCACTTCGATCGAGAGGACAAGAAGGTTGTTCATTGAGAATCCAACGCGTAATACAGTTGCGACAAAATGTATCATGGCATGGAGTACATCGTGGATCGGTAAAAGGTGAATGACAAATACTACAAATCAAATATGGTGGGATGGACGTTTCGTCCACGTATTCATATTTAGTGTCCATTCTTTTTTATCTTTTCTTTATGTCTATCTAAAACAGAATCGATGATCCTGATCAAACAATACAATGCATTTATAAAACACTGAAAGTCGTCTTGCTCACGCACTTCATCTTTCTTTGTTTTAACAATTCTTTTGACACTCCTGTTTTGATCAGTATACTTCCTACTAGCACGATTCTACTTTGTCATAGTTGATATTTAATAAGAATCCATGAAACGTGGTTATACAATAAACCATCTTTGACTATGCGCATACTTTACTTAGGAATGAAGAGTGCTGTTAAAGAAAACTAAATGATATATATATAGACAGAGAGTAGAACGCCGTCGGTCAAATGACTTTTCGTCGAATAGACGGTTCGTCGAATGTCGAAAGATTTTTCGCCGAATGGACTGTTCTTCGAATGATATTTTGTCGAAAAGTATTTATTCGAAAGTTACTAGAGCAGTAACACTTACTATTTATTCTTTCATAGTCTATATATATAGATTATGGAAGAATAAATAGTAAGTGTTACTATTCTAGTAACTTCCGACTAAATAGTTTTCGACAAAATATTTTTCAGCAAAATATCATTCGACGAACCATCTATTCGACGAAAAGTCGTTCGACCAACGGCTACTTCCCCTATATATATAATTTATTATATATACACTATATAACAAAAAATATAAAGGTATTTGCCAGCGAATTTTCTTATCATTATTGTTCTAGAAGAGATAGATAAGAACAAGAAAAGCAAACGACGTGATACATAATATATATGATGAAATTTGATACACAATTTAAATTTCCAACTACTGATAAGATTAATCATGACATAGCAAACCATCATATTTAACTTCATATAGCATAGAAGCTGAGTTAACAGTCCAACCGAGGATTATTTGATTTCGGTGCCGGTTAGAGTGTGAGTGTGGGTGGGTAGAAGATAATTACATTATCCACCGTCTACACCTTCATTCACACCCTCACCCACACTCAGGGGTGACGCGACTGGAGCGTGGGTGTGGATGAGAGTAAGTAGGTATTCTGTTTTATTTACCCATACCCACCCGACTATCGAAAATAATTCCATACGTCTTACTGCATATTCTTTTTCATCTCTAGTTTACCAACAGCAACGAAAAGAATTGCACGGAGATCTTGTGTAATTTGTAGTCACACAACCAGACGCGAGAAAAGGCGTACCGATACACATTATCAGCGTGATGTGTTATTTTGGAACACAAAGGCGAAAACTCATCTTAAAAAAACCGTAATCAAAGGATTAAATCTTATTAAAAACATTCAGAATAGTGTAAAGAAGGTCAAACAAAGTCAGCTCGAAATCTGGAGTTTACGACTTTGTGGTATTTCAACAAATTCCAAAGTTTAACTACATGTTTTTTTTTTGAATAATATCGGTCGATTCAGAGTAACCAAAAGTATTTATATGAGCAATCAGAAACAGACAGTTCAAGTTCTGAGCCGAGATTTTCGTTGAAAACTAGATATCTGTAAACTCTAAATTTCGAGCTCACTTTTTTTGACCTGTAAAGAAGTCACAATTAATTTTGATCGTATCAAAAAATCTCTTCAAATAACATCTATCTAATTTCGTTGAAGTAAATAGATTATTTAATATATTTTATGACAAAATGAATACAACATTGTTCAATGATAGTTAATTGAAGAGTGTGATATTTAAACTCTCGTTATAAAGAATATTTGTTTATTGATAAATGATAATATATTTTCTATATATCATCGTGTTGAAGAACAACTTTTGCGTCTATTAAATGATAGTTGTATTGTAAAATACACAAAAAGCTTCACGTATTCTTTTTCATCAATTGTGAAATGAACCATAACGAAAGAGAAAAGATATGTCTCATATTCATATACATTTGATCATTTTTATCTTCATAGTTATATATCAATATTAATAAATAACCCCCATGGAAAACGATAGTACTAATCTGAATAATGCTGTTTTCAGTGGTTTTGCGGGTGGATATGATTCAGGTAATACTTCGTAAATTTATTTTTGATTTTCAAAATAATAATAATAAAAAGTATCTTTTTTTTATTAAGTTCCTGGTGTAGGAAATTTTCCTCCAGCAGGTATTCCTTTGCCGAATATTGACTCAAATGGTAATTACCGAATAGGAGCCAATTTACCTCATGTTGATCCGACTCATTTTCGAGGTATAGTTCATTGGGGTCCCGAGCAAATTTTGTCAAGCTCACAAGTCGAAATAATTCCAATCGTTCAATCAGTAAAAGATCAAACTGGTTCTCGTTAAATAAACTTCATTGTAAAGAAACGAACTATATTTTACTTTCAGAAATAAATTCATCTTTATTCACATTAATATCATCATTGAAAAGTGTGTGTGTGTGTTGCATCCCGTATAGGATTACGAAAATTAATGAATTTACACTAGTGTATCAAGTAATTGTGTCAATAGATACACCGTCCTTACATGATATTAACCTTGTTTGATATCCTTCGTATGAAAGAATCCCCATTATTTGTATTATCTATGTGTGTCCTTATCCTTCTCTTTTCTTTCTCTTTCTTATTCTTCTATATGATGCATCGCATTGTGTGATATGAACACAGCAAAATTTAAATGATTTATTGGAATTATGAGGGAATACAAAATAAGGAAAAAAAATGTTCAATAGGAAACTAACTATAAGTAAATAAAACGGAGAGAATAAGTGTCATCAAATATGTTGAACAGGAGTCATTGATTTAATTGTTTCTGTTACATTAAGTGTAGTAACACTAACAGCAGATGGAACTCGTGTCGTTTCTGTTGGCAATGCAGGATTGCTGATTGGTGTTGATTGTAATCCTGATGTTTCAGGTGAAGTTAATGAATCATTTTCTGGACCATTTGATCTATTGTTCATTTCAGTATCATTTATTAAACGACGATGTTTAAATCGTTTATTGAATTTATAAGAAGCATAGATTACAGCAAGTATGACACCTAATCCAGCGGCAAGACCAACAGTAAGTCCAACAATTAAGCCTGTTTTTGATGTCGAACTTCCACTAGATGGAATAATAAATGACTGACTATTAATAACAAGTTCTGTCGTCACTAGATCTGATATAGGTTGATTATTAGATTGCGCTTGTTGTACAGCATAGGATGCATTCTCTGGTACTGAATCAACGACAAATGATGACATAACACTTCCTAATGAGTTAAAAAATAAATTATTTTATTTTTGAATACAATATTCAATTTACCTTTGTAAATAGTTGAATCACTAATAATAGGTAATCGAATACTAATTAAATAATTATAAATAATTGCTCGTTTTATTTCTAACATTCCAGTTGAATTTAACATATCAAAATCACCAGTAAATCGAATATATGATACAGGAGTACCTACATCTACTATAAGTATACCTGAAAAAATAAATTTTAAAAGAAAAATGTTACAAAATCTTTTATTATTTACTGTTGATTTGTTTAACTAAAATTCCACTTGTTGTAATTTCAAATGAATATTCTCCATTCGCTGATGTTACAATAATATTCAATATATACATTCCAGTTTGATTAATAGCTAAATTTGTTCCTGTTATTATTCCTGTATTTGTATCAATAATTATCATTGATGATGAACTTTTAATTAATGAACCTTGAGGATTATATTCCGATAATTCATAAAGTGAAATACTTGCAGACCAAATTAAATTTCTCCATGTTATATTACTAATTGGATAAAGAGAAATCCTATCAACAATAACAACTGATATATTGAATGTTTCATTAATTGATACAACAGATATTGGATTTATTTGTGTTCCTGATAATGTTGCACGAGTCACTGATACAGATGGTGAATTTATTATTAAACTACTTGTTGTTACAAATGAACTGAAAATAAAAGAATTTTTATTATGAATATTGAAATTGAATTCGTCTTGAAAATACCTGCTAAGACCATTTGATAAAACGAAAGAAAATTGAACTTGATAAGTTCCCATATATGGAAACGCAAATGATGTAAATTGTGTATGACCATTTGAATAATTGGCAATAGCACCAATAAGAACCATATTTGGTTGTCCAATAATAGTTGCTTGGATTTGCCATGGTTGATCAATCGAACCTAATTTATTAATTATGTTACCCGATGAATCATATGCAACTAATACTGGTTGAATATCACAAGGACTTTGCTCACGACATAATGTTGGAGGTGTAATGAGTGCAATTCGATCAATAGTACTTAATGGAACTGATGATTCATTTAATGGTTCTTGAACATTTAAACCTGTTGGTACAACACTTCCTAATGATGGATAATTTAACCATGATGTTTGTAAATCATTTGATTGATAACGACTTATAATTGATGCTGTTATATTTGATAAAGCTTCAGTTTGATTCGATGTATCCATATTAATATTAGTTGCTGGCTCAAAACGTAATTCAATACGTAATACAACTGAACTTATTTGTCGACGATATACACGACTAAAATAGAACAAATCAATGATTTACTTTATAAAATAATAATAACAATTCATTTACGTGTTATTATTAGCTGAAACAATATTAACACTTCGAATCATATCTGAACTAACGCCAAGAAGTGCAGCTAAATTTGCGACAAGATTTGACGAATAAAATGTTGAAACTGATACAGCTGGAAGATTAAAACTAAGAACAAGTAATTGAGATATCTTAAGATCAATAACAGTAACACCATCAATTATAAATGATGCCATTTGAGTTGTTCTTTATAATAGAAATGAAAATAATATATATTTTAAGAATATTTATTTATGAAAAAATACCTATTAAAATAATTAGAACCAGCTGGTAATGAATAAGATAGAGTAGTTGGTTGATCAGTTAACATTAAAGTATTTTGATAGGATGGATTACGATTTGCTGGATAAACATAAATTCCATTTGCATAAACATCAATTTGTTGTATTGAATTATAATACAGAGCTATTGAATTAACAATAGTTGCATCACTATTTAATATTCTAAAACGTATTTGATTTGGTGGTGTACTTGATAAATAAATATTATATTGATGTTGACTTTCAATTAATGACATAAATGTTGATATTCGTTTTTGGCATGTATATCCATCACACCAACCATGATCTTGTGGACCATTTAATAAATCAATATAACCATTATCAGACATAACTGCAATTGGAGACAGTCGTCGAGTTTCAGTATCAGAATCCATACTTTCAATAATTAGCATTCGATATTGTGGGCGATTTCGACATAAATACATTTGCCATGATGATTGATAAACACATGTCGAATCAAGACTAATACCACGATAAGGATAAGTTGTATTTATATTTATCATTTGACCATTTGAATTACTTAATGCAGCTTCTGGAATACGATAATCTCCAACGCCATGAGCTTGATCACCTAAATTTAAAATAATAGTAATAATAAGAAATTTATTAAAACTAATATGTTACTAACCCCAATCATAACCTGCTTGAGATATTATACTTGACGGTTGACCAACAAGTGTACCATCTGTATCAATAAGTAAATTCTTTTTGAGACCATCACAATCCATATCTTTTATTTAATTAAATAAAAAAAAATATTCGTTTGTTTTTTTTTTCAAAAGAAAAATTAATTCTATATTACCAACACAATCACTTGGATCAACAACATCAAGATTTGGTCGACCATTAAATATAATATTTCCTTGTGAAACATTATAAAGTGACATTAAACTGGTTACAACAGGAAATTGTCCATCATCATCATGTTGAGCTACTTGAATAGCAATATCTCGACGAGAACATATATCATTAAAATGTGTAAATGTTACATTAATTATTTTCATTATACCATTTACTAAAAGAAATATATATATTTATATTAATTATATTATATATATATATAATTATTCTTACTGCATGGATAAGCATCAATATTTGTCCATGGATGTCGTGGCATCATATTATCACCACCAGATATAAATGGAAAGACAATACCCGATCTTCCGCCAGGATCCGTATCAGTTGATGTTGCTGATACTGATGGAATAGCTGTTGCCGCATAAATAACATTATTTGATGTTGTATCAAGAACATCATCACAATCATCGGGAGTTATACTTCCAATAACTAATGAATTTTGAATAACTATTGAATTATTTCCTGGCATATGTGTCAATGCTATTTTGAAGATAAATTTATTAAAATAAAGATTTTATTTAATTATTATTTAAAACCTACGTGAAGGTCCAATAACAAATGTTAATATACCAACACTTCCATCAACAACTGTACATGAATCAACAATTATATTTCGATCTGTATTGATATAGAGACCATAATACCATGATTTATATGTTCTATTAAATAAAAGAAAAAAATACATATATTCTTCTAAAAATTAAAACTACCACTCACGTAAATCCACTGAATAGGACACATTCTAAAAATAATTTTAATTCATATATTTATGAATAGAATAAGATCCAATGAAATTACCTGTATCATAACCAAAACCTGGATCAGTCGGCCAAATCGCTACACCCGCCATAGCACAATGAACTTCGTTATTTGCATAATGATTCGTAATATTTGATGACACAGTTGTATTTGGGCAAGCATCTCCTTGAACACGATAACCTATACGTTCAACACCAGCGACAAAATTATTCTATAAATAATTTTAATAAAATAATTTCGTATATAAATAGAAATTTACCGTCATAACAACGCTAATACCATCGCGAGACATAATTGCTCCATCATAATTGATATCAAGTGAAGCAGTACTAGGTTCTGCTGTACCTGACCAATAGACAGTGACAACAAGATTTCCATCAATAATAGTATTTTGTCCCGCAGTAACAATACCAGATTGATATGTATTATAAACAACATTATTAGTAATTGGCACGCCAGAGGTATTCCAAATACCAATTCTATACAAGTATAAGAAAATATTTCTTTTTTGTCAAAAAATTCAATGAATAGAATTATTACGCTGAATAAGATCCTCCGTCGAATGAACATGAATCAACATAAGTTGGCCGAGAAGCATTCCAATCACCTAAATCATACATATGAATACCTTCTCGTTTATCTTCATCTGGTGCATCAACAAATTGTCCATAGCCAATAAAGTGTGTATCCGAAATTCTTGCAAAACCTTTGTAATATGTATAAAGATATTCAGAACTAGATGGATTCCAAATATTAGTTGCATAATCACTAATATATATTCGAAAACCAAATAACTCTGAAGCTGGACTACGATTAATAACTCGAACATTTCGTGTTAATAAACCAACTGCACCAGCAATATGAACTATTCGACCATTTGGATAAACTTCATTAATAACGATATGTGTATAATTAAGAGCAAGAACTGTAGTTATAACTAATTGATTTGAACTAATTGTTTCAATTGTATGTCGTTCAGTATGTGATAAACTATTATCAGTTGTTGTTAGTATAATTTCATCACCAACATTCCAATCAACTGGTTCACTTAAAACAATTGTATTTTGATTCGATAATGCTGTTGCACCAAGTCTTGTCCAAGAAACATTTCGAGGTAAACCATGAAGATCAAGACCACCCAAAACACCAATTACTTTTGGTCCAATTGATCCACCATCGTTTGGTAAAAGAACATTAACTGATGCATCACCTTGTATTACAATATCAACATTCGATGTCAATGGATCATTAGGCCAACCTATTCATTGAAATGTTTATTCTATAAAATGTAATATTTTTATATGTCTTACCAACAATCAATTGACCACCATTTATTAGAATACTATTCACATTTAATATATTATTCATACCCTAAATATATGAATCATTTATCAAAAAGAAAACGAAAAAAAAAGAAAAATATTTACTTGTTCAAATTCTAAAACTCCATCAATACGTAAGGAAAGAATTGTTGGTAATGGATAATCAACAACAAGCCAAATATCACTTGGAATATAAATATCTGTACCATTACCAGGTTTAATACTTCCTTTTTAAGTGACAAAAAAAAAGTCAAATTACTTTTTAATGAATAAAATAATATTTTTGTTTACCGTATCCTCCATAACCTTGAGTTGCAAATGACCAATCCGAATCATTTGACCAATATAATGCAGTACTTGGTCGAGCTGTTGCTGGAAGAGTAAGACCAGGTGAGATTGGATATACACAATTGGGATAACGACATTTTATTGCGCTTAAATATAATGATACATCAGTTTGCAATACATTTGTTGAAGGATTTTTAACTAAAATAATATTATTTATTAAATAAATAAAAAAAATATTTATTAAAATTATTTTTTACCGATATATGAAAATAAGGATGTATCATTATCATAATACCAATCACCATTATTACTTGTTAAACCTGATAATGGCGTTGAAGATTGTGTTACCATTGATGAACTCGATATTGTATTAACTTGATCAGGCATATAATCCATTTTCTGTTGAATTATTAAATAATCACCAGGAGATAAACTATAAACAACACCAGTATAGGATAAGTTTGTTGTGCTCTATTTGGAAAAGAAAAATATCATTATTTTAATAATTCGAAAAAAACAAACAAAATAATTTACATTTTCATTTTCAAATTCAAATGTATAGGTTTGTTTAGATTGTAATACCATCATATAACCATTTGGATGAGTCAATCGTTTCTGAAGGGATGGAACATTAGTTACATGATTCGATGAATCATATATAAATAATGTTTCACCATTTTGATCAAGATTGGCTTGATTGAATGAAAATCGTAGAAAATTTCCTAATGATCCTGGACATGTTATTGAATTAACAAAATGTGGTGTTGGTGTACAAGCATTTGATGTATTCCAAAGACCATCAGGTGGCATTATTGTTGCTCCAGGAATATTTCCTAATGTACCATCTTCATCCTGATATATACCATCATATGACCATCGAAATTGACCACGATTTAGTACATTAATAAAATTTAATTGAGAAAATTTTGTTAACCAACCTCCACATCCTACTACACAACGACCTTCAATAATTGGACCACGAATAGCTTGAGTATCGGGATCTGGAAAATTAATAAATGTTACATTTTGTACTCGTAGACCACGATCCCACATAACAATAAGTCCACCATCTGATGGTACAATACTACTTGATGATGTTCCAGAATCACCAACAATTAAAGAATTTATTACTGATGAACCAGCACTTATATTATAGAATGTTGCCTGAAGATTAGGTAAATTTGTTGCTTGATCATTAATAGCACTAACACATGAAAGACCAGCTTCAACATTATCAAAAGCAATAGCACCTTTTATTTGAATTGTACTTGACATAACCCATTCGAAGCCTCGAGCATTTCCCCATGTTGTTACTTTTTCAAAAACTGCTTGATAAGGAGCATCATTTGAACAACTACCAGCAACTGTTGGACTGTATTCAGGAAATATCCAAACACCAATTCGACCAACACTATGAACACTATTATTATAAAAACGACCAAATGGTTGTCGAAAAGGACAAAAATCCGGAAATGTAGAAAATGATGGTCCATCAGGTGTTTCAAGCATACGATACCAGTAACCAAAATGAGTACCACCAGCAGCAGCATTATTTATAACTATATTATTTGGATTTGTTACCCAAATAGCAGCAGGTGTGACATCTTCATTTAATAGACTTGAACTTGTTTGAACAAACACAGCTAAATTTCCATCAAAAATATTTCCTATTTCCACGCCGTCTTCAAGAAACATTGCTCCACCCCTAAAATGTAAAAAAAAAAATAAAGAAGAATAAAATGCGATAGAATTTATACATAATATCGTAAACAACATTATTTTGAATAGTTAAATAATTCGAAGCATGAATATTAATTGCACGATTAAATGTTTGATGAATTGCTGAACTTTTAACGTAAGATAAACTCATATTTCCATTCATATGAAAATGTACTGGATATCGACCAAGACGAAATGCTTGACCAGCATTAAATACCTTTAAAATAAATTTTTTATTAAATAAAAATTCAATTATATTTTATTTTACTTCAATATTTGATAAACGAAGAATAGCTGGTTGATCTCCAGTTGAACTACTATTACTTGCACTAGCCATTATTGTTGCACCAAATTGATCTGAACCTATTTCTTCTCCATATCGACCAAGAAAACATGTCATCGTAGCAAATTCTCCTGGATCAAATCCATCAGGACATGCTGGAATTGTTTGATCCCATGTTTGCTCAACTGAACCTTGGAATAAAATATTATGCGAAAGAAGACCAACTTCAGCACGAATATCAACTGTTGTTGTTCCAACAGTTTTTGTTATACCCAAATGTGTATAATTTAATGGAGAATCTAATGTTAATGTTAAACGATTTGATGATATGCCAACTATTGTTCGTACTTCACTTTCACCTTGACTTTCATAATTACCAGTTGTTGCGATAACAATACTATCATTAATTCCCCAATTAACAGGAATTTGTAAACTAATTTGTGATGATCCCATTGTTGCTGTTGATGATAAACGTGTCCAAGTTTGACCAACATCTTTTCCATGCATATCTACTATTCCATCACGTAATGCCAATACTTTAGCTCCATCTATGAATTAAATATATTTTAATAATATAAATTAAAATTAAGAAAAAAACATACATATCGGTAATTCAATGGATCTTAATTGACCATACATAGTTATAATAGCATTATGTTGAAATGGATTAGATTCTGTACCAACTTGAAAATGACCTCCATTAACAACTAATATATATTTAACATTTAAAGCAACATCTTGATTATCATCAAATATTAATGATGCATTATCAATAATAATTGCTGTTATTATTGGAGTTATTGTATCAAAATAAACTGTTTTTCCATTATCAATTACTACAATAGTACCAGCTTCAGGTGGAGCTTCTCCACCCCATGTCCATGAACTTGACCAAAGATCGATATATTGAAATTGTGCTGAACTTATGGCATTACCCGCATTAGTAACACTAACAATAACAGTCGCCTCAACTGTTGTTTGAGCATAACTTCCAGTGAAGCAAGTGATAGTAGTTGAACTAATTGTTTGTACTGAACAACTAACACCTGCAATACTTACTGATACATCATTTATTGAATTTCTATTAAATATAGAATTTTATTTATTTTAATCAAACAAATATGAAATCGAAACTTACGGAAAATTCGTTCCAGTAATAGTCAATGTTGTTCCACCACCTGTTCCACCTCGAGTTGGACTAACAGATATTACTGTTGATGTGAGACTATTCTGATAAGTAAATACACTATTTTGTGATAAACCATTCACTGTTACTATTAAAGTACACGTTGTATCCGATGATGAAACGGTTGCTGAAGGTGTTTCACATGTTAATATAGTGTTAGATAATACTGTAACAGTTTGACATGGTTGATTACATATTGTCACATCAACAGCGGATCCATTAAATCCATTACCAGTAATTGTTACTAATTGACCGCCACCATAACTACCTTGATTAGGTACCACATTATTTACTGACAGCGAAGAAAGAAATTGAATATTCGAATTTGATGTACCAACTGATGGTATTTGAACAATAACAGATTGATAACCAGCTGGAATTGAACCAACTGTACATGTGATTGATGTAGATGAAATACTATTTATTGTACAAGTTACACCACCTACGAAAACATTTGTTTGACCATTGACAAAATTCGATCCAGTAATAGTTAATACTTGAGATATACTTCCTGATGTTGGACTAATTGATGAAACAATTGGTGTAATGGAAGAACTATAACTAATATATAATGTTGATGGAAAACGAACACTATTCGAAGTAACATTCACAAGAGACGATAATGGATTTGTATTTTGTGCAGGTGCTGTACATACAATTTGAGAAGTACTTATTGATACAATTGTACATGGATTTGAACCAATTTTAACTGAACTAGTATTTGAAAATCCATTACCAAGTATTGTCACCAGAGCACCACCATAAATTCCAATATTTGTTGGTGATTCACTTGTAAGACTTGCTACGGATGTTACAGAAGCCGATGAAATAACATTTCCTACACCTGAAATAGATGCAATAACTGTATAAGTTCCAGCTTCAATACTGTCCACTTGACAAATAATTGTTGAATTGATGATTGATGTAACATTACATATATGATTATTAATAGTTACATAAGTATTTGAAATAGTTGCTGAATTACTAGCTTCTAAATTCTCACCAGTCAATGTTAATGTAGCTGGACCAGTGATAGATGTTGGACTAACAGAATTAATATAAGGTGTTACACTAGATGACCATCGAAATGTGCAACTTATTGGTGAACAAATGACAGTATTAGTACCAACTAAAATAGTAATAGGTATATCTTGATCAAGATAGGCTGGTATTGTTAATGGTAAAGTTGTGAATGTTATTTGAGAATAAGTAATAGAAGCTATACTTGTATATTCTGTATCACCAACAATAACACGTGTATCAGCAGGAACAAAACCATCTCCATATATTGTCACTAGTGTACCTCCAGCAGTTGAACCTAAATTGAAAATGAGTACATGAATAGACTTTATAATTTACTAGAAGTCTACCTTGTGTAGGAGAAATACTATCGATGATTGCTTTAAATTGAAATTGTAAAGCTCCATCATTAATTAAATAACCTTGTTGATCATGAGCTACTTGTATACTTTGATTTGTTTTACCATTTAGTAATGATCCAGTTGCAATTTCACAAATGATCTGTGTAGATGTTGCACTGATAATTGGGCACGTATATGATAAACCAATTTCTACGATATTTTCACATGCTGTTGAGCTAAAACCCGTTCCTATTAGTAATACAAAAATAAAATAAAATAAAATTCACTGGCTTTTATGCTTAAAAATTCAATACCAGTGATCGTAATCGAAGTTCCTGCACTACCGACTAAAGGTGAAATTGATGTAACTGATCCAATGGTGCATGGTGTAAATAGAAATTCAAGTGGAGAACTTGTTGGAACTGTTTGTGAACATGTGGATGGATTGAGAACCGTACTTGAACTACACGATGAAACAGGTATTGAATCTATTATAAATAAGAATGAGAACATATTGCTGAAAGAGTATTTAGAAAATAATTTACTAGTTGGTGTACAATAAAGTCGTTGACCAGTGTAAATAGCCGATGGAGAACACCACAATTGAGTATCATCAATTGTTGTACATGATGTATAATTTGTTCCATTGAAAGTAAATGGAAATACACATGATTGAGCTAGGAATATTAAAAAAAAAAGAATAAACTTATTCTTCAATAGAAATATATGTTCTTGTACCAGTAAATGAGTTTGATGTAACTTCAACAGTAAGTGTTTGTGGTTCAGCTGCTACTACAGTAATAACACCACGAAGACTTATTAAACCAGTTGAATCGACGGGTGTTGACCAATAATAATAGTTTCCCAATGTAAGAAATTGGTATGAAAAAGAACCAGATGTTGACGCATTACCAGAATCAAATCCACCAGATAATGCGTTTGTGGCGTATCCATTCGGTAGTTGTTGAACCTTGTATGTAATCGATGAAAGAAGTGCTGATAAACCCCATTGCCAAGTAACATTAGCACCTTGTTGTACAGTAGCATATTGTGGTAGCCATGCGAAACCAGCACCATTGATTGGATCGATGCCATTCGATGTAATAATTAGTTGTGGAGCAGCTGCCGTTGTTACACAATGAATCTGTGTTGATTGAACAGAAACTACATTACAAGGTATTTCAGATGCATCATTCGTAAAATTAACAGTTGTCGAATTATCAAAACCTTGACCTTGTACATAAACATCAGTGCCACCATACAATGAACCAACTTGTGGAGATACTGATTGTACATAAAAACGATATTCAATTTGAGTTGATGGACGAGCATAACCATTTATTGTTGATACATAAACGGGATAAATGCCAGCTGGTAACGAAGGTAATATAACAACGATTTGTGTGTTTGATGATGAAACGATAGTTGCAGTTGAATTACCAATAAGAACAGATATTGAATTAGTACCAAATAATGTACCAATTATAGTTAATTGCTCACCAGCTACTCTAACTACACTTGAACTAAGTGATGTAATTGTCGGTGTATTGTTCACATTGTAGGTAAATAAAGATGGACCATTAACTACTGATGTACCATCAACAACAGAAACAATCACTTGAATATTATTTATTGCCGTTGTAGCAGGCACAATACATGTAATTATTGAAAAATTCGTTATTATAGGATTTGAACAAATATTATTATCGACGGTAACGACAGCATTCTGTGAGAAACCTGTACCTGTTACTGTTAATGTATATCCTCCACCTGCACCACCACTGCTTGGGGATATTGATGTGATTTGTAATGGAATAGTAACTGTAAAACTCGTACTTTCCAAGGCATAACCTTTCCCAGTAACATTAATTCCAACAGTATAAATACCAGAAGGAGCATTGCTAATAGTACAACTAATTGATGTTGTTGTTGCTGATAAAACTGTACATGAACCAGATGTTCCAATCAATACTGTATTTGAACTGAGTATAGTACTAAATCCTGTTCCAGTAATTGTTAAAGACATTCCATTTTGTGTTACTGATGAAATCGTTGGAGTTTGACTGGATAACCATTGAAAATCACAAGTATTATCCGAACATAACGATGGATATCCACCAACAAATACTTCAACCTTAAATATACAAATATATATTACAAAAAAATTGCTTTATTAATTTCCATACCTGTGGTACTGTGTGATAGGTACATGTCAAATCCCCGGGTAAAGGGCTATAAAGAACACCACCATGTTGAACAACAGAGGCAGTTACTGTTGTACCAACTGGTGCCACTGAACCAGCATTTGTAATTGAAATATCTGTTTTCTGACCACCATTTGCTATCCATTCAATTAAATAGGAATAACCTGTACAGTAACCTAAACGTGTTACATTCAAAAATCCAAAATCAGATGATAGTTGTAGTCGATTAGCCAGATCTGCAGCTGTTATATTAACTGGAATCGATGGATAAGTTTGTGCATTAAATACAAGATCAAATGTTCCACTAGCACTTATTGAGGGTTGTGATAAACGTGTGATCGTTGTACTCTAAACGACAGAAAAAACACAAAACAGATTATTTTATATCAATAAAAATAATGTTCATATTTACTGAAATTGGATAAGATACAATCAATGCTGGACGAAAACAATCGCTGTATCGATATGAGACATCAATTGTATTATTATTTGATGTGTATACAACTTTTAATGTATTATAAACTAATTGATGTTTAGGATAAAGTCTTCGAACACCTTCAATTGATGAACTACTACATTCATATGTTTGATTTGAAGCATCAGCACAAATAGGTAAATTATTATTTGGATTTAATATACATTTTGAATATTGTTGTCCATTATAATAAAACGGAAAAACACATGAAGATGATGCTGATTGATCAATTGGATATGAACTTACATCTTCATAACCATTTGGTAATGATGTTCGAATTGTTACTGTATCAATTGTAATACTATTTAAAATATTTCTGTCAAGCGTAGCATATGTTATAACTAACGATGGAGAATTATAACTACTTGATTGAGATGTAAGTTCACTAAGTATATTGATACAAATATAATGCCAATTTTGATCAGCATTTAATGATAATGGTATTGTTGGATAATATGTATCTATTGTATCACCATTCATTTGTATAGCAAGATCAAGTTCAATAACATAATCGTGTGATAATTTATATGCAAAACATAAATAATTACCAATTTGTGTATTTCCATTAACAACTACATTTGTTACTTGCGAACATTGTCCACAAAATGCATTTAATTCGATATTTGTTTCATCATAATAGCAATTTGTTTCAAAATCTTCGAGATAAACAATTGATGTTGTTGCTTCAATGTTATTAAGAGATATTGGACATTGAATACTAAATACTTCATTAAATATTGATTGAAGTTTTGATGAACTTATACTATTATTTGTAAAATCAATATATTCTGTTAATTGACCATCAAATTCAAATGCTATTTGAGAACCTGATGCAACACCTTGAACTATTTCAGTAACATTAGGAGGATTTGTTGATGTTGAAATACAAGTAAGTAATGGTACATTATCCATTTCAGGTGGAAACGTTATTATATACAGTGTACTTGTAGCTGTTACTGTAACTGATAATGGATAAATTGTTGGTAAATCATTTAAAGCCGTTTGAACAACTTCTGGAGTTGGTTGACCATTGAGTAGAGCTATTGAATCATTTCAATTTATTTTATTTTATTTTATTTTCAGTCGTTTATATTCTTTACCTGTATATGCACCACGAAATCCTATTTGAAATATTGAATTATCTACTTGAACTGATTGTACTTCAGATGTTCCATTTCCATTTGAATTTGTTGTATAAACAAGTATCTAAAGATAAATATTATGTATTTATTAATAATCGAATAAATGAAACAAAATTTATACCTGACGTTCAGATACAACATTTGCATTGACATCAATACGTTGAATTTCATTTAGAACCATACTCGATGTTGTCGCTGTCAATGTTGTCTCATGCATTCTTCCTTGAATTGATACATTCAAATAACCACCGGTTCGAGAAGCAACACAAAAGATATAATAACTAAAATTAGAAATATAATCTTTAGTTTTGTTATTCTTTATTAAAATATCTAACTTTGTATTATTTTGTAAAACAATATCGCCCGATTGATTATATGATGGTGGATCTACAATCAATATTTTATTCGATGGATCATCATCTGTACTTAAAAATAAAGCACCATTGCCATTTGTTTGTAATGAAAATGTAAATATTGCTGTTTTACTAATTCGGACAAAACCAATAATCCAAACAGTTTCATCTGATGAACTATTGGAAACATAAGATGCATCATCAATTGACATGTGAGTTGCAGCTGAACTTGGTGAAGGAGGATTAGTACTAGATAATGTTGCTTGTGTATATGCAACTGAATCATGATATAATTCTAGACCACGACTACCTGAAAAGACAATACAAAGATTATAATTAAATTTAATCTTAATAATGAATATTCATGCCTTGATATTGATTTTGACTTGGTACTGTTATTGATGGAATTTGACATTGAATTATTGTTAAATTTGTAAATAAAATTGTACATGGTTGTCCACCAACATTAACAATTAATGGATATGCAACATTAGTACTAAAAAAATTTCCAGTAATTGTCAATATTGTACCACCTTGTGTACTACCACTAGTTGGAGACACACTTGATATAACTATCAATAATAATATATCAATTATTACAAAAAAAAACAATCAATAATATATCAATATAGACCTGCATAACTTTGAAAATTATATAATTTTTCATTAGCTGATATACGATATAAATTTGAATTAACCAATGTACGTCCATATTGATTAGTGACAAGTACACTGATATTAAATAAACCTAAAAGCAATTTTAGTTAAAATATATATAATTAAATATATAATCAAATTTTACTAACCAACTTCTGTACCCTCAAAAAAACATTGGAGATAAGTATCAGTTACAACTGAATAACTAATTTAAATAAAATTTTATTATTTAAATAAATTAAAAATTGAATAACTTACTTTGCTCCAGTTATTGGATTAATTAAATTACAAAGATGACCACCAACATATGTTCTAAATATATATATTTAAATATATTTTATTATGATATAATAACAAATATCTCACCGAGAAATAAGTGGATTATTATCATCTGAACATCCAACAATATCACGTGAAATACATGCTGTTTGAAATATTCCAGATAATGATATTAAGGTTTGTGGTGTTCCAGTTTGTGGCATTATATTACTAATTATTGGTGTAGCACTTGGAACAGCTGCAAATGTTGCTTGAGTTTTATTAGTATATTGATAAAGGGGAATTAAATTATCATTGACATAAACTCGAATTTGATAAAGACCCTCAGGGATTACTGGAGCATAACAAGTCAATTGAGTAGATGTTATTTTATCTATATGCATTTCACAATCATAAACTGAATACCCATCAACTAATTGAACAGTATTTGTTGTTGATGTTGATGGGGTTGTACTAAAACCATTTGGAGCAAATCGAGCTCCATAAATCCATAACATCGTTCCACCTTGTAAACTACCTGTATTTTGTGTCCATGGACCATTTTTTCGAACTGTTGCATAGAAGATCACAGCATCAGTTGGAACTGAATAAATATTTTAATCCTATTTCTATCATAGATTTTTCAAATAAACTTACCTATACAGTTGGACCAAGTAATAGGAACATTATTCGAATCAACTGCTGTAGCACATTGAGGTTCAAAATCAGCATTATTTGGACCTTGAATTGTGCAGTTCACATAAGTTATCTTAATAAATAGAAAATTTCAAAAAAAAACAAAGAAGTTTTAAATGAAAGCTAACTCCGTCATAAACAAATGGAAATACACAAGATGCTCCACTTGTTGTACTAACTAAAGAAATATTTGATTAGAATATAATTAATTTAATCGTATTTCTCTTTACCAGGACACATTGTTGGTGGATTATCGAAATTCGCTTCAAATATAGGATCCCACATATTGAAACATGTTTGACCATCTATTAACAAGAGATTTGAATTAAGAAAATTTAATTTAAACACATACTTATCGATTCCATCATCATCAATATCATAACAATTATTGAGACGATGACAAATTTCATTTCGCCTTCCATCATCTTCACAACTCCTCAAAACTCTATTTTATTCATTTTGGACATACGTATTTATATGTAGATGTTATTGACAAACGATTATTATTTGATTAAACCGAAAATCAAATAAAAAGTAAAAAATAATATTTTGAATTCGTTGTCTAATTAATATTTGTTCAACTTGGCAATATTCATCAATGATTTATATTAAAAATAGTCTGTACTTTTATCTGATATTGTTTATTTAACTTCAATCGAACTTTAATCGATTGAATTTTATTAAAAAAAGAGAGTCACATATTTATTGTACTTTTTTCATAAATAGATGTCCGATTAACGTACGTTCTTAAATCAAATGTCCGCAACCTTACAGTTAAAATAAATAAAAAAATATGCGCATTTGAATTATTTTGATCATACCGAAAGTAATCATGTCACCATCTTGCTTCCTTAATAAAAAGGATATGGGTGAGGTGCGAATATGATGCCCATGTTGCATTTACACTCACACTCTGTTATTGATGATGACATATTGTCTTGTATAGTGAATAAGAATATAGATAAAATTTTACTACTAGTATATTCACGAGATATCATTATTTGAATATGAGATGCTCAAAAAAATTGTGAAACACTCGAAGAAAAAAATTAAAAGTAATTAACTTTTTGAATTCTTTTGTTTTTCTTTTTAATTTTTACAAGAAATAGACGTTTGATGGTTGAGTATCGAACAGAATTAATCGAAAATAAATTTAATTTAATTTAAATCAATCTGCCAAGATGTGTTCATCAAAAACTGCTTTATCTGACTTGATCTTGCAATACTACTAAATCTGTTTATATTTTGGGAAAAGTAATCCCATCGCATGAGTGTTAAGAATGAAAACTGACATTTTGCGCATCAAATAAACTATTGTTTTGAGCGAACGAAATAAGTCGATTAAACTAAACCAGACATGTGCATACTTGTTTGTCTTCACATAAAAGTACATTCTTTTTCATGCATTAAAGTATGTACTTTTTCAGTTGAAAAAATATTCAATTTTCAGTATTTGTCTGACTGATAAGGGAATATTTTCAGGTGTCAAATAATTATATGCTCTTATTACCTCAGTAAAAAATTAGGCACATGTTTCAATATACAGATTTGTTTTAGAAGAATGTTCATAAAACTTTAGTGCATTTTCTCTTTAAGAATGATATAATTCGTTCGATCCATGTATCCTTCTATGTTGATGATTTCTATATTTTGCTGATATCAATCTTTCTTGTAATCGTGTATTTTTGCACCTTTTCCATCTGAAAATAGATTCTTTTTGATCTAAATCAAGTTTGTGTACTATGCCAGCACAATAAACTTCTTAATTATTCTTATTCATATGAAAACTGATGTAGCTTCCAAATCAATCGTTTTTTAGAATATGTAGCAGTAGTATTCAAGCTATTAACCCTTCCAAAAAATGGTCGGCAACTCAGCTTTAACCATTATGAGTGAAGAAAAATATCTATGTAGCGAGGGTGTGAGTGTTGTCTTAATGTTATATTGACATTTCACTCAGTCACGCCCATACCTACATTATCCATATGTATGTTTATCAAACGTAGCAGTAACTTAATGACTATTGTTTGTTAATTTCAATAATTCATCCGAATCAAGTTTTAAAGAAAATATAAATAATAGATATGATTCAGAGATAGTTTTATTTGGATTTATATCGATTATAGATTGATTAGATCTACCAGAAGGTGAAAAAGAGTTTGATTATTCACATATATCAACATAACTTTAATTAACGTCATATTTTTCACTACATGACATACTTATCAACAATAAATATAATATTTTCTTTTTATAGATATTTACTATTATTTATTAAAAATGTACTTTTATATGTGTTGACGCTCACTTTATTTGTTAGTACTATTAAAAGAGACGAGAAAAGGTTGAAGATAAAAGTGCATTTTTTTCGGTGTTTTTTCTTCCTGTTTTTATCGAATAGTTTATGTTAGAATGAGAGATCAACAGAACGAACACGATGATTGAATCAATACGATTGTCTTTATTTGAATTTTTCAAATGAAAATATTATTGTAGAACATTTTTCTTTATTCATATTTAAATTAGATGAATTATTTACTTTATAAAATTGGAATTATTTCTGATGATTAAATTTTTTTCATTTAAAACAAATTTTTATTCAAATATAACTCTCAATCAAATAAATTCATATAATCAATAATATATTTATTAAATAATAGATTAATATTAGAGTTACAATCAATGAATATATTCTCAAAGTTGTTCATAATCAGAAGTATAGATAGACTTTTTCTTCATTAAACTTCAAACAATCAGAGAAATCTATTAATGATAATGTGCTTATGTTATAACTAAGACAATCTTTTGATGATATTGAAGATAACCGATAAATTTTTCGTTAAGACGAGTTTGCAACATACCCTTTATGAAACTCTATTAAACATTTTATTGAATGATCGTAAAGTACTATGATAGGTATTGTTCATCTATGATATCTTGAGGGTATGAGTGTGGGTGTAGTTGAAGATTATCCTCACCCACATGCGCACCTAACACCCATCTGAGTTACTATATCCAGGAGTGTAGAAAGCATAAGAAAGCCATTGATATGTTGAATGAGTCAATTGAATACAGGTAGTCCAATCCAAAGTTGTTAAGTCAGTTACTGATTGGCAAAGCTGTTACACTGATATTATAAAACATTCAAGATACTCCATATGTATCTTGATAAAAAGAATTATCATGAGATCCTACATTTAAACGTGTTGGATTGTAATTTCCAGTAACAGCAAAATAACGAAGTTGCATTTTTGTTTTAGTAAAAGATGAAGAAAAAACAGCAATAATTTGATTGTTATAAGATGTTGATGAGAAATAAGTCGTATTAGGTGAAGCATGCCATTCATCGTAATGATCTAGAAATCCCACCTGCCAAAATTCAGTTCTAATATCTCTATCATAGGCTCGACGTAAATAAGTGTAATCACCATGAAATGTAGAATGATTTCAAACAAAATACAAACCATTCAGAATATAAACTAAAATACCAAATAAAATTCTTTCAATAATATATTTTTGATAAAAAATCCTTACGTAAGTCTATTATAAAGAAAATCAGGTACAGATAAACTTAAAGTTTGTCCAGGAAAATCAACATAGACTCGAACAATACCATGATAATTTCTACTGGTAACATTCCTTAAAACAGTAACGAGCGAAGAGAAATCGATTGAATTTGTATCAGTCATTAAATTTTTCAATGGATTCCAAACAGTTGAACTAGGATCATAAGTGTACGTCCTACTAGAAGACACCCTACCAAATGCACTTCTTATGAAAACAATTAGAAATGATGAATAGATCACATTTATTTGGAAAATGTCTTTAAATGTTCCAATATGTAACAAAAATTTTAGTCTAAGTTTAAGAATAATCTTAGATAAATATTGAGCGAAGTACTATGTGACAACAGAAAATAGAGTATATCGGAAAGGCAACTATTTAAGCCTTAAATAATTTTAAATAGCTGTGGGTGTGGGTGTGAATGAAAATATTCATATAGATACAAAAGAAAGATCCTGAGAAAAAATCTTAGCAAGAACGTGAACCAATCCTGAATGAAACTTGCCAAAATCCTTGAGACTCAGGATCTTGAAAGATCTTTTCAGGATTTCTTAAGGATTGAACAGGATTGAGACTAGGGCTTGTAAGTATCGTAGATGAAGTCTAGTACATACTACTCGATGATAGTATTTTATGTATTGACATTCATATTTGTTTACGTTTTTGTACTCTGATGCAATACTCTATTGACAGTATGGATGGCACTTCATCTTTATTTTGCTTTGAAAAAGTACCATCCCTAGTTGCTAGTCTTCACTAAATGTTGTTAAACAAAAGATAAACACCAAAATACTTTTTTATAAAATGTCATTTGTTTATTTCTCTCTCTTGCAAGCATCGTGTTAAAGTCATGGTTTCTTACATAAACAATATGAAATAAACATCGTTCGATATTTTCGGATGCTTATATTAACAATGAATAGAAGTGAACACTGATAGATTAGAGGAATTTTTGATTTATCTGAGTGTGCGGGTGAGAGGTGTAATTCCACATCCACCTCTATTTTTGAATCCCCATCTAACTGGATATAAACATATGACTTTCACATGATTCTGTGCTTTGATTAATTCTGAAGTCATAAATAGATATTGTGTTCTTCACACAATGTAATAAATAAACAGCTGACATACTTTTTTTTTCTTTCTGCTTCATAACAATCTTTGAGAGGCGTTATTTAGAGAAAGACAGAACCGTGAAAGAAAAAAAGATGAGTAAATGTTATTTTTTTTTATTTGTTCTGTTTTACTCAATAAAAAGCAAGCCATCATTGATATAGAATGCTCTTAGCAAGCAAAAAAGTACATTCCATTTATGACGAGTTATATATTTTTATTTTTTTTCTTTCCTCTTCTTGTTATTTTTGTTAGAAAGATGATACAAGCTATACAGCTGACGAATTTTACAATTATGGAACAATCGCGGTGCGATAATTATTGTGTTGATAAAAAATCCATAAAATACGATTACTTGGACCTTCGCTTTTCTAGGGCCCTTTTTTCAATGCAGAAGTTTATTATTGACGACGAAATCACAGTAGAGATATAACAATTATTCGAATGAAACGACTGACTATCGAACGACAAGAGTTTGGGTGTCTTCTCTAGACTATCTTAATCTCACTCATGTCCACACTGAAATTCACCCGACATAATCTTGTTTTATAGTTTCTCAATCGACAATAATTATCACACAGCAATTATTCCATAACTGTGTCATTCACCAGCAGTATATGTTTCATGATCTTGTCAATAAACATAAAAAGAAAAGAAAAGAAAAGAAAAATTAAAATATGTAACTTATCATAACTAGAATGTACTTTTTTGATTGTCAAGAGCATTGTATATGAACGACGGCTCGCTTTTTACTGAAAAAAGCTAACATTTACTCATCTGTTTTTCCTTTACAGTTCTGCCTTCCATGAAATAACGCCTCTTCAAAATTGCTATGAAGAAGAAAGAAAAAAAAGGATGCCGTCTGTTTGTTTATTACGTTGTGAAGGTGGCAATACAACAATTCTCAGTTTCTTGAACAATCAACTCAACATCTGTGTATGGCTTCAGAATTAATCAACACACAGAATCACGTGAAGAGCGTATGTATATATCCAACCAGATAGAGATTCAGAAAAAGCTGTACCTTAGCGAAAATCTTTGATGTTTCCTTTCCATATTCCCTGTAGATCCGTAAAGGATTCGTTGTTTTTCCTGAGTAAATGATGAAATCCTGAAGATCTTACCAGAATTCGAATGCTTTCAAAGAAAAATTGTGGTTATATAGTCAAGAATACTAGTAAGTTTCATCTAGAGTATTATCATAATTCTCAATGAGATCTTACTATGATTTATGAAAGTTTCTTCCGTGATGGTATTAGACTACTTCGTAGGATCTTGGAAAGATTATTTAAACAGAACAGAAAAGAAGTAAACACATAGAGTATCGATCTCTACACCTTCCATTTACATACCGATCAGGTTGTCCGACTGAATATGCGACGTTAGTATATATATTCTGAAAAAACCCTCGATGAAAAGTTGTTGTTGCGCTCTAGGTATGCAGCAGGACCAATGCACCACTGGAGACTGGACACTATTCAGTTCAACTGATGATCTATATGCTGTAACTCATTATGAGGTAAATAGGGGCACCATTCATAGGTCATTATAACGTATGTAGAGGTACCCTTTGCAGGTATTTCTAAGGTGGGTGGATGTCTTCTCTTTATTCAAACGCACACTTATCCTCAAGATGGTTGAAAATACTATTTTTTTTCATTCTAGGTCGTCGCGAAACTTCAACTTCCGCTTTTCAACGGTGCTGTGTAAGTTGTCCGAATGGTATTGAGATACTGCTTGAATACGCTACAGTATGATGTATGCTTAAAGTCTATTATTATCACTTTCGACATTTTTTTCTTTCGATCTTTTCAAGATATACCTTCGGGACATAAGATTTATGAAATATTTTTTATGTGCTTTAGTGAAACCTCGGCCGACTTCGGATTTTTTCGATTTAATAATCCTGGTGAGGATAATACTAATGATCGTTTATCACAGGTAAACTGCTTGAATTTTTTGCTACTGTTCATGGAGTCAGGTAGTCATATAAAACATCATCGAAGCGTTCCTCGGCTTTTGCCATATTCTAATCACATGCTTATATTATATCTGTTAAGTTCATTCATCTCGATGGCCGAGCAACAAAAGAGGTGGTGGCAAAATTTATCATCGATGCCTACCAGCTTCCAGTTCCTGATCTAATCCTATCAATTCAGACAGACAGCATCAATGTTCAGAATCAAGAAACTAAGAGCATTATTCGTCGTGGTATAGCTGCTACAGCAAGAATAACAAGTGAATAAATAGAGAAAAACTGATACGTCTTATTTACTTTTCTTCGAACATTTAGATGCATGGGTTATCACAAGAGGTGTCAACCAAGACATGATTAAACTAGTTGGAACAACGCTGCAAACTGATGCTGTTGAGACTGATGTGCCTTGCATCGGTTTCTGTAATTGGAAACGTATATCAGGTAACAAGTGTACGATATTGTTCTTGAAATATATAATGTATCGTTTTAGCTACCAGTCACGGAAAAGTAAGTGCTCGAGTGAAATTAGGCATGTAGCGAACCCGAACTACAGTTCGGGTTCGGGGTAGTTTGGACCGAACTCTAACAATTTAAGCATCGAAATGACTTTTCTGACATATGTGGAAGCATAATAAAGGAAATTATGAAACATCAACCGAACCCGAACTGTTCGGGTTCGGTGACCACACATGTCAAAAAAATCATTTCGATACTTAAATTTTTGGAGGTCCGTGCATACTACCCCGAACCCGAACCGTTCGGTCCCGAACCCGAACTCTTGCGACCGAACCCGAACCCGAACCCTAAAACCGAACCCGAACTGACCGAACCCGAACGTTCGGGTTCGCTACATGCCTAAGTGAAATGCATGTTTATGCGAATTTAACTACGTTTTCTTTTGTTAGCCGAACAATAACCAACGTCCTATACAACACGATCAAATAAATATAACTTCCATCGATGATTGCGAATTGGAATCGAACCATACTCATTTTGTTCTTTTCGATCATGAGATAGACAATGTAGAAAATATCCAATTGAAACGTGGCGAGATCGAACGTCAATTGAGCAAGACATTACTAGAGAATAAAACTATCAATGATGATAATCATTCAAAGAGTGGTATGTATGATGAAAGCGAAGAAAAGATTTGTGATCATTATTAACAAGTAATATATTTTCTAGTATTTCGCAATACTGTTCCGATTGTTACGCTCTTACTTGGTGGTAACTTTACAACACTAAATGTTATATGTGAAGGATTAAAGAATGAAACACCAGTCGTTGCTGTTCTAGTATGTATTCTTACATTTGAAGATATCTATCATATAAAACTATATATGATGTTTGACCTGACGATTATGTCTCATTGAATAACTTATTTCTTTTAGGGTACAGGTCATCTTGCAGATATCGTGGCTACCCTGTGCTTGGATCTGCGTACAAATGACGAGCTCATCCAAATACAACTTAATGATCATTCAAACTTAAAGGAGAAATTAGAAGAGAGAAAGAAGAAAGATGTCCAAGAGTGCAAAAATCGATTGCAACGATTGTGGCTTTTAGAAGGAGAGAATACAGATCAAATCTATGGCAAAATTGACGAATATGTAAAGATACTAATCGATATGAATATACTGATTGCTGTATACGATGGGGTTAAATGTATTGATAATCTAGAAGATGTGGTTGCCGATGTAATGTGGAATGAAATATCCTATCAACGCAAGAATAGGAAGACACTAAACGATGGATACGATCCAAAAGCTGAAGAATTGAAATGGTGTTTGGTAAAATTTCCTTTTCTTTTCAATGAATCAATAGAAAATAATATACAATCCTTTCCGTGATTATTTCAGATCTGGAACAAGGAAGCACGTGGAGAACTGGAGATTTGGATTAATAGTGGAGACGAGAATATGGCCCTGACAGAAACTAAGCGGCGTTGGGTGAGTGTCTGCTTATATTAATCAGAATTGTCGTAACTATGTATCTTTTATAGATAAGCAAACTTGGACAATCAGCACTCTTCGAAGCTTTGTGTCGAAACAAAGTCTCTTTCGTCAGTTTGCTCATGGATAACGGTGCATCAATAGAAGCATTTGAAATCCATGATATACAGATTATTTGTGAAAAAACACTGGTAATGTGAACTAAAATAAACGCGCACAGCGTACTATTTTTCATTTCGATATAAATTACTTTCGCAGAATGACGATGCTCTGACTCTCCACAGATCTTCACACCAGGCAAAATCGATAAAAGAGGTGTATAATTCTTATCTTATTCAATATTTAGGACATTACGTAAGAATGACATAACAGTGGGTATAATAAATTCCTCTGTATGACGTATTTTAGGTCAAGAAATATAGGATAGGAGAGAACCGAATGAAACAAGAAGGCGTAGTTTGGAATCACAATCCAAAGCACCACTGGAAAACCACTACTGATACATTGTTCCATGAAAACAAGACCGAAACACTTTATCTTTGGTTTTTATTCATGAATCGACCAGATATGGCTAAATGTCTTTGCTCCACAATTCCGGTAACAAACACTTTCGATGTATTTTTGTATCTATTTCTCTTTCTTTGACATACTCTAACTGTCAGAATCAAACCATGGCCACACTTCTTGCTGCTACAATTTATTTCAAAGCAGCAGAGAATGACAATGAAAACAAACGTACTCTGATAGATATTGGAAAGTAAGTAGAACGAATTCTTGCAGAATTAACCTACAATTCTGTGTGTATATTGAATTTAATTTTTTAATTGAAACAGACAATTTGATGGACATTCAAAAAATCTCATTGATGAATGTTTCGTCCAAGACAAAAGTCTTGCTATCAACGTACTTGAATGCAAAGCTCCAGCATTGTTTCACTGCATGCCGTTGGACGTAGCGCGACGTACCGACTGCAGGGGTTTTCTTGCCAGTAATACTGTTCAAGCATTTGTCGTTCAAAAGTGGTATCATCATTTTGACACTCATCAATCCTTGCTTAAGTTACCTATTTACACGTGGGTTCGTTAAAGTTTTGAATGAGATAGTTAGAATATTCATTTTTTAAATATAATCTTTATTTAGATATGTATTGTATCCTTGTTTTTGCCTCTCGTACCAATATCAGCAGTGATTTTTCCTTTTCTCTACAAAAAATCTTCTGCCGAAGTCCAAGTAATATAAATCAAACAAAATTTTCCAATAATTTCTTCTTATTCTATTGTCACACAGGAAACTAGAAAATCAATTCGATTTGGTCAGCCAGTCACATATACATGGACGTTAGTGAAAGGTTTTCTCTATTCTCGATTTCCACTCTATTTTTTGTAGATCTACAGAAGACTGGAATTTTGAGAGTATCCCAGGTCGTAGACGCCGGAACACTGGTTGTAAGAAGTGGTGCACAAAGCCAATTTACTGGTTGCGTGATGTATGGCTAAGAATTGTCTGGTTTTATGAAGCTCCAGTGGTGCGCTTCTACTACCATGCTGTGCGTTTTTTTTTCTACTCTTACTCTTTTCCAAATAGCTAGACTTTGTTATTTTATTTTGTATTTAGACGTTCTTCTTTGCGTTTCTGATTCTCTTCAGTTATGTTCTTCTCGTTGACTATTTCCCATTGAATGTATACGGAGAAACGCGCTCTGGTTATCAAATCTTAAAAATTCCAATCTCCGAAATTGTGTTGCACATTTGCATTTGGAGTTCAATTATCGATACATTTCACCAGGTTAGTTGTCTTTCAATTTCAATCGGTTTGTGTTTCATAATTCGATATATTATCAGATGATAATACGTGCACAATTCGGTTCTACTAATATTATTAGCACCTGGAATTGGGAGGATCTAGCAGCCATTACTTTTTACTTGGTTGGATTTATTACTCGCTTTTTTGTTATCGAAACACTCTTCATTACATCAAAGTAAGATGTCATCGGATACTGTTACGAAGTATTAAGATAATCTCAAAGAGTTGTTATTTGATAACAGATGATTTACTTACTTTAGTTAACTTTACACCAAGACTTTTTATCATTGTTGCAATTTTTCGTGTAGGATATTCATGGCACTCGATCTGATTCTTTGGTCTTTTCGATTACTTCATCTTTTTACTGCTTATGAAATCTTGGGTCCTAAATTAGTCATGATTTATAAAATGGTGAGTATATATTATATTTAAGAATAGTGCCCATCTGATTTCTAACTTTTTATTATAGATGAAAGATGCCGTTCTGATCTTCGCGTTTTTCATTCTTATTCTTCTCTTCGCATTTTCGGTTACGTGTTGGTCTCTTCTAACAACTAACAATCAAGTTAATTGGGCATATGCCGAAGATGGTTCGTTATTCAATGTTACTGTAGTGAATGGTGGCAGTGATCTATGGACGTGGCAATTGTTGCGAGATGTTTCCAATTGGGGTATTTTGAAAGTATTCGGACAAACTGACGAACCATATAACGGTGCTGTTAGCGGTATGAATATATTTGTTTTTTGATCGTTTATCTTTGTAAATGACAAACTTTTAATTTTTTGTTAGGTAATGATGTTTATGGTACATTTGTTTACTTACTTGCAATTGCCTTCGTATTCATATCAAGTATACTTCTTGTGAATGTTCTCATTGCAATGTTTAAGTAAGTGTATCAAAAGATCAAATGCTAGATTTTTAGAATAATACTCTTTTGTACTATATAGTGTGACTATTCAACGTATACTTGAGCGATCGCGTCTCATCTGGAGACATCAACGATTCTTGCTAATTTATGAATACAGCGAAAGACCAGTATTGCCCGCTCCGTTGAACGTCTGCTACTATCCAATTAAATTCATAATATATCTCTGGCGTCGTTGTTGCTGTAAACGTCGATGTGTATCATCTCGAATCAGTCAGATTGCTGGTAATATTAAAGATATATAATAGATTTTTGACAAAGACTTTTCCACTTAGAAAAACAATCTGAACGAGTTCTTCCGGACGTCTTATATCAGATGGATTATGAAAAAGAAATCGCCGAAATGTACTGGGTACGACGGGGATTTGTCGATGAAGGGGACAAGCAAAGTGAGGATGTTGATTTCAAAAGTTTAGAGAAAAAGTATGTGTCAAATTAATTTCTTATATTACATCAGATACTTATTATTTTTCTTTCGTAGATTCAATAAACTCAACAATGGCATGAACAGAATACTTCAAAAATATTCTTTACCAACACTAGATATTCAACTATCTCAAGTAAGGGTGTGGGTGTGTTTTATTGATTACTACTACTATCTACACTTTCCAGACCATTTACTTCAGTATAGAGGATAGATTTACATTGCAAAAGGTTTATGAAAACTTTTAGAGATTTTATTTAAATCTGTGTAATTTTAACCAGTTTGATATAATCATACTAAATAATCTATATTTTCAGAGTGATATTGAATCTATTTCTTCGACTACCAGTCTGCCGAAACATAAATCTGTAGCATTGTTTCCTACTGTTTCTTCTCAAGCGACAAGAGCAGATGATACACAAAAAGTGCGAGTAAACATTATACGAATGGTCGAGCTCGAAAAATCTATGGAATTAGAAACTCGTCGGCATTCGACTGCTGTACCTCAGACACTACAAACTATACGTCAAGGTGGACCTATGGTTGAGAGCTCAGGGAAATTACAATCATCTAACACATCTGGGTATGTAATTTGTTTATCGTTTTCGATTTTGATTAGTTTTACATAAAATAATTCCAACACTGTTTACCATTTTTAGGCCTATTACTGTCAACATGCGGGTTTCTCGACAAATTCAATCTAATAAAGCGTTATTTAACGTCAATCCATCAAATATGTTTGATGAGAATCCAATTCCATAATCAAGATAAGATGGTCATTCTCGCAGACATAACTAATCGCTTATATTATTATTACTTTGAACTCTTTTTTCTATATTAATCTAAATCTTCTCTACAAATTGAATAAAATCGCACACTTTTAAAGGTTTAAAGAAAGTTAAATAACATGACTCCGTTGTAGTTGCTACATTAGTATTTGCTCATTCTCAAGGGTGTGTTAGAGTAAGGTTAATACAGTACTCTGACCCAGATCCATTGAATATTTTATTAATATTATTATTGCATACAGATTACATTTATTCAAAAGACATACTCTAGTAAGTATCTGACGGTAACTATCATTAGCCATTTCGTTGAACTAAAAAAGAATAAAATGATATACTATCTATCTTTTAATAAAGAGTATTTGTTCATATGTAATTACACATCGTCAATCAAACAAATATTTTCTCTATTCATATATGCAACGTATTATAGAGTACACGCACGTGTTTTTTTCTTACCATCCTGTTGAATAGAAAAATACGCACTTACGTTAATTAACAATTACAAAATGAATCTGTTGATTTTTTCGATTCATTTCTGAACACATATTGATTATGGCAAAAAAAAAAAGCAAATATCGTTTCTATGAATGTATATTTATTATTCACAGAAGAAAAAATATGCATGCTTATATATTATAATGTATGTGTTTTAACAATGTAATTATACGAGTATATTATGTTTTATTTTTTTCAAGAAGAGGCGTTGGATCCACATAAATCTTGAGCGATGATATTTTGCTTTCATTGATCTTCTTGTAAAAAACAGCAAGTTCTGAGAGATGAATTTCTTTTTTCTCCGGATCATTTTTTCGAATAACTGTTGCATCAATTTCAACGTAAATTCGATCTGAGATAGCATCGACATGTTTGACAGTATATTTTACCGATAGTTTTTGACGTAGTTGTAGTATATGTGCAGATACATCACTGTATCCTTTGTATGGTGGATCGTTATTATAAGTCACAGATGCGTCATTTTCAAAATATTTCTCGAACCAACGCTCGATATCGAATGAATCAACGTTGAGAGTACTATAAAATGCTTGAATCCATCCTCGTTCAACTTCATTCTGTTCAGTTGTTAATACATTCGATACAGACATTTTAGGAGGGATGAGTGTGTGTTTTTTTCGTAATATGAATATGAAAAAATAATATAAATAGTATACTTTTTTTCAACGGATAAATATCATTTATCTAATCAACCGTATCAATGACGATGAAGATACAAAAATAACTTTATAGAAAAAATATTCTGAGGCAAACAGTACGAACAACATTAGTATATCAAAGAGTAGAATTACTTTAGAAAGTCTTCAAAAATTTTTTTACACTCATTTAATAAATTTTCGTCTCCAATTGTTTTCGTCGTTCACCTTATTTATTAGTTGATCAAATTACTCATCTTAAAATATTGAAAGTATCGTTCATTTAATCTGAATTAATTTTTTTTGTTCATATTCATACATTAGGTCTTATTTTATTTCGAATAAGTAAAAATCAAAATAATTCTAATAACATAAAGTGCAGTTTATCATCTTGAGGATAGGACAAGAAAAGTGTCTACTGTATTTTGGGATTTCTCCATTCTGTTAGTATGATTCATAGCAATAAAAAATACAGAAAAACTATCTTTGATAAGTACTTGTGCTGAGGAGAATGATAAATCTAGTTGAAGGTTTCAATATATTTGATCAATTAGACATTTATGATGCTTGATTGTATAAGCGAAACATTTATTAATTATGAAAAATCTTTTAAAAAGTATTTTAGCGACTGCAATGCCACTGTTCAAACAGTTAATATAGTGGAATGTTAAAACATCGTTTTTGCCGCTTTGCTGTCTGCTTGGGTAAATGATCCACTAAATCGTGCACTAAGGTCAGCAGATACTTTTGATGACGACCTCGGAAGTTTTAATTTGATGAAACTAACTGCTGTACTTGTTCTTTCTTTTTTTGATGATGGAATATCAGATGAGCGCCGGTTCACTTTACTTACAATGACTGAGCCAATATCTTTCGACTTCCTAGATAATTCAGTTGTGACATTTGTGTGTCGCTCTGTAGAAGACTCTGCTTTTGATACCTTAATTATACGACCTGTCGGTGCAGATGATCTCGCTCTCGGTAGTTTTATAATACTAACGCGTGGCGTTTCATGTATCGATGGTTCTAATAAGTCAATAACAGAGATATTATTATCATCTGAGATTGGCGATTTCATCGCTTCATTTTCCTTGATTGTTAACGGTTTATCAACGCGACTTACATGAATTACACTCACGCCGCTAACCCTGCTCTTTGCTTGAGGTTCTAATGCAATGTTTTCGTAACTTTTTGGTAAGGGCTTTGAATATATCGTATTCAAACTATTGGAGTTTACGTCTGAGTCAGACAAACTTTTGGCCATGCTAGTGGTCGTAATCCGACTACTTCTTGTACTGTTAACTTCATATGGGATATTATTTTTTCGTTGTTTTAGACCCATTAATTTAACACATTTTTTTGTAAACGAGAATTTCTGCTTCACTTGTTCTTTCTCGCTTGTTCGATTTTGACGCCGACGCCGAGCTCCACCACCCCTAAAGAACAAAAATCCTCAATGTTATCGAATTTTAAGGCTGATGAGAAGCAAAAAAATACCATAACCACCAACACAGACAACAACAACAAAGTAACGAAGCCAGTAATGCTAATAGTGATAGACCAACGATCAATGGTATATTTATATCGTGTGAAGGTGATTTTGTAGTGGTAACAGTGGTTGTAGTAGTGCTAGTTCTAAGAAATGCAAACGTATTAAATAGAAATAAATTAAGAAATTGACATCTTGCAGACGTACGTAGTATTGGTGGTTGTAGTTGTACTATACAGAGGGAAAATACAAATAATTTTTTTTGTGAACTGCTGCATTTTTAGTAGAGACGAAAGTGTCTTACCTGGTTGTTGATGTTGTTGTGCTAGAAAGTTAAGAAAAATAAAAAAGTTCAGTATTGTTTTACAAATTTTTTTTTCATAAAAAATACTTTTTGAAATGGATCAACATAGGAAAAATGTCCTCTAATTGCAACTAAAAGCCTTCATTGATGGTCTTCCTCTTTTATCGTAAGACTTTCTATTCCTAATTCTTCTCGTGGATGAAAGAAAAAAAGTGATCAGTTTCTCACCTAGTCGATGTCGTGAAAGTCGTACTAGTACTGGTCGAACTTGTACTAGTACTACTTGATGTCGTAGAAGTCGAACTAGTACTAGTCGAAGTTGCACTAGTACTACTTGATGTAGTTGAAGTCGTACTAGTATCGGTCGAAGTCGTACTAGTGCTGGTTGATGTTGGAGAAGTCGAACTAGTGCTGGTTGAAGTCGTTGCAGTGCTTGTTGTTCTATAATTTGAATAAGAAAAAATAATGAAAAGAAAAAAAAGTATTATTTTAATTTGCTAACGTTGATGTCGTAACTGACGTGGTACTGGTAGTACTAATAGTAGTTCTAAAGAGAAACAATGAGAATGGCTAGAGAAATTAAATATATTGATTTGCATACGTTGATATGCTAGTGGTTCTAATAAAAGAAAATTATAAAAATACTGTCTTCTAAAAAATTTCAATAAAAATGTTCTTACGTAGTTGACGTGGTCGGCGCAACATCACCCGGACCTAAATAAATTCGATGAAATTTTCAACAAAAAGAAGTGATTTTTAACAAAAATTTTACATAAAGGAACTTGTCCGGCAGGAACAACCATGAATGTAAGACAATATTGATCGGATTGAATATTATCACTAGAAAGAGATGAAAACTCAGAGAATATAAAATATGCATAGTACCTATCCGTAGCCACGGCACAGTAGACTTGAGAACCTAGTTGCGATTCATCGGGTATCCATGTTTCAGTTACTGTCCATACGCTCGTCGAGCCGACTTGTGTTATGCTGCCTTTGTACATATACAATGGAGGCATGGTATATACATCTTGTAGTGTTGTTCCTGGACATCCTTGTACGATTGTCAATGTAAAAGTAAATTGAACTCCGACCTGAATGGGCGAACAATCCGATAAGTTTGAGCTGATCGTTGGTTGTAAAGGACAAGCAGTGGCACTCACAATGTGTATTAAAAATTGTACAGGAACACTGCTGAATGGTGTAGGTGTTGATGAATCATAATAATCTTCAACCATCAGAGTGACGGCATAATATTGTCCGACAGTTTTGCCCGTACTGTTGTACGTTAGCACACAATCATCATTATCAAGTGTACTGCCTGGTGCCATTTGACAAACATCACCACATTCATCCAATGCAGCCGTTTTTTGAGCCCAGCGACAGCTAAATAATAACGGTACTCCTCTGAAAGTGTCTTGGAAACAAGGAAAGATTACAAATTACCTTAAGAAATCATCGTCAGCATCAATGACTGGAATTGTTATATTGGTTATAGTGTTTATTGGTATAGTAATAGCTAGAAAAGAAGTTAACCCATAACGATGTATTTTCGAAAAATATGAAAATCCTAACTAAAATTCGTTTTTTCCTTAAAATTAACGGATCAAACGAAGTCATTCGCGTAACGAGAAATCCAAATAAAGAAATGAAGGATCAATGAGATTGTCAAAAAATTGATCAAATATATACATACGCGAAATAATTGTTGCAACTGGTGGTGTATTAATAAATCCATCTGGTCTCACGGTTAGATTAACACAACATCCAATGGACCAATCGGCGCTCGTACTATAACAACCAGCTACAGTTGTTGTTGATACTGTAGTCCTGGGAGGCCCACTGACGCCACCGTGGCCACTACTGTGACCTCTTTTCTTCCTGCCACCCCAACCACAGTTTGTTGATTGCAACCCGATCCAAGATCCGCCACTAAATGCCACACAGAACTGTGCACCAGCTGTAATATTTTCAATTGTAGAGATCTGGCCTGAACTAGAATCAGTGAGTATACTAAAGTCAGTACAATATTCATTTATGCTTATTGATGTATAGCCACCACAGGTATTAGATGAAGTAGTGCAATTGAGCGTACTAGTCGAATTTGGCATTTTCGGTGTTTGATTGATAATAAACGATTGATTACATTTTGTATCAGGCGAAAAGGACCGTCGCCATTGGTATGATTGTGTAAACATCACTGAGATTTGTGAGCCTGTATCTGTATTATTCATCGGCTTCCATGTCACTGATCCACCATAGAAATGACTTGATCGGACAAAAGAAAACCAGAAACTTATACATATATATACAACGCTCATGAACAGTGTTGTCATTTTTCTCAAAGATGAAAACGAAGATTAAAGCAATAAATATTATATCTGGCAATCCAGTAAAAAAATTGATTGATTTAATCAGAATTGTTTTGTAACAAAATCAAACGCTGAATTGATTTTATTTTTGATTTTTTTACAAAATAATTTTGATTAAATCAATCAAATTTTTCATTAGAAGGTCTTTGTAGATGAGCTTCATTTCTCGAGCATAGAATGGCATTCATACGATTTCAAACTACATTGCCGTATATGCCAAACTTCATTTTTGATTGAATTCGAAAAAAAAATCATTGGTAGAAAAATGAGATTTTGTTTTATTACTTCTCTTTAACAGAAAAGAAAAAAAGAAAGTAATCTAACATTATTCAATCTGCATCAACGTTGAAGTCATAAAGACTGAATATATACGGAAAAATTTGCATATATTTCATTTTCAATACATAATATCAAACTCCACAAATCAGATCGAATTTACTTGTCGATGAACATTTTTAGCATAGATATTGCATTAAATGACTTGTTCGAGATTTTATACTTTTTATCAAATGAGAACGACGGATATAGACGAGAATATAATTGACAAAAAAAAACAATGCGAGCAATTGAATTTGTATTTGTGAATCATTAAAAAGTCTCTTGTTTCTGTTCATTGAATTTATTCATACAACGAAATAGAATTGTGTAGAGAATCTATTTGCTTCGAGTAATGAAAAATAATCAAGATTTGTGTGGTGTCCATCCAATGAATACTAAAATTAAATTCTCATATCGAGCAAATTGTAAAAGAAATCTATGATTAAAAATTACGATTGATTGAGAAGCATTGCACAAGCTCTACAACATAATATTATTAATTTTTCTTGAAACAAGTCGCCCGATATACTGTGTGATACTTAAAATGATTACAAATGCTTAATAGTTAAAAGTATATGAATACATAAATGGTTTTCTTTCCTTTTCATAAACTTTAAATTCCAAGTTGATCAAGTTTAATAGTAGATTGAATCTGTTCCCACCCGCTTAGCACGAATTTATGATGTTAACTTGAGGGTGGGTGTGGGTATGTTAACATTAGTATCTACACCCACACCCACACCCATCTCTTTATGTTATTCTTCGTATATTTCGTTTATGTATCCTTGATATATTTCGTTTATTTATCCTTCAAATATTCCATTTATCTATCCTTCATATATTGTGTTATCTTACCCTTCAGATAATATCTCATAATATGTCCTTACTAAACATTGATATAAAAAGAGTGAACTTCTTAATATTTATATATTGAGATAAGCAAATGCTCGTATAGTTAATTAAAGATTTCCTCTATAAAAAAAAGTATATGGATAGAGTATTATTTTATCTTGTAATACGTAAAAAATATTCGTGTTTTGATAGATTTTCTATAAAATATCGATCGATAAAAAGAATATTTGATTCAATCGTCATATTATTTTTCTACGCATATCGATACATCTGAATGTGAACAATATTTATATTATTTAGCGCATGAGTGTTTTAGAAGGTTAATAATAAAAATAAGAAGGAAGAGAACAAAAAGATCAGTATATAAATATATATTGATGCGCTCTTTCATATATATACTTTCATATTTATTATTACTCGATTTTTCATTAAATACAAATAATCACAATGTTCGCTGGACAACAACAATATTTTAATCATCATGGTAAGAATAACGTATCTATTTATTTAAAATTATTCGTTTTTCTAATATAAAGGAGGTTTTGGTGGTGGTAGTTTTGGCGGTGGCGGTTTTGGTGGTGGTGGCTTTGGAGGTGGAGGTTTTCCAGGAAGCTTTGGAAGTTACGGTGGCAGTTTCGGTAGTCCATTTGGTGGTGGTTTTGGTGGACAAAGCTATGGAGGTTTCGGTAGTGGCTTTGGACTTGGTGGTGGTGGTGGTGGTTATGGATCACCTTATGGATATGGTTTTTAGTGAAGTGATCTATGAAGATCATTCTTTTACATTAGAATGTATTTTAAAGAAATGTACTAGTTACAAAACTTGTAAATATAGTCTTTTTTTTAAGAATCTACTACATTTATTACGAATAAATAAATAAAGTTGTTAAATAGAAATCTCAAATATATTTTCTGATCAATCAAATATCAGCACTAAAGTCTTTTAAATTATTGAAAAAAATATATAAAAAGAGATTTTAATGTAAGAAAGAATAAAGGATTAATCAATTCATCATCAGTCGAATTCATTTGTTAATAATCGTTCATGAAGAGAATACTTCATTAAATATAAAAATATTATCCATCACTTGACATTAAAACCTACGAAAATAATATTTCTATCAACGATCAGTTAAAGAAACCATAGAATATTCTAGTGAAAAACAATATTCGATTTCATTGAAAAAAACTCTGGAAAAGTTGTATAAACGAATTGCTATTGTAAATCTATTATGTTTTGTATTCAAAGACGTTTCTCGTATCAAAAAACAGTTGTAGCAATCGATCTCTATTATACATCGAAATAACTATTTAAATGAAATTTTCTTCATTTTTTTATTCCTAGAGTAGGTTTGAAAATTTCTCTACAATGATTGGTAGTTAGAAATTCATTCAGATATAGTCATAATCAAAAAGGCCAGCTTCATTCTCTTTTAGAAGTCCATAATTCAAAATTGATAGGCTATAATAAATTCTATTCAATTAATATGGATGAGTTTATGAATGGTACGAAGTATTCAAGAATATTGGGACAAAAAGAATGATCTAACACAACGAAACTCTACTTGTTCAGATATAATAATGTAACCGTGAAGGTGTTTTCTACAATACATATCTTTTCAGTATGTATTATTTACCTTACCGGTGAGTATTACTGTTTATATTGTGTTCTCAACGAGAACAGAGTTACAATAGAGACACATTTTCTTTTTCATCAGTTTTATTTTGCTTTCAAAAAAATTACAGAAAGAAATTATAATTTCTTTTTTATGTTTTCGAGGTTTTTTGTCCTTTGTTGAAGAGTTGGATGATTTGGTGGTAATGATTGTTGTCCGTTTTGTACAGCTCGTTCATAAAATGAATCAGCTTTTGAATAGTCGCTCATATTCTCATACACCACACCAATGTTGTTATACGAAGCACCCACATCAGGATGATTAGAAGGAAGTGATTGTTGTCGAATTGCAAGGGCTTTTTCATAATAAGAAAGTGCTTTTGAATAATCACTCATGCTATAATATACACTACCGATACTATTATAGGAAGTAGCCAAATCAGGATGATTGGAAGGAAGTATTTGTTGACGAATTGTAAGAGCGTTTTCATGAGATGAAAGTGCTTTTGGATAATCACCCATACTTCTATACACATTACCGATGTTATTATAGGACATCGCCAAGTCAGGATGATTGGATGGAAGCGATTGTTGTAGAATTGCAAGATCTTTCTCATAATAAGAAAGTGCTTTTGAATAATCACTCATACTGTCATACACCATACCGATATTGTAATAGGAAGCACCCAAACTAGGATGATCGGAAGGAAGTGATTGTTGTTTGATTGCAAGGGCATTTTCATGAGATGAAAGTGCTTTTGGATAATCGCCCATGCTTCTATACACATTACCGATGCCCATGTATGAAGATGCTAAATCAGGATGATTGGAAGGAAGAGACTGTTGTTGAATTACAAGACCTTTCTCATAATAAGAAAGTGCTTCTGGATAATCAGCCATACTGTAGTACACGTTAGCAATACCCATGTATAAGCTAGTGAAATTAGGATGATTAGAAGGAAGTGATTGTTGTAGAATTGCAAGGGCTTTTTCATGAGATAAAAGCGCTTTTGGATAATCACCCATATCGTCATACACCATACCGATATTGTTATAGAAATCTCCCAAATCAGGATGATTGGAAGGAAGTGATTGTTGTTTGATTGCAAGGGCTTTTTCATAATAATAAAGCGCTTTTGGATAATCAACCATGCTGCTATATACAATACCGATTCTATTATAGGAATCTCCCAAATCAGGATGCTCGGAAGGAAGTAATTCCTGTTTGATTGCAACCGTTTTTTCATAAAATGAAAGTGCTTCTGAATATTTTCCTTGACTATATTTAATTCGACCTAGTTGATAATAAATCGGTGCCTTATCACTCTCATTTTTTGTTTGATGAAGTAAAACTTCATAAATTTCTTGAGCCTTGTTAAACTGACTCATTTTAATTGGCAATTGACCTAATCTGTTCCATCCTTCTACATCCCGAAAGGTCTCCTGTCGGATCCGATCGTTAAGAGTACGAAGATCTTGATCGTTACTACTGGTCAATGTTAAATTTACTTGATAGAAGTTATTATTTTCATCCATTGGTTTAATATCTCCAATACGGAAAATGGTATAAATAGAGAAGAGAACTTCATCTCCTGTATGAAAATAACTAACATTGTTAACAGAAGCAAATGGACTTGTTGAATCTGTAGGATTAATGGACATAACAAATAGAATTCCAACAAGATCAGGATTTGTAGCAACTTGTTGGACGAAATTTAGAGAAATATCACGGTTTTTACTAGTCGATAAAAACTTATTAAATGAAAGAAGTCCACCTTCAGTTTTTGTCATTTTGGCGAAATCTTCTTTTGAAAGACCTTGTCCACGGTAAACTGTAAATGTTTTATCAGATTGTTGACCATCAAATTGTTCCGAATGCAATCGTTGAATATCACGATGTAAATCATTAATAAAGAAACCCATTCGAACAATAATATCAATATCCATTAATCTTAATGCTTGATTGAGCATCGGATATAAAAAACATCGATAATTATACCACCAAATCGGTGTTTGCTTATGATAATGACCGTCCAATTTTTCAATATTTTGTAAATCATACTCATTTTCGGCAAATGCTTCGCGACAATAAGTGATAAATTCTTTGAAATGATCTTCTTTGAAGTTGATCGTTAATAAGATCTCTTTCAAGATCTGCGTATACATGAATGATGGATCTAATTGATCCAATTTCTTGTCTGATGCCATAAAGCTGATTGAAATAGTATTTTGCTCACATTGGTGAGCAGCTTGTTTAAGAGCCCCATAGATTGATGTTATATCTGTAAAGACTCCTTTTATTTTAGGCCATTCTTTGGCCCATTGCTTATGCCATTCTTGATTGTTACAAAAAATAAAAATGGTATCGACTTGGGACATATCATGTACATGAGATACAATATATTGCCCAAGTGAACCTGAAACAATCATGCATACCTTATTGTTGGTAATGGTCTGAATAAATTCAACACACTGATCGCTATCTGTAAACGTGTTTACGTTCTTAACCACACGTTTCAATCGTTTGATTGTATTACTGCAATCAGCATTATTATGGTCAATATTGTTGTCTAACCAAATTAAAAGGACATTTTGCGTTCTTTGCATGTTCATACGTCGATTTGCAACTGCACTCATCGAAAGACTAGATGCTAACTCATTTTTTTTCATATCATCTAATCTGTTAGTTGCCATTGACTTTGACAATTTGTTATTTGTAATATGAATGTGTTATATTTGAGTAGCTTGAAAATATTTGCAGGCGAAAGAAATACGAAAGTGGTTCATTTTATAGTGTCTCTACTTTCTATCTAGATTGTTATTTCAATTTTTTAATTGTCTGCCAACGCATTTTATGTTAATAATTATATATTTTATCATGAAAAACAACTCATATGCGCACGAAATGCAAAATGAATGTTTTGAAACACGGTTTGACAAAAATAAACGCGTGGAGACGCAATTTAAAAAAAAACTTTTGAAACGCATTTTGATGCACTGTGTCTATATAGCGGGTTGAAGTGCAATTAGCAAAAATGAAATGCCTCTCAACGCGTGTCTGAAACATATTTAACGCGTTTAAATGCATCTCATATTTTTTCAATCATATTCGAATGAGATCATATTTCTGAGTGCATTTGCATGTGTTCATTTCTTGCTTTTCAGATCAAATTTCACTGTAGAAATTGTTGGTCTAGAAGGATAAATCATGTGATCGAGATCGTCTTTTAATATACAGTGAAACCTCTCATAGTGAACATCCCTCGATAGTAAACACCTCCGTTTTATGAACGATCTCAGATCCGACGGAGTGATTTTTGTTGGAAATGCATCCCTCCAATATAAACATCTATATGATGTTCTTTTGACTTCTTTCTACTTTCTGTCATGTTTTCTTTGCACTAAAAGTAGGTGCCTTTTGTAGATGATTCGAGTGTTGTACGTTTCGAACAACGTATGGCAGTAAGACGTGATTTAAACTTACACAAGAAAATAGAACTAATTTTTGATTATAATAATGGTTTATCTCAAGAAACTTTATCCGAAAAAAGTATCATATTTTACTTGGTTCTGTATGTAATATCGTGAAGCGAAAGACCACCAAGAATAACAGATGCAAAAGAGATAACATGAAAACTGCATTTATTTTCTACCGTACAACAACCACAATTACACTCATTGATAAGTGAATTAGAATCTAAATTAATCGATCTATATATTTATTCGAAAACAATAAGACAGACAATATTAGAAGATTTTTTTATGTATTTTATTCAAAAAGATTTGACGAAACATCATATAGATGTTCATTATCAACGATTTCAAAAATGAAACTACAAATTTTATTTTACTTTTCTTAGTAATGAGTTATCTAAAAGTAACATCTTTTTCAATTCAAACTTCACCATCACTTTCTACAATCTTAGAATTAACAAATTTTGTTATTTCACATTAATACTCGAATCAGATATAATACAGAACGTGAATATAGATGTAGGTAAGTGTTTAGTAAACAGTAAATTTACATGCTATTTAATCATCCACCGACATTCACTAACTCATAATCTTCACATGATATTATAATTTATTGGGATAAAAAGATAAATAAAACCTTAAGATAAATATAAAATGAATTAATTGTATTAATTATATAAAAAAATTGAATAAGAGAAGAAAAATCTTAGAAGTATAGTAACAGATTAAGCTGAATTGATTTTAATTTTATACATTTTAAAAGGTTTAATAACTTGATTTGTTCCATTATTAAACGATGGTATATTATTATTTTGTGACATAGGTACATATAAGTATCCATCTTGACTGACATCAGATGCATCCCCCCAAATAATTCTTTCATCACGTACAATTAATTTCCATGAACCATCAAGAATACTTTGTTGCCAGATTGCTTGTCTTTCTAAATCCATTAAATAAATAAAACCTTGATCATCCATTGTTGTTCCACCAGTAGGCATTGTTTTCCAACTCGTAGAAACTTTTTCACCAAGTTGAGCTTCATTCATTGATTCATCTAATAAATAGTTAGTTGAAATTTGAAACCAATTATAAGAAAATGAAGGTTTATAGTAAAGAATAGTTTCATCAGGTGTTAATTCAAGATTATTATTTGGCATTTTTTTTGGTTTACCACTTGTATCTAATACAACTCGTCCTTCCATTCGAACAACAGTTGGATATGCAAATTTAGTTGATGGATGTTGATCAAGTACACGACGTACTTGACCACTTTCTAAATCAATAATAACTACTGATCCAAGACCAGACTCAGTTAAAAATGCATATTGAGAACCTATTCTAACATCATTTAGAGCAAATCCTGGTGGTGCATTTAAGTTTGAAGTAGAATAAATTCGTTCAACTTTATTTGTAGTTAAATTAATTTTGATGAGTTTTGAACCATTAACATATGTTTTATTTCCAACCATTCCACTATCAACAACCCGAAGATTATTTTGTGTATCAGTTAAAATAGCATTAATATTAACAAAACGTTTATCAGGATTGTCATACGATGTTATTGGATTAAATGTATTCCAGTCACCACCAGGATATGGTTTCAATATGTTATTAGATAAAATTTCAGCAACAGAAAGAGTAACATCACCCGTTGCTCGAGGAAAAGCAGCAAATATTCGATTTGTTTTTGTTAAAGCAACACCATTCCATTGATAATCAGGTGATTGAGCTACTTCAATGAGTCGATTATCACCAACTATTGTTTGAAAAATTAATAAAAGGTAAAACAAATGTATTATTATCATTTTTTGTTCAATAAATTTCTAAAACATATTTAATATCATTAAATTCCAAAGAGTTTCGTTTATAAATAAATAATTTTATGACGAAGAATCAATGAGCTATTTCATTTCAAACAAAATTTAAAAAAAAATATGCCTTTTACTTCACAGAACATGCTGATTTTGTAGATATAGAGACAAAATGAGGTTCTTACAATATTTGTACTCTGACGTCCTACACTAATTTGATATCTTGATGACTTTCGCTACCGTTAATATTCCCAAATTTCTCAATCTTTATTAGCGAAACCGAAATTGAAATTAAATAGACCACTGTATGAGATTACTTAGTCTATCTTTGTTAATTGCTGTTACATTTATTCTCAGAAAATATCTTGCTTTTAAATCTATTAATGTAAGAAATCCATGTTCAAAAAATATTTAATTAGACACCGTCTATATCCATAATTTTATTATTGTTTGAAATATATTCAAACTCACTTATATATCCTTCGTATGAAAATTTCTAGAAATTTCTCAAATATTTAAAGTAAACGAAAAAACTTTGTTACCAACCTAATATATAAAACCAGAGTAATTAATAAAAAAAATTATTTCAGGCGTTTACTTTAGGCATCAGCTTTATCTATAAATCAAGGGAAAGCAAATTGATTTCAAAAGCTGAAATCATGGAAAATGATACACAGGGATGTAACAATGACAATGTATTAGTATCGCTTAAAACTGTACAGCTCTTATTTGATTTATTATAATATGAACTTAGCAATATATTATCAGCGTCATTTGAAGGAGTAAACTAAGTAACCTTATGATCGACTCGAATAATATTACGTTCTATTTTGGTAATAAGAGAAAGAAAAAACCTAATATAATTTGATTTGTTGACGAGCGAATTAGTTGTATTTCACGTGCATTTTTTCTTCGTATCACCACCAAAACAACCACATTATTATTCAAATCAATCATGGGATTATTGTGAGTTCTCTTTGAAATGAATCAATATCAATAGTGAAGACAGGATTTGTATTCTTATAATTTTAATGAAATGAAATTACATAAAATAATAAAGGCTATAAAGAAGTATTCTTATTTTACTTTAAATCATTTTCAAACATCTAGAAGAATTCACACAATAATGGAATTCTATTTTTGATATAAATGTACTTCTAGAGGAACATTAATTGATACAGAGATTAAAATGAAAGATATAAGAATAATCTTCTAAAGATCTATAAATGATTAACTATAAGTCTATGTTCTACTCTTATTTTGATAAATTTATTTTAAAAACAAAGTCATCATACGTATAGAAAAGATTATACTGAAACAATAAAACATACAGTTCCAAAAATATAATGCGAACAATTTTTTTAGAAAAATAATATTATAAATATTTAATATAGTATTGTACAGATGGATGATAATTCTAGATGCATACAATTTCAAGCAAAATATTATAATAATAAATCTATTCGAGTACTTTATTAATTTCAATTTTAAGGATATGGTAATAAATTTTGTTTTTGTGACTAATCAATAGTGGCTTAGAATAAATTTATGAATATATTTTTCATATGCTAAAGTATCTAGATACAATAATTTTCTTTCATGTATTTCAATGTTATTATTATTTGGCAACAATGTATCACACACTATTGCGTCTCATATTGATTAATTTTAAAAAATCGTTTTATGCAGTAGTAATTATGTCGAGTTCGACAAATTTGAAAGATGGGGAATGTTAGGCAGCTTGCCACAGCCTTCACGTCAAGTTCGGTTAGATCGAAAGAAAACTGTCTGAGGACAATTCTATTATGAACTAATATTAACAAAAACTATACTAATATTTAATCTCAATTAATGCACCATAATACAAGTAATGTAATTGAAAAAAAATCTAACTAGGTCCATATTGACGACATTAAAAAGTAGGCATGACTTATTTTTCGCTTATCGCTAAAAAAATATTGTTCTTTCAGATCATTTTTAGAAAGACATGACATAAATATTTACACAGACATTGAAATATATTTAGTAGTTAACATACGTTCTATGTCAAGTATAAGAAACAAAGGAAACAACACTTAAAAGATATTCTCACGACTACCGGTAATAAGAAAAACCAAACATTTCTATTTGAGGTCGTAATAGAATGTACTGATTATTAGAACATATATAAAGATTTTCATAATTGGATAAACGGCTTATTATTAAGTAAAACTTTTATTTGAATTTCAACATTTAATTATGGATACAGAAGTAGAAATCAGTTTTCAATCTGAAGATGCGTAAGTTTAATTTGTATATTATTCATTTAAGAATAAAAAGAAAGATTTTCTAGAACATCGTCTGTAGTCAATGATAAAAGAGGATGTTTTTGGATTTCTTTAGCTATTATTATTATATCAATCTTGGTAGCTATTCTGTTGCCAACAGTGCTTATTCTCACCAGACATAATGATAATACTAGTTCAACAGGTATGATTCTTATTCAATTCGTATAGATTGACGTGAGAGATTTTGTTTTAATTGACTCATGTTTTCATTATGAAATCGTACAAGTCTTGAGATTCAGTATCCATTCTTTTCATGAAAAAATCATGAACTTCATAATACTTTATGGGATGTCTAAAAATTCTCACAACTCTATAAAAAAATATTTTTCGATGTATTACAGAGTTTCAAAATTATTATTGTATCATTTCAATAGATATTCTTCATAGATAACTACATATAATAGAAGATTAGTTTGCCTAACAGAATATTTCATACTTATTTTTGTTTTATAAAATATCAAGGTGGATCGCCAAAATCGATGATAAAAATGAATATTACAAAGATATGATCATTATAAACGTTCTATTGAAGCACAAAAGAAAATATTCTATATTCTATTCAATTGATTCCATTAATGAACTGAATTATATCGATAAATAGAATGTATTTGTCAAAACTTTTCAAATTCTATTTTTTTAATAATCTATGCTTATGTCATGATTTTTCTCTTTGTAACAGCAATTTTTTTAATCAGAATATTTCATATTATCATTTTCTATTATAGCTTTTTCGTATTTTGTGGAATCTTCTACGCTTTTTTCTTTATATTTTTTGTATTTCAGCATATGCCATTGTATAAAAAATGACAAAAAATATTTTTAAATTTGCTTTATTGCGTGCAGAGCATTGTAATAAGCAGTTAATCTTATATTCTAGAAAAGTAATATAATTATATATTTTTGTTCAATTCAATATCGAGATGTTTCTTTCAGATTTTCTTCTTAGATTTACAAAAAAAATTGGATGAAAAATATTTCTCTTGTCATACATCTACAACACATCGATGAGTGGAAAATATTCCAATGCTTTTAATATTATTTTATCATACATTTTTGCTAGAAATTCTTTTTTCATTTTAAGAATTAAGTAAATAAGGTATAACATGATGATAATCAAGAATTAAGTATATATAGATAATGTCTGTTTTTTTTCTTGTAGTGCATCAAATTTTGTTTGTCCACTTCAAGATATAGCCGAAACAGATTGTAAAGGTCCAAAAGATTGTCTTTATCCAAATCCAGGCAACTGTGGATCATTCATCAAATGCACAGTAGACCCCAGCGGCATGACTGGCACTCCCCACGTTATACCTTGTCAATCAGGTTTGAAATGGAACAATAAGGATAAAGCATGCGATTCGATCCTACAATCCACTTGTTGATCGACAAATAAAGTAACACAGGTTCATAATTCTATACAATATCATACTGACTGAAATTAAAAACTATTTACATTATATATCTATGTAGTTTACACAAAAACTTAGATTGTAATCAATTTTTTTTCATTCGTAAAGATTGTTTTTTTTTCTTCAAATAAATATGAAATCAATAAAGAAACAAAAGATCTCAGTACAATCTCTGAGAAATTAAAAGATACAATGCAAACCGACTGATGGAACTCATAGGAAAGATACATTAATTCAATAGGTGTATGATCCAGTTTGAGATCATTCATTTAATTAGATTTTCAGAACTCATTCAAAATAGTATATGATCACAAACAGTAGATATCAGTTATAGTGTATATAAATCACGTTTATTTGCATCAGATTTTTTGCAGAAATGTTCATTAGTACAAGAAATTATGTATACTTTCAGTTCGTTTTTCTTGTAGAAGAATACAGATTATATTCTGTTATTTTTTGCTGTATAAGTAATATTTTAATGAAAATTAGCTCGAATATTAATGGAAGATAAATTAAGTATTATTATTCTTTAATATTTTATCATCAGTTAATACTCACAAAAGCCATATTGATTAGTCGCACGCTATCAATCATCTTCTTTAAGCATGATACTTGTGGATGTGGATTGAAGACTTCCTTTATTTTCATCCGCAAGCACCCACACCCAATTATTGAGCTTGAGATAGAAAATAATAATTAATAAAATATCATTAAAATCAGGATACTATTTTATCTTAACGATCAGTATTGCTAATTACATCATCGAACGATTTTGACGTATATTCTCGATCATCCAATATTTGTTAAAAGAAGTTCTGACAAAAGAAGAAGGATCAAATAACCATCGTTTTGTTATTTAACAAAGGTCACTTAGTCACTCATAACATTCATATTACTATGAAAGAAGTCTTACTGAACATTCGTTTGTCATAATCACGTCTTTAGTTATTCGATCTACTTTTATTATAAGAAAAAAAAGTAAAAGAAGTAATTTGAGATACGAGAATAAAAGAGAAAAAGAAATGACGCGATAAAAAAAAGCGTTCATTTTGATCAGTTCATTCTATTGCGATAATCATAATGCATAATCATCATTTATTCATCTATCTTATTCTTATTTTATTAAGTATATATCTCACACCATCTTCACAATGTGATGAACATTCTAATCAAGATGAGATTCCATTTAATACTAAAGTTCAACAATCACCATACATTCTTATTGGAACTTCATTAAATAAGAATATCGATTATAATATTCCAAATTTATTCAATGTTACATTTCTTGTTCAATGTATTTTAAAAGGTCGACCAACTCAACGTATTATTCAAATTGTTCAAGCAGGTACATATTATTATTCTTATTTCTTCTTCATTGTGAAATTTAATTTATTTTAGGTTCACTTCTTGGACGTCATTCATGTCAAAGACTTGATGTCAATCAAGAATATATTGTTTTTCTTGAACCATTTTTTGATGGAACATATCGACCAATTGATCTAGAAGAAATTCTATATGATAATCGAGTACCTGCGTTACTCGCAAAAACATGTGGTCTTTCACGAACTTATCCTTTTACGGAAGCAAATGATACTGAAGCTACATTAACTAATAAATGTCCATCAGCTGTTTCAATTGATTGTCCATTAGGTTTGTTTTTTTTATTGACGAAACAAATTTAAATTTCTTTTTTTCTTGAGTAGAAATACCAAAAACAATAGTTGAAACATCAACAATAAGTACAATCTTATCAACGACCACTGCAACAACAACAACAATGAGTTCTGTGATATTTGCAAGAAGTACAATAGATTTCGATGCATTATCACTTCTTCTAGCGCAACATCAACACCAGAATCTCAGTCTTGCTTTTCTACAAGGTCAAAATCATAAAGCACTTTTTTCTGATGATGAAACACGAAAAAATCAAGCAAATCAAATTCCATTAATTATTACTCTTATTTTTATTCAATTTATTTTCTGTAGTATTATTCTTCATCATTTTTTGTAAAACAACAGTATTTGATTAACATTTAATATAATAAACGTTTTTTTTATCCTACCTTTATTTATATACAGAAAAAGAAAATTTGACAGTAACTCTTAAATATAACATGATGGACAAAACAAAAATATCAGTCAGCTGATTATCGAAATTGACAAATAGTGAATTGCTATACTAGTTCTATCTATTACATGGAAAGAATGAAAGACAAACGTTTATATCTTTCTATATCACATCGTCCATATTGTTCACGAACAAAAACAAGGCATATCGGACGTGCATTCTTTCTTATTTCCATTGTCAATATATAAACACATACAAATATTCAGTTTAATTTGTTTCTTATATCTTGTCTACTTTAGTGCAAAATGTTTGGTATCAATACGATATTGCTTGTTACGATATTTTCTATTTGTCATGTTCAATCAATGTTAGATGAAAATTGTCCCGTTGATAATGTTGATTTTGAAACTAAAGTAGCTAATTCATCGATTGTGGTTTATGGAAAAGCAACTGAAACAAAATTATATGACGGAAGTGATTCAACATTTTTTGTTAAATTTCGTGTTGATTGTATTTTAAAAGGACCGGTTATTAATCATCTTATTAATATTACAAAAGCTGGTAAGTTCTAAATAGATAGTTTATTTTTAACTAAAATTAACATGTATATATTTTATTTAAGGTCGAGTAGAAAATAAAACATATTGTCAAAGTTTTTCTGTTGGTCGTGGTCATGTAATAACTTTTCTTGAACCAGATCCATTACATTTCAATGATTCAAAAAGTTTTATTCCAACAGATTTTGTTGAAATACAATTTCAAGATAATGTTACGAATGAATTATTAGCAAATACATGTAATCTTCATCAATTACTTCCATTTCAATCAACAGCATCAATTGCTGATGCATGTCCAATTGTTTCGACAGAATCGAAATGTATTCATACAACAATGAAAACTGATTTAGAATTAACAAGTTCATCAGTACTTATTTCAGGTAAATATCATCATGGATCTGATGATATTCGTAGTAAATCTGGTACAATTCAAGTTGATGTTGATACAAAGAATGGTGACAATCGTTTAAATATTAGTATTCTTCTTATCTTAATGACTGTTTTTGTTCGATTGTATTAAAATAACAAATATTATTTTTGTTCATCGAAAAATGAAATTTTTGTTTTTTGTTTCTTGTGTTAGTCAAAATATTTCTTCTCACTCTTGTGTCGATCTTTTCTCGAAAGTGTATATATATGAATCTCAAAATTAATAGTGAATAAATGATCACATTGAAATTTGTTTTCTAAATATCATACTTACTTAAAGAAATAGACTCTAGTAATATAAGATTAGTTGTTTGTCTAGAGAGATGTCTTAATTGATGATAAATTGCGACACCTGTATTACTTAGGAGTGGTAAACAAACTCCTCCAATGAGTCTTATTTACCATATAACAGCTGACTGAATAATTGCCGTTAGTAAACAATGTTGATCAAGGCAAACAAAAACTAAAATATAAACATATATATTAATGCATTTATATTACTCTCACGTGTAAAGTACAAAGTCTATCCTTATATTTACAGCTGTAGACCTTGTGATTAGTATTTCGTTCTTCCTAACAGTACAATAATATAGACATATACAATTAAATATGCATCTCAATGGTACAGAATCAATACAAGAAACAAATATAATGAATACTCAAGATTTGACATGTCCAATATGCATGTGTAAGACATCGTTTTTTATTTGTTATATTATTATATAAAATATACGAATAGGTATTGCTGGAGATCCACAAATAACGTCATGTTGTCAACGAGTATTTTGTACGAAAGATGCTGATCTTAATCAATATTATAATGGTTGTCCGTTATGTCGTGAAAAAGAATTTTCATTTAAATCATCTCCTAAACATAAAGAAATGCTTGAACATTTAACTATTAAATGTATTTGTTCGGAATATATTGCTCCGGATGATTATGAAAATCATCTTAATCGATGTTCAAATGCTACATTTACTTGTCCACATAATATTTGTCGTGAAAAAGTATTTCATCTTATTATTTCAATGAAACAGATAAATAATTTTTCTTTCTCGAATAGAATGATTTAACAAAATATAATTCTCAACAACTTGTTAGTCATCTTGCTCGATATCATTGTGATGAAGTACCGTTACTTGGTTCAACATATATAAATAAAACTTCGGTTGAACCCTATAAAAAAGCATCGAATAAATATGATGATCTTGTTTCTGCATTATACTCTGTAATTTATCCAAAAATGATCGATATACAAATGAAAAATTCTTCATTAAATGAACGAAAATCATCGATATTCACATGTCCAAAAGGACATAAATTAATTGAAGCTGATCATACAAAACGTAAACGTGAAAATGGTTTAGTTTATGCATCGTCAGGTTTTAATTGTGACATATGTCAACATACATTTTCCAGTGGTCAATCATGGCATTGTTCATGTACAGATACTGGTTTTGATAAATGTGTTGCTTGTTTTGTTTTTCAATTATATAATCTTGATGATCCAATATTAAGTTTAGCAAGTCAAGATAAAGAAAAACAACAAGAACGTAGTAGACGACGAAGTCTTCGAAATACTGCACGTTTACCACGTGGTTTACTTCATTTATTAACTCAAAGTATCGATGAAGATGATGATCATGAAACTGATCTTGATCTGTTAGCATTAAGACAACGATCATCATTTTTATATCAACAAGATACAACTGAATCAAGAAATAATGAAGCCAACCGTCGAGAAGATTAAAACAGTATTTTGTCATATAAAATTGTATATATTTTATTTTTTGGGGTATATATTTCTTAATCGATAGAAATAAAAAAAAAGCTGAATCATTTTTTATTAGAAATGCTCTTCAGATACACATGCGAAATAACATAGTAGAAATGAAGTATGTAAATAAAATAGTATCGAAAAACTTGAACTTTTGTCACATGAAGCAAAAATTCAACATTGTAAGAAATGATTCAAATACATGTCCTTTTAACTCTCAAGGTGAATAGTGAAACTTGAGAATTTATGTAATATGCATCAATTATATCATTGAAACTCAATTCGACTATCTTTTGATAATACTTATCGTTAATAGATTTTTTAAGATAGGATTTTATTTTTTTTACAAAAAAAAGTATTACAATTGACAGACATAGTTAACTGAGTAAGAAAGATCGCTTGATTAATATTTTCAACTAATTATAAAGAGATTTTTGTCGTTAAGTAACATGCTATTGATCTGATTAACTATATAGTTTAGATAGATCTTGACTAGCTTCTTCCATAGTTGGATATTTAAATGTATAACCAGATTGTAATGTTGCACGTGGAATCACTTTTTGACCATCTGTTGCAACAATTGCTCGTTCAGGACCAAGAAGAGTTCTCATAACAAATGCAGGCATTGGAAAAATAGCTAAACGTGGTGGAGTAAATGCAGCAGCAAATGTTTTTGAAAATTCTTTATTTGTAATTAATTGTGGTGCACATGCATTTAAAATACCATTAACATGATTATTTTGTATAGCATAGATTATTAATAAACAGACATCATCAAGATGAATCCATGGAAATGGTTGTTGACCATTACCAATTGGACCTAAGAAATGTTTACATATTTCATTCAATAAACTTTTTATTTATTTGTTTTTACCTCCTAAACTAAAGAAAAATGGCCAATACATCGATCGAATCATTCCACCAGTAGAACCAAGTATTGCTCCTATATATTATGAATATTACAAATGAATATTATTAAATTAACATACCAGAACGAAGAATAACTCTTCTAACATTAAATTTTGTTTCGATTGGTTCTGATGCTTGTTCCCAATCTCTTGCTAATCGTGATAGAAAATCATAATCACCACCTTCTGATGCTTCTGTATATTCTTTAACTGAATCTGGTTGATAATAACCTTTGTAAATATTTATAAAACAAAAAATAAATATTATTATAAAATAAAACTTACTAACACCAGACATTGATATATAGACATCTGGCTTATCATCTTTTAAATCTCGAATAAAATCAACAAATGCTTTTGTTGTTCCTACTCGACTTTGAACAACTTCATTTTTATATGCATCTGTCCATCGTTGAAAACTAAGTAAAGGTGCACCAGCCAAATTTACAATTGCTTTTATTGGTTTTACTATATTCGCTATATTTCCATTACGAATATCATCCTATGAATGAAATCTCTACTATTCATCAAGTTATTAATGAACCAGGTCTTTCTCGTAGAAAGGCATCCTCTTCACATTTACTGGAAAAACAATTGAAAATCGTGAAAAATCGGTTTCTGATGTTTTTTTGACCCTGCGGACACACAAGCAAACAAGTTATGATTATTGGACTCTTCTCTACGAGAAAGAGAATAATATCTTATAAATTAATATTTTCTCTTATCAAAGTTAGTATGAAGAAATCTATTTATTGTATATACCCATGTTATAGTATCTCCTTTTCCATCAGATTTTCTTGATACAGTCCAAACATTTTGAAAACCTTTTTCTCTCAATAATTTTACCAAACGTTGTCCAACAAAACCTTTTCCACCGCCTAAATGAAATGATAACATTTTTTCCATAAAATATTCATTCTTTCTCACCTATAATAACACTCATCTAGAATAATAATTTAACTCATTTTGTTTGTTTTCTGTTTTTAAAAAAAATCCTTTCGAATAAAACAATTGAATTTTATGAATAAATTACACGAAAACATGCACAATCAAGAATATATTTTTATATATAGAAATAAAAACAAAAAGAAAAAATCAATTGTAGCACTGTTCAGGAAATGTATTTAATTCAGCTTCATCACTCATGTTTGTATTATTAACTTGATAATTAAGTTTAATTCGCATACGAATTTTTTCTCTATTTGGATTTGTAATCTTTATTATTTGTTGAATATCTCCTGAATTATTTGCTGGTATTGTTGTACTACTTGCCGGATATAAATCAATATTGAATGTCTAAAACAGTAAATAATATAGATTTTATTTTTAGAAAAAAAAATATTTATTTTACTTTAGGTACGGCTGCTTTAAATATAAAATTTGTTATTGAATATTGTGTAGAATTTGTTATTTTAGAATTAATGGTTAATGTTGTATTATCTCGTTCAAATGTAAATATCATACGTATACCATTTTTATCGATTGCTGTCATTGATGGAATACCTAAAAGAAATATATGTGTATTATAAATAGAAAAAATACTTTCAAATTAATTACTTTTAGTTGTAGGATTTGTTGGTGTATCAAAATCAAAAAGTGAATCTTCAAGTGGATTGAATAATGATGATGAATGGTTTGGGTTTAACGTACCACTCGTTGTTTGAATGGGATCATTAAGTATGTTTACCAGATTAATCTAAAGAAATAATTCAAATTCGAAAGGAAAATTAATCATTTAATCATATTACAGGTTCATCAGATGGAACATGCTCGTGTTTTCCATTCACAGGTGAGTTTTCTTTCGAATTAATGATTGATTCTTCTGGTTCACTACTATTTGTGTTTGATGTTTGATTACTAATTAAAACTGGCATACGTTCAACAATACTTGATCTTTAAAATAAAAACATAGATAGTTTATTCCTTTGAATTTCACCTTTTCATTATACCTTATGATATTATGTTTAGTAAAAAGTGATGTATATTCCACTGCACGTGTTTGTAATTCTAAATTCATATTACATGCATAATATGTCATCACAGATTGTATGCGACTAGAAAATAAGAGCGATATTTATTTAATATTCTGATTATATAAAAGGAATTTACTCGGAACAATTTGGAAAACGAGTACTTAATTTCATTAATGCATTAATAGCATATTCACGTGTTATAACTGTACTTAATGATGAATTTAATATTCGTTCTAATATATCAATTATTTCAATTTCGACAACCTATTAAAAGAGAAGATTTTGATGAATATTTAATATTCAAATTTACTCGAAGATTTTCTTCATTTTGCGGTTGTTGATTGACCAATAAATCACCAAATTCACCTATATATATATAAATTTAAATAAATATTTTTTCCTTGATTTTTTCGATTACCTAATGTCCATGATGCGACTTGAACAAGTGGTTGTTGAGTTATATCATTTTGCATTTTTTTATATAATTGATGAGCAGCATAGCCATATAGATCAGGTGTTGACGAAATAATACCAATCAAACTCGATACAATATCATCACGAACACTATTTCCAGCCTTAAAAATAATAGATTAAAAAAATAATAAATTTCTTTTCAAATAATTAATTATTTACAGTGGTAAGAACTTTAATCATTTGATCAACATGCCATTGTTTTGTCGGTGAAAAACTAAAAAACAATAATTATATTTTTATGTAAAAGATAGATTGCTAGTTTTATCCAGCGGGAAGGTCCCGCCCATCCGAAAAACGAAATCTCGATAAAATACTGGTCCTAAGAAAAAAGTTTCATTTATTATTACCGATCCATTGCCAAAAACATATTTGATGTACAATCAGATTTAAATTCTAATTCACATGTTCCAAGAAAATCTAACATTTCATCTGTCATTGTTCGTATATTGTTTTTATTCATCAATGCAAAACATAATTCCATTGCACGTCTACAAAAAACATTTCAATTTTTTTTTTTCAAGAATAATTTTTACCGTTTAATTGATACATCAGCATCTTTAAGACATTCAACAATTGTTGCTCGATGTCTTTGTACAGCATTTTGATCAGCATGTACAACACGTAGTAATGTATTTAATGCAACATAACGAATATTTTTATCAGTATTTAATAAAAATCGACCCAAAATATTCACAGCTAAAACCTTAATTACAAAAGAAATATATATATACTTTCAAGAAAATCAAATCAAGTCTTACTCGTAATCCAGATTCAGAATTGATATCCATAATTGTCAGAACAGTTTCATATAAAATAGCATTTCCAACATTTTTGCTATTTTCTGTATTCGTTGATACTTGAGCAAGAATATCATTCATGCTATCACTGGCTTCATTATCATTTCGACTTAATACACGTAATAAACGTAAAAGATGAACCTAAAATGAATGATTAATTTGATTCATTTTTTTTTAAATTAAAAAAATCTAAAATTTACTTGTAAAAATGGATCACTAATTCCTGATACATCATGATCTGGACTACATCCAGCCATAATTAAATTTTTGAGAATACGCACAAGATTAGGTACTAACTAAAAAACAGATAAAAAAGGAAAAGATAATATTTTGAAAAAAAAAATATTAAATTCAAACATTGCGAAAGACTTGTAAAGCTTGAGTATTCTGTTGGCACATTTCAGTAATAAGAGTTGTAGCAGTCAGAAGAACACCTAAATGATTCATTTATTATATTTTACAGAAATAAACAATAAAAGTTTTCAAATCAAACCATGATGTTTTTCACTTAGTAAACTTCGAACAGAATTTTGAAAAACATCAAATTGTTCAGGCACTTTTCGTATTATACGAACAGCACATAGAATAGCCTAGAAATACTCATTAAATAATCTTATTTTAAAAAAAAACATTCTTTTTACTTTTTTTTTTAAATAAACATTTGATGATTTCATTAATCGTTCAACTTCACCACCTAAATCACGACTCATTTCAGGTGAACAAATCGTACCCAATGCACATAATGCTAAACCGGCTACATATTCATTTGAATTATTCAGATCACTAGAAAGAAATAGATTGAATTTAATGTTACAAAAAACCGAAGGTATGACTAGATGAATCAATATTTATTTTTAATTATCGATTTTATTACTTTTTCTTATATATATGTAACTACAGAATTGTTTATTTTGTAAATATTAATTATGAAAATCAAGTTTATCGGATATACATGACAAGAAATTGAACGTATTATAGTATTCAATCTATATTATCGTTATCTTTTCAATGGTTTTATTTTGAGTGGGCGAATCGAAATTTCGAATGGGCGCCGCCCGCTAGATAAAATACTACTTGTAACATTATCGAGGTTGAAATATGCTTAGAATACCTAAGATACCAAGTCTATTGTACAAGTTATCAACTTATTATCATGTTTGATTTTCTTCACACTTAATACGATTAAGAAAAATCATTTACTTTTTTAGTGAATTTGTAATGAGTACATGAATATCTTGTCGTTCATCAAGTAATAACATGGCTCCCAGATAACCAATACGTTTATCTGTAAAACGTGTTGATGCAATTAGTTTCAAACATTCAAGCTATAATAAATAATTCGAATTGTTTAGCAAGAGAAACTTTATTTTTCTTACTTGTCCAAAATGTGCTGGATAACCAAGTAATGAAATATAAAGTAGTTTTGCCACATTTCGACATCTCCATGTATTATCTTCATCACGGAATGCATCTCGTATGTATGCGGATTCTTTTTGTACAACGGCACGTTCTTCAGCTGCTGTTTTAGCTGATCGTATTTGTCTTATTAATTCACGAAGTCGAACTGGATTTGACTAGAATTTTAGAATGAAAAAAAAAGAATAATTCACATTTATATAACTAAGTTATAAAGATATACCATAGATAAATCTGGAAACTTCATATTTTAAATCAATTCAATTGAAATTATTTTACAGGGATCAAAAAAAAGCCAAAAAAATATTTTTTATAGGTTTGTATCCTATGGCTATGACTCATACAGTACGTTGGTTTGCCATTTTGTTGATCGAAACATTTCTCCTCGTAGAAAAAAGAGGGCGCTTTAATATTTAATTTAATAAAATCTTTTCTATTTTTCTATTTCAAATCTATTCTAGTTTTTTTTCATTGTGATTTCTATGAAAAATCATATAAATAAATAAGATTTCTAATTGGTTAATTATACATATAGTATTTATAACTATCTGTTCGATTGATCAATAGATAAATATAATTATTGAGTAGAACAAAATGGATGATGAACAAGTATCAACTCCAACATCTGATTCAACAATAAAAATAATATCTGACTTAGATTTACGTACAAAAAAAGCCTATCAATTTAAAACAAGTGTACTTGAACGGTTACGTGAACAACGAAATTCACGAGAATTTTGTGATCTTGTTCTTTGTGCTGAAAATGAAAAATTTAATGTACATAAGTAAGAAATATTTTTTGTCTATGAATCAAAATGAAATATTTATTATTCAGATGTGTACTTGTTGCAAGTTCGGATTATTTCGAAGCTATGATAAGTCGAAGTGGCATGCAAGAAGCAACTGCTGGTAAATAAAAATTATTGAATTTTTGTTAATATAAATTTTTTTTTCTTTTCTAAAAATAGATACAATTGAATTGAAAGATATTACAGCCAATGGTTTACGAGCAGTACTTGATTTTATTTATACTGGCGAATTATCATTAAGTATTGAGAATATTGGTATGTATGATTAAATGTATTAGAAAGGTTTCATGTATCTTTCGAATTTATTCAAAATGAAACCTTTGCAAAATTTAGTAATATCGAAGACGAACAAATTTGAAAAAAAAAGACATATTTACGTGTGTGAACATTGTAGAACGAAATAAAATATGAGTATATTCATACACTAAAAGATAAAATCAAAATGAAGTTGAGTTTATTGCTTCGAAATACATAACTAAGAATAGTGAGTTGAGAAATATTTGCAACCGTTTTGAATGCTCCTGGTGAAATATATGTAGAGCAGTGGCGGATTTGAGGGGGGGGGGAGCAATGGGGGTCATCGCCAGGGTTGCCAAACCTCCTGATTTTTAAATATTTCTTAAATATAATAAAAAAGAAATCAATAGAGAAACGAGTTTTGTGCAAGGGTATACTTTCGGAGAGCGTATATGATACATGCAACAAAAATTATATTTTTAACTGAGTATTACAATAAATAATTAGAACATGATCGACAAAGAAGAGGCTATTGAGAAATCTCAATTCGTAAAAGTTCCATCTCTACGGGCCGGTCGATCTTGTTAGATTCGATTCGATTCCAGTGCTACTATGGACCGATAAATAATAAGGTTAAAGAACTAACCATGAGTCAAAGTTTCAGTTACACCAAAGTTTGACGATATGATAACAGGAATAGAATAAAAAATTAATCTTAATGGATGTCGAGCTCAAAATTAAAATGAGTAAATGTGTGAAATAGTGTAGAATTGTTAAATAAACAAATTCACTTTGAGGAAAATTACAAACGTATAGCAATAATATCAAAAAAGAATGTAGGTCCTTTACTCTGTTCTGTTTCGACTCTTCGGCGGTTACTTAAGACATGCTTATAACAGTTTTACTTGTAGTTTTCAATGGTAAGATAGATCGTCTTATTAAATCACTTCTGAAGAACCAAAACTGTAAACATTTGAGAATAAAAAGCTTTGCTTTTTTGGAAAAAGTGCGTGACACTACTATATTTTTCTTCTCGTTTAAAGGAAAAACTCTTCTGATTTTTCTCCTTATTTTCTTAAGGAAAACCTTCTGACCAACTCCTGTTTTTTAACGAAAAACTCCTGATTTCTAAAATTTGGATTTGACAACCCTGGTCATCGCTCCCCGCCCATACTCAAAAAAAAATCGCTCACCCACTTCCAAAATTCTAGATTCGCCACTGATGTAGAGTATAAAAATATTTACTCCAAAGAATAAGATTTATGTGTATTTTAAATTGCCTATTATATTCTCCACACCAATTATAAATAATTGATGAATTGACGTTAATAATACACCTTTCGACCTATCAATGAATTATCATATATAAAACAGAACACCGTTATTTACGTAGTTTATAAATCAAGATAGTTAACTAAATTTTTTCATTAATCATTTAGCTGAAGTACTTCGTGCAGTAACACATCTTCAAGTTCATCATGCAATAAAACTTTGTGAAGATTTTTTAATTGAAGAAACAACAGTTGAAAATTGTATTGATGTTCTTAGTCTTGCTGATTTATTTTCGATTCCTGTATTAGAAAAGGTTTGTTTGTTTGTTGTTCTTTTATAAATTCTAATGATTTATTTATTTTTTAATTAGATAAATAAATTTGTTTTACGTAATTTTCCTAAAGTTGCACTTAATGAAGGTTTTAAACGTTTAACATATGATCAAATTCTTTATCTTATACGTTCAAATGAATTTCGTCTTTATCCTGAAATAAAAGTTTTTGATATGTGTGTTGAATGGTTAAAATCGGATGAACAACATCGAATGATGTATGCAAGTTCATTAATGGAACATGTACGTTTTCAAACAATGAAACCTGAAGAATTTAATGATTTAGTTATGTCACATGAATTTATGAAAACAGATCCGGATTGTACACGTTATGCATTAGAAGCCTATTCATATTTTTCATTACCAAATCGTCAATATTGTTCAAAATCATCACGAAGTAAAATACGTAATGAAGCAAGTCTTGTTTGTGTTAATGAATCAATGTATATATTAAATAAACATGATGATGTTTGGGAATATATGTGCAATTCATTAGCAACATGGAGAACATTATCACAAAAATTTGTTGTTGTCAATAATTTTCTTTATGCATGTGGTGGATATTCAGAAAATAATCGAGAAACAACAAATGCATGTTATCGATTTGATCCAAGAACAGGTTTATGGTCGGAAATTGCAAGACTTTGTGAAAAAAGACAATTTTTTTCATTAGCTGGGTAAATAAATAATTAAATTTTGTCTCTATCGAAATGTGTTAGTATTATCTTATTAAAATATTGACATTCGACTAGAAGTTAAAACCGGAATAGCATAAAAGAAAAATAATTTCCCTTCATTGATCTTTTTTTTTGCTCAAATGACGCAACAATTTCTTTTATTTATTTAGTTCTAATGAATGTTTAGTCGCTGTTGGTGGGTAAGTTTTTAGCAAAATTTCATTTCAATCTTTTTTTTTATTAATTAAAATCTTTTTTTTTCTCTAAAGTGTTTATGGTGATAAAGGTAATTTTTATGCCACACATCCATGTTCAACAGCAATTGAAGTATATAATATTGAAAAAGATCAATGGCGAACATTAGCATGTATAGATTTACCAATTCTTAAATGGCCTGGAGCTTGTGTTGCTGAAAATGTTGCATTTGTTATTGGTGGAAAACATACTGATGGTAAAACAAAACAAAAAATTGAAATTGAAATAAATTATTTTTTTGTTTTTTAGGACTTAATCATCGTTTATCAGAAAATTCTTATATGGTCGATTTAGAATCAGGTCATGTAACCATTTGTGCACCACCATTAACTGTTCGATTTAATCCAACTGTATTCTATCAGAATAAACGTTTAATTTTATTTGGTGGTGAAGATGATAAATATCGTTTAGCACCTTGTATTGAAATGTATGATTTGTCGACAAATCAATGGACTGAAATTGCAACTATACCTGTATCACATTCATATCAATGTATATCAAGTTCATCAATTATGGGAGATAAAATACATTATTTACTTGAAGAACATGATGGTAGAGAAGAAGAAAAAAAGAAGTTAATTTTTAATTATTTTTTTTGTTTTAGGTCCTTCAAGTGAATCATATATTCTTAAATCATCTTATTTTGATATTGAAAAACGTACATTTGAACGTAGCGTTCAATTACCACATCCATCAACATTAGCTAGTAAATGGTGTTCATTAGTTTTTCCTCAACAATTTCTTGATGGTTGTCAAACATTTGATAATCATGAATCACATCATCATCATCATCATCATCCACATTATCATCATTATCCATCAGATAATGCACCTCGACATAGTCTAGGTGAAACAACATCAAGTGGTGGAGATATTTCATCAAGTAGTACAAATAGTGCTAGTAATAGTCCAATGATTTATCAACGTCATAGATATTATCCCGAACATCATCATCATCGTACTTGTTCAAATTAAATATTCATTTTTTTTTGTTTTGTTTTCTCATGTATAGTTTCTCGTTTTTTTAGTCTGATCGCTTTATGTGTGTATTTGTGTGTGTGTATATATATCTATGTATATGAATATATTTGTTTGTCATTATTTTTAATGAAGCAGAAGAAAACAAAAAGACATCATATTCTATTATTATCATTTCAGATTATAAAATTTTCGTATTGAAAAATGTTACGAGAGGTATGTTATTTTATATGATTTTGGTTTTTTAATTATTCACCTTTTGTTTTTATAGTCATCCACTTGTGAACAAGAAGAAATCTCAATCGAACAAAATTCCATATCATCTACGAATGATGATTTAAAAGAGTTATGTCTTTTACTTGATGAAGAAAGATTTAAAATGCATCAATTAGCTGAACAATGGAAAAATTTTGGTACAAGTGCAATACATAAACTTGAAACTCAAATAGTTGATTATCAAGAAAAAATGAACGATCTTGAACAACGACAAATCTTATTAGTAGAAGAAAATGAATCTCTTAAATCTCTTGTTGATCAATTATCAATAAATAATACTGAATCAACACAAGTAAATAAAGAAACAAACATTCTTTCTTAATATATATATATATATTTATAATAAAATTCTAGAAAAAATCTCAACAAAATATTTCAACTCAAACATATTTTGAAAAACAAGAATGTATGATTGATGATCCACTTCAACAACAAATCTCGCTTCAAAATATGTTTGATGCTATAAAAGTAAAATGAAAAATAAAAATATTTCTTATCTTGATTTGTTTTCTTTAGACTGCTGAAGTTTATGAATCCATTGGAAATATAACTGGTAATGATGCATCAGAAAAAATTGTTTTAAAAGAATTTTGTAATGTAAGATACTTTAAAATAGATAACCATGGTAATATTAAAATAAAATCTTTTTTTTTCAGCTCATTTGGAAATATCTTGAAGAACGTTCAAAACCAAAGAGTAGTTGTTTATTATAAATTATTAAATTTTTCTGTAGTCAGATATCACATGATTTTGCATTGTCATTTATTTGTTTGAGTTAATAATAATAATAATAATAAATAAATAAAATTCGATAGAAAACGATTTGATGAAGATTTTATTGATTCATATTTTATTTCTGATGTTGTTATTGTTGTTGTTGTTGATTCAATTGGCATTGGTATTTGATAAAGATTTTCAATATCATCATCTTCTTGCTCAATATTATCACTATAATTATCCTCATCATAATCATTTATATCATTAGTTGCTTTTCTTAAATTATTTCTTAAATCGTATATAGCTTGTTCTGTTAATGGTTGATTTACATGAGGAGGCATTAGAATCGATGGAATATAGACTTTTATCGTAGTATTTATTTCACATTGAATTAATCTAAATAGAATTTATTCTTAATTAAAATAAATAAAATAGAACAATGATATTATTACTTTATGAAAAAAATAAGTTTCCATAAATAAATTATTAGAAAAAATTGCATTGTTTTATGTTGGAAAATATTTCATTATTGATACAAATAAATGTATGGAAGATAGTTTTTACTAGTAAAAAAGAAAATATAAGTATAAATAATAATAATTTATTCGAAAGAAAAAAAAACAAGAAAAATACAACACATTATGATGTGTCAATTAGAAGAAATGACAAGATTTTTTTTCCCCTTCTTTTTTTTTGCTTGCTACATTTGTTTGTTCGCTATTTCTCGTATGTCTATATTTAGTCACTTGATGTTTTTCAATATAGGAAAGTGAAATGAATTAATACCTGTAGAGTTTTATAAATTAATCCATCAGTCTGTTTTGTACCTAAGGGTAATATTGTTTAGCCATTCATACTATATATGCTACTTATTAATTGCTATATTAATTTATGATAAAGCATCTACTTTTTTTTTCAACTTATGCATTTTTATTTCCGCTCGTCTATAACAATAAACAAATGAAATAAGTGAAGCATTCGTGTGAAAAAAACTTAATTGCGAGATGTATCCTCAACTATAAAGGTATTAATAGGTAATGAAGGAAAGATGGTAGTATATCTGAAAAGAAAAATCTATTAGAAAAAGAAAATGGATAGATAATTAATCATTGAAATGTCAAAATATGGAAAGAATATAAATGAATATGATTTAATTTGTTTGATAGTATTAAATTTTTTTTCTTATTATTACTTTTTGTAATACTATTAAAAGCTTGAGTTCAAAGACATTTATTACAGATAAAGAAAAGTACATTATGTGTCAATGTCAATCTTTTTTTTGTCTTTATATAAAAGACATTAACCGACATTTTTTCTTTGTTCTCTACAACTGCATCTCAATGAAGTTTCCAAGTAATAAAAAAAAGAAGAAGAAGAAGAAGATATTATCAGTCTCACTATTTTTAATAAGAAACAAACAACAGCATAATTCTAATTTTGTTTGTTTTGTTCCTCATCGTTGAACGCTTGTGAATTTGAATAGGCTTATTCTTTCATTAATTGTATAATAAGAATAGAAAGCTCATATGATAATATTCGATGAAAATGACATTACATAGAATATTATTAGATAATCATAGATTTCAAATTTTTTTATATATGTCTACTTCTAAATTAAATGACAATAGACTTCATATTTATTTTCGATAGATCCTTGATTATAATTACAAAAAAGTATCTGTCGTTCTTTTCTCCCTACTATTAAAAACTAATCGAATTTATCTGTCAATTTTCTCTTTGATTAATAAAAAAAAAGTAATCTGTTTCATCTAAACTAATGTAGATTTCTCTCTCTCCGCATTACTTTCATCTTTGATTTGTCTGGCAAAGTAAATATTTTATCAAAGATCCATTTCTTTTTCACATGTTTATTTAAATTAATTCTATTAGTACAATAAGTTCAAAAAAAAAAGTATATATATATAAAAAAAACAAAATTCCACTATCGAAACAAATAATAAAAAAAAATCATTGACGTCTACGTTTAGTTGTTGTTGTTTTTCCAGAAGATAATAATGAAGCAGAACGTTTCTGGCCAATTGGTACATTATTATCAGAACTAATCGATATATTATCTTCATTATCAATATCGTTGTCTTGTTCATTATTATGATATTCATTTAATTTTGCTTCAAATAAATCTCGTAAATATTTAATTGATGTTTTAATGCCACATTTAACAACAAAGTTTTGATTATAAAGAAGAAAAGTAACTCGTTTTTTAATAGGATCAAGTTCCGATGATTGTAAATGAAGTACTTGTAATATATCAGGTACAAGCATAAATACTCGAACATTGTCAATGGCTTGAATACGTATTAAATCAACTACTGTTTTACCTACTAAACGTTCAACTACTTCGAAAAAACCATCATCTCGTAATGATAATATATCAGCTGGAAGAACAGATGTATCAATCCAGTTATTATTTGAAGAAGAAGCCATGATAAATATTTAAAACACTGGTTATGCTATTCGTATGTTAAATAGATGAAAATGAATGTTGTTTTTTCTCTTTCACAATTTTATAGTCACATTGGATATAGTAGCTAAAACAGATATAGAAGAAGAAGAAAAAGAAGCGTATAGTAGATCGAGGTATTTTCAAATTGTGATTGTAACAATTTATAAACCGAATAATATATATACAAATCACTAACACCGGTCATCTTAGATATTCTTGCATAGCTAATATTTGTTTTGTTTTATTCTCTATTATTTCGGCGATTTTAATGATAACAAAAAAAAATAAATTTAACTTTCTGAAATATGCACAGAACAATTGTTTTTCTTTTTAAATAAAAACATTTTTTTAAAAATTCTACAATTGCTGTACACATTTAAAAGAAAAAAAAAAAGAAATAAAATAGTTTAGGCATTAACGGAGTTATCTTTTGGTCCAACATAAACTCCTGCACCTGATGGAATAGATGGTGCACCTGGAGCATATTTAGATTCACTATTATAATCAGGTACTAATTGGTTACGTTCATCTGATTCACCAGTAACATATCGGCGATATAAATTTTGCCATACACCATTATAAAGACCCATACCTATATCAATCAATACTTATTATTAACAACTAAATGAACATAATTTTAACTTACCAGCAAGTAAAAATACGAAACCTACAATTTGTAATGGATAAAATTTTTGCCATGACAATGCCAATGATACTGCCCATATAATTAATGTTCGACCACTATCAAGTACCATACGTGTTGTTGATGATAATTCTTTTGTTACAGATATACCAGCAAAATTAAAAAATGCTATGGAAAAAACATTTCCTAAAAGAAAAAAAAATTATCTAGAAAAACAAGATTGTAAATTTATCCTTACCAACTGTTGCAATAATAATTATATAATTATCAGCCATTTGACAGAATGCATTTGGTATATCTTCAAGATGCTGATCTGGACCAGTATTAGATCCTGTCATATGTATATAAGAAAACTAATTAAAAATAAATAAACAAATAAATAATATTATAAGATAATTATCAAAAATTTTTACTGGAACAAGAACCAGGCCAAGTGTAAGAAATCCAAATATACCTTCCCAACCAACAGCTTGTAATGCTGGAATATTATATTTACCAATAAAACGTTCTTCATAAACTACCTAATATATAATGATATATAATAAAAAATTCTTTATTTTTCCTATTATCATACTTGAAAACTAGTGAATATCATTGCCAAAAGTATAAGACCAATACCAATAACTTTTTCACCATTTGTATGATTACCTTGTGGTGTTTTATCAAATAGAAGATCTGATAAACCAACAATAACAAGACCAAGTACAACCACAAAAATACCACACCATTCAAGAAGTTTTAATCTTCGTTTAAGAAATAATACACTAAAAAAAAGGAATTCGAGTATGAATTCTATTTATTATATGTGCTTTTACCTTGATATAGCCGTGAAAACCATAACTGAACCTCTTAACATTTGAAATGAACTAGCAGTTGTAAGATTTAATGCAAAATAAGATAAACATGTTGAAAGCATATCGAATATAGATGCTCCCCAAAATATTAATGGATTAAAAACTTGTTCACCATCAACTAAACGTACATCTTGTCTGATATTTATTGGCCAACATCGAACAAGTGCAGATGATGCATCACCATTATATGTCATTCGTTCAATACGATAACGTGCTGTTGAATACCAAATAAATTTAAATACTAATAAACATAAAAATTCACCCAGAAACATGCCAACAGCCTAAATAAATTCGTCTTAATTTTGTAATTAACGAAATAAAAGTCATTTACTTGAAGAAACGGATGCTCAAATGTCGTTGCGTTATATGTTTCATTACAGAAATGTGCTGTTTGTCTAAACAAAAATTAAGTTTCTAATATATAAATATATAATAAATCGATAATAAACCTATCGGCCCATTTTGTTGATAATGTATTTATAGTGCCAGTCACTAACATAAGACCAGCAAGAAAGAATTGATACGGTGTAAAACCCATACTAGTCTTAAACTATAGAAACAAAAAAGAGAAAGTAAAATAATGTCTACATCAACTATGACAATAAAAGTATTTGAATTCAACTTGAGAATAAATAATATTCTTTTCTCATATTTGTTATCTTTATCTAATCATATCACCTTGTCACCTTCACTTTTGTCAAACAAGATAACTTTAATGGATTGTCTTTGGACTTTCATATTATGTACACAGATGATTAGTATTTTTTATTCTATATAAATAGTTAGACAAATACCACAAGAAAAAAAAAGCTAGATAGACATTATTTTCTAATATCATTTATTTTGTAAATTGTAAAGTCCATCATCTAATAATTCTAAGTCAATAATAATAAACAAAAATAATTTAATATCAATAAAAAAAATGTATTCTGTCATGTAATGTTTGTTTCATTCTTGCTGACGATAAGAATAATTTATTATTGAGAATTATAACTATTTAATTTATATTTTCATTTACATGGCAATAATTCAATTATCCTTGATATTTAAGTTCTTCAACATTAAATTTCTATGTAGGGTGGATGTGGGTATGGGTGACGAATTAGATGTAGATAAAGAGAAGATGCATCTCCAGACTCCCCCATACCCACCTTCAAGTGGATGAACATAATCGAGATTATCCTGAACAATCTTTACTTAATGATAGTGAACTTATTATAAATAACTTATCTTTGTATTTCATATGCCAAAATGAAAAAAAATAGTTTATTTTAGTTTCTAAATGATCATCATCTGTGTTTCTTTCCATTAACAAAACAACTATCTTTGCCACCAAATTTTACATTTCATTCTATGGGTTCAACAACCGAACATTTAAAAAAACGTTTGTTCGAATGATATAAGAAATCAATTATATCTTCTTTAGCAATACACTTAAATATAAACTATTTTTTTTAATCAAAATTTATTCTACTTTAATCGAATAATTGATAATATTTGACGAATGGGATCATGATTCATAACGCATCATTATCTAGTATGAGATATCAAAAATAAAAATCAGTCATTGTAGGATCATTTTCTCTAAGCAAAGTCCGAATTAAAAAAATTAAGCAAGATACAGTGTCATTTCTATCTCTACCACATCATATTGAATTATTCAAAAGCTTAAAAATTTATGATAAAGCACGTTGGCTTTTGAACATTTTACTCGAATATATTTATAGATGTGTATTGAAAGTAAATTTATGTAAAATAAAACTATATTATTGCTTACTTGTATTACTTTTTCTAAAGATTATTACTATTCAATATTGATAACAATCATTTGTTGATTCTAATAAAGAATTCAATCCTAGATTAGCTACTCGTGAATTATCAAGAGATTCTATGACTAATTTTTTGTTTTGAGATAATTGAAACTAAAAGCAAAAGTTAGGCGCCACTCCTTTCTAACAAATGTTTTACAGTTGATGACAGATAATGAATCATTAGTGTTCTGCCAACATATGATAGTTTGAAATCTCGATTTCGATAATATAAATTTGACTTCATTCTAGTATAATCGTGAACGTTGAGAACTTAGTGAAAACCTCAAAGTAGTTATTCAAAAGCGAGCCTCGACTCGTGTACCATCTAGCTAATCTGGGGTAGCTTGTCTGTAGAATATGCTATGAATTGCTTGTGACTCGAAAACTCGTTACGAAATTATAAATGATCTATGTGAATTTCATTCAAAACTTATAACATTTGTAAATATGATACCTAATTAAAGATATTAAAAACTAGAATATCCAATAAATAAATGACAAATTTATTATAATTTATAAATTTTTCAAAATATTGTTTTTTAAATAAATTAAAACTATTTCTTTTCAGTGGACATTCGTGGTTTTGCTAAATTTGCAATTACTGTTTTATGTTTTGCTCTTTTACTAGCTGTATCAATATCTGGAAAATGTTGATTAACAGTTTGTAAAATTTTTTGATTTCGTTTCTTTAGATCTTTTTCTTGTTGTTCTTCACGAGTTTTTTGTAATCGATCATGCATTCGTTGACGATTAAGTATCTCATTTAAATTTCTAATAAAAGAAATTTGATAAATATTTTAATTGAAAAGAAAAATTCATTAATTTCATCGTACTTTAATGTTAGAGGTTGATCTGATTCATCAGCAAGATGTTGCTATTATTTAAAATATTCAATAATAATTATTCGTTCAATAAAAAAAAGAAGTTTTTACTGAATTATTGTGAAAACTTGCTTTTAATTTTCTTTTACTGTTCAAAAATCGAAAATAATCCAATGGACGCCAATGTTTCTCATCAATTTGTTGAATAATTGTACGTACTGAATCAGCTTTTGTTACTGAATAAAATAGAAGAAAAATACAATATGATATGCTTAAAATTTTTCTGTCAATGCAGCTTCGTTGGGGCTAAAAACATGGAACTCACGTAAGTTCGTATCAAAGATACCTAAGGACCTTTAATTCATTGATCTAATGGCCTTTGAGGGATGTGGCAACTAACAAACTTTAATTCAAAATTTATGATTACAATTCTTTCCGAAGGGTATGAGTGACACATTAACTTGCCACCCACACCCTTATTTGATGTACATATCTTAATTATACCTATTTGTCGACCAATCATATCAGGTACAGGTATTTCAATATCAAATTTCATGATGAAATGCCGTTCACTTGCAATCTTTTCAGCCAGTCGAACAGTTCCAGAAAACACAGCAGTTCCCTTATACAATACATACAAAATCACTTTAAATAAAAAAAAATCAATAATCCTACTGAAATATCAAGTGTTGAAAGAGCACTTTTCGAATTATTTAAAGATTGAATGATATGCTGAACACCATGAGTTGTTAATGGGTTAAATGCTAACTGTGTACGCAAAAATAGTTTCTTTTTGGAGGTTTTTTAATAAAAAAATGTCATCTTACATTTAATGTATGAAGTACTGAATTTTTTTGTAAACCTTCACCAATTAATTTTGCACAAGACCAATCAATATTACAATTACTAATATTTAAATATTGCAAAACTTTATTCATAGCTAATATTCGCCGAAGAGCAACACTTCCATCATAACCTAAATTACTCCATGAGACATCAAAATCTGTTAAAGTTGTATTAACCTTCAGAAAATAAACGAGAAATGTTTCTTTAACAAACGAAAAAACTATATATATGAATCAAATAATTACTTCAAATCCTCGAAATAAAGCTATTGATGCAAAACTTCGTATTAAATTCCAATTTAAATTTAAACATGTCAAACTCTTATTATCCGCTAAAGTGAAAAGAAATCATTATCTTGTTTAAATGTAATACAACTTCATTTTTACATACTTAATGCATTTCCAATAAATATACATGCCATTTCTTCGAATTCATTTCCACTTAAATTTATTTCCGTAATTGTTTTATGTCGACATAAATCACCTATACATTCACCATATGAATCTCGTATACCACAATCAGCCAAAGATAAAAACGTTAATGATGTTAATTGATTAATTCTATCAACTAATATTTCAAAACCTTGTTTATCTAGTTTATTAAATGATAAATCCTAAAAAATAGCAAAAAAAAGAATGAAATCATTTATTTCAGTTTTTGGTTGTCTTCTCATTTACTAAAAAACTAAGATTAATACATTTGTTTAATCCTTGACAAAGTACATTCATTGAACGTGTTGTTAAACCAACTGAACTTAATGTTAAACTTTCAAGATTTGCTTCCATTGCAGTAGCAAATGCACGTATATCATTAAAAGAAAATGATCGATTCATAATATTTATATTATTAGAAGGTAGAAGAGCACGTAATTGCGAATCAATTGATATATCAAGCATTTGACAACTATTTTCATATGATTGAATTATTCCTATTCGAATATAAGAATTAATACAATCGAATATTTAATTATATTTACCATTGTTTGATAGAAATTTATTTGGTAATGAAAGGAGAGTTTCATCATTAGATCTAATATATTTACTGGATTGATATGAGAAATTAATTTGACCAAATGTATGACCTAAACGATTACTTCGATGTGCTACTAATTTTTGATCAAATGATAAACGTGGAAGTATACAATCATTATGTCGATCTTTAAGATTATTATTATTACGTTTGTTTTTATTCGAGAGAAGAAATTACCTGTTTCATCATCATCTAAATCTGTATCAAAACTAAACTCTTTATATAATTCCATTTGATCAATCAGTTGTTTAATTTTGCAAAATTATTTAGTTAAGAATGAACATATTTCTATTTAATTCTTAATTTTTTTTTATCTTATCAAAAATTTATTACGAACGACATATTCTTGACAGCCGAAAAAGATTTCAATTGAATAGAAGAAGAAGAAGAAAAAAAAGAGAGGAGGAGAAAAAAAAAGAATTACTCTGCTCTCCGATAAAATGATTATAGAAAGTATATCAACAACTATTTCTTTTTTCGTTTAATATATTTTTTCTTGTTTTTCATTCAAAAAGAACGTACAAACAAAAGACAAGCATGTGTATTAGTATATATATATATTTATGTAGTTCGTTTTAATCTTGCATGTCTTCTGGAATTTCATGTGGATTAAGAATACCTAAAAGAAACAAAAAGAAAATTATAGAAAAACTTTTTTGATTGTTAATACATACCGGGAACACTCATTTGCACTTTGCGTTTTTCTTCAGCTGCACGTTTTAATGTTTGTTCGCGGTCTTCTAAATATAAGTCAGCTGTATCATTACCAGTAGCTTCACGAATTTGAACAAGAAAATCACGTAAATGTTCTTTAAAACCTGCTATATCTTGATCTAATGTAACAAAACCTTCAATTATAACTTTAACTTGATTATCTTGTAAATGTGGAAAAGCTGTTTTCAATAGATTGGCCATAAATTGTTGGACATAAAGTAAATTTTGTGATGGATCTTGAACTTCACTTGATAATGGAACTTTAATAAGGCCTTGTTCAACGATACAGAATAGATTTGCTAAGATTTGAGAATGTGCTGTTAAACCTAAATATACAAAATATACAATTATTTTTATGCACAAACATTCGAGATATTTAAAGTAGAAGTCTAATGTATCATGAGATAGTTCAGCTCTGATTGATTCTTTATATTACTCACAGGATAAAATCGCTTCATTGAGGGTTAGTGTTACAGCCTGCCTTTTGAATGCACAGCAGATAATCTATACGTAGTATAATCGAACTGCTTACTTTAACTCTATTTATCTTTATAATAAAGAATCTGAAGTCTATAGAATATTCAAAAATAAACATCTGTATTCGCTCTAATAATGTTGCCTAAAAAATCGTGGCACCTAGTGCACTTCAAAAATTTCATCCTTGAAACCTCTACTGCTTCCTTTCGGGTACAAATATTCTTGTTTGTCTATTATACCTGATGTATGTGAACATTCAGCGACAACAGCAAAAATATGTTGCATTGTTTCAAGATAATAAACTTGATAAAAGGTTTGTGCTGCTTGTGGATCACATGTTTGAAATTTTCTTAGCATAATTTGTAAAATTTCCAAACCTAATTCCGATATTGTACGCATTGTATGTTTTAATGCCCACATAATTGAATCATAAACAAGTTTAAATTGTGTTGCATTCAATGCTAATAATGCTAAAAATAATGAAAAAATAAATCTTTTTTTATCATCATCATCATCTGAAAATTCATACCTGGAAAGCAAACATTTGTAACTGATTGAAGAAGTACATAAAAATTTTTTCTATGATCAGGAAAATCTTCAAAATTTTTATCAATCATATGAAGTGTACATTCAAATGTTAAATCAAATATTTCTGGTATACGATTTGTTAATTTATCTTCAATTTTATTAATTAATGTTGCTATCATATTTAATACTTCAGATTCACGAGCTTCAGGATGACAATCACGATAATCAACTAAGACAAATGTAAATAATGGTGTTAAAAATTGATCAAGTATTTGCTGAATATTTGTTGCTTTTGAAAAATAACTTCCAAGTAAAATTAATGTATCTTCTTTAACAGCCATCATTGATTTAATTAAACGTTGTTTAACAACCATAGGACCATTCATACGTATAGCTTGATTAATATTCTCAGATGTTACTTTATAGATATGTAACATATCTTGATAAATTTTTGTTAATTGATGAACATATGGTGCACCTAATGCTTTTGATGCACGAATATTTGTTTTAAGTATATTTAATATATTACTAACAACTTCAGGATCTTTTAAACAATCAACAGATTTTTTTGCTTCAGATATAATTGTATTCCAAACATCATTTGGTAATTGCATATATTTTTCAATTAATTTTGTTTGTTGAACATTATCAATACTAGCTGCAATCATATTACCAACAGCTTCATAAAATGTATGAACTTGATGTGGTTCCAAATGACAAATAATTCCATTAATATTCGTTAAAATTTCATCAACAAATGCTTGTGATTCACCTAATTGAATTGTTACAAAATGTCGACGACATTTTTGTGCTATTTTTATAAATGTATCACAGGCCATATCTTGTACACCTTCATGTGTTTCATGCATAAATTCAAAAAGTTTATTAACAACTGTCTTAAGAAATTTCCAGTGTGCACGAAGAAAACGAGGATATTGACCAACAACATACATAATATTTGATGCGATGATAGCTTTATTATCTTTACCACGTTTTTGTTCACATAAGCCAAGTAATTCCTAATACGAAAAGAAATTTCTTACAAAGAAATAATATTAAAATAATGATTTACTTTAATAACAGTAACAAGAAAACGTTTTTCGTCGTCTTCAACCATAGCGCCTGAAATGGAACCAATAGCCCAACAAAGCTAAAAAAAAAGTATAATATTTAATTTATAAATAATAAAGATAACGTACTGTATTCAAATTTTTCCATGACCATTCAGTTCCATTAACTTGATTTGCTAATTTTTCTGTCATAATTGATTCTGTATCCACATAATCCAAATGAGTCAAATAAACTAAAAGATATAATGTGAAGAAAAACAAGAGTAATAAGAAAAAATATTTCTTATACCAAGAGTTTCACGCATATTTTTATAAAGATTAATAGCATCTGTATCCTTCATAAATTCACGTACAACTTCTCCACGTTCGTTTTCGACGACAAGCACTTCTTCTGGTCGTGCCATACGTGAAATCATAATTCGACGAACCTACATTTCATAAAAAATGTATATTTTGTTTGGCAGATAAATAATCTTTTACTTTTGAAAGCATCACATTATAAAATTGACGTCGTGTTGGTACATTATTTGAATTGCTTGAACGTAAAAATGATGGTGTTGATTGTTGATATGGTGATTCACGATAAAGTTCAGCACTTAATATATTCCAATATTCCAAACATATTTTAAATATTTCAATTTCCTCAACTTCGGATATTAAAACAAGATATTGTAATGCTTCAAGTAATGTTTCTTTTAAATCTGGTGTACGTTCAATTAAAACACCATGTTCTTTTAAAAAATTTGATAGAAATAATGCTAAATTTTGAATGAATTTTTGATCATCATCTTTTGCTGAACGATAAGCAGATTTTAAATCAATTGTTAATGGCATAACCTATAGAGAGAAAAAAACTTTCATTTTAGACATAAATTTTATTTAATTTTTACTGTTTTCAATTGAATCATGGTTCGACGAAAGAAGTCAATAAATTTATCTTCATATTGTGCAACTTGAATGCTCGCTAGAAAAAAAATATATATATATGAAAGGAATAGAGGTAACGGTCAATGTGGGAAGGCCTATATAGAACTTGATTATTCCCATATGTTAAGAAATTCTTAGGTCAATATATAAATACTGACTACTAGCGATCGACACAGGAGTCGGAGTCGGGTCTCGGAATGAAAAAGTGGAGATTACTTTCGTATTCACATTAAAATCCAAATCATGAAACTTGAATTTATTTAAATTCAAGGTCAAATTCTTATCTTCCATCAACGTTTTAATTCGAAATACCAACATTCCATTCGAACAGTTACTATTTCGGTAGAAAAAAAGCTTAGAAATTTCAGATTCATGGGGATTCTATTGTTCAATTATTTTCTCAAATATATACATACCAATTTCAGTTAAACAACGAAGTGTTACATTTCGAAACATTGGTACTGTAAAAAATGTTTCAATAAGTGTATTGACCATATTTGTTTCAAATATATAACCAAGTGGTATCCAACTAAGAAAACGTAAGAGTGTTTCTAGTGTAACCAAAAGCAATGGTGGATGACGAGATTTATCCTTTAAGAAATAAATTATTGTCATATATTTATTATTACAAATTTTTCTTACCACAACATATTCACACAGTTGAAAAATTTTTGTGAATTCATTACACATTGTATCTTTTAAATGTTTTGCTTTTGCTTGTGTCATTTGACCTGATGAAAAATCAAAGACTTCTTCACTATAAAAATAAAAATAAATAAATCAAAAATGTGAAATTTAACAAAGCAAAAAAACCCTAACCTAAGAAGTTTTAAGATTTCTAAATTATTTTGACACATTGATTCACTTGTTTTACTTGCTTCAACAATATCACTAATAAAATTTGGCCATTTCTTTGGCCATTCATGTTTTAAGATCTAAATAACGAGAAAAAAAAGGAAAATTTTTTTGTTTATATAAATAAACAATAAAATTTACTTGTACGAGAATAATATTCAATTTATTCAAATAAACCTTTTCACGTTCCATTAATTCAGGATTTTGTGAATGTGAGATAACTAAACTCACAATATATTGTTTAATTGCTAAACAAAAACAGTTTTAAATTGATTTTTCAAATAATAGAATATTACTAACCTTCACATTGTTCTTTTGGTAATGCTTTCCATCGTGTTTTGATTGTTTTTTCAAGAATTTGTAATGCATAATATTTTGTTTCTTGACATTTGGAATATTCTAATATACTATCAACTTTAGTCCAAGCATCAGGATGATCACGTAATACATTTAATACTTCACTTGCTTGTCGTTGCTAAATATATGGAGGGAAAAAAATTATAAAATATAGGATAGAAAAAATTAACTTACGGCATCACCCTGTCCTCGATACATCGTATTAACAACAGCATCGAGAATATTAACATCAAATGGTGATTGACCATCAAAATTTAATAATGTTTGTGCTTGTTCAAGTAATTGCATGATAAGAAAGTAAATTTAGTCAAATGTCGAATGTCGTTGAAAGAAAAGAATTAGTTATGTCCTGGTTTTGGTCTCGTAGTTTTGTCAGAAACCGTCCAGAGTCAAGAAGTAAGAGTCCAAAGTCAGAAGTAGGATATGTCTTTTGTCGGAAAATGCTCAACTACATATTCTAAAGAAAAAGAAAGACAGAAGATGAATTTAAATAAACCAACCTAATAATTGCTTTTAAGATGGCGGTAATAGTATTCGAAGAAGAAATTCATATTTATATCATGTAATTTCATGAAAATATGAATAACCCAAAAAATAACTCAATGACGAAATAGAAGACTTATATTACTTTTATTTATTTACTCATTATTATTCTAGAAATCATCCAATCATAACACATATGTTACATCCAATAATTACCATTAACGGTCTTTTCTCGTTTTTTTTTCTTCGTCTAATTCTAACTGACGAAAGTTTTTGTAAGGTCAAATAAAATAATTGCGCATTATTTATTATGTGTGACATACTATATACAAAAACTAAATAAATACATATTAATTAATCAAAAAAGTGACAGATGTTATTTTTAATTATTTTCTAAATAAATGACAAGATTCAATTAAAATATTATATGCTATGGGTATTAGAATAAACATACCATTAACGATCAATTTTCATTTATTAAAATTAAATTTTTGATTATAAGGTTCATATATTACGATAATCGAGTATTAGATATACATAACTATATGAAAGACGAGACTATTGAAGATAATATAACATAGCTTGAAATATGTTTAACTTTGTTGAGTTATCTTCAAAATTTATGAAGAAGAATAAAATTATCTTTTCAAAAGAATACGCCTTGGAATATGCAATTCTATAGAGTGGTATATGCATTTAGAAGATATGAGTAAAATTCTACATTCATAAATAATTGTAGAAGAATTAAAATTATATATAGGAGAAATCTCAATCTCAAAAATGTGTACTAGATCATATTAAAGATAATTAAGTGATAGCAAAAAAACAGTTTATAAATAGATATTCATCTTTGATATTATCATATTCAATGTAGAAAAATATCAATAAACATATATATGAAATGATTTGAAGAACGATATATTAATTGCTTTCATTATATTCCAACTAATTATGTTATCATAGAAATTGCGAAGGCATTGAAATAATTCCGTTCATTAAATAACCGTTTTTCTATTCTAGTCATAATTTAATACCAGATAGTCAATAATTCTTTCTTTTGTTAAACTTAACGATCAATAATAAAGAACTCTTATAATTAGTAGTGACATCTTTTTTTTGTAAATCGTTTACTTTTCATTATCTGGAATGATTATAAATAAGCCGAACATAAAAGTGAATAAGATGATTTTATAATAAAAATTTATTTTTCATATAATTATTATTCTTAAAAATTAAAATCTAACAAGAGGATCTAATTCGACAATAATGGTTAATAGGGGTCAGTTATCTATCTTACTCAAAAAAAAAAGGTACACAGAAAGTTATGAGAAAGCAACATCTTTCATTTAAATAATTTCTATAACTAATAAACGTATCTGTTCAATTAAAAACAAGTTTTTTTCTTTTATGCGTAAAATCTATGAAATCGAATTAATTAAGCGCATATATATTTTACTTCCTTTATATGTTATCTCATCTGTTAAAATCTATCTTTTTCTTTTCTATACCCATTATCTATTTTATTTTGTATATCTAAAGATTAATTTTAATATAAATCTGTTAAATTTTAGATAAATTATTCGTTTTTCTCTTTCTTTATTCTGGTTTGCCGTTGTTAACGTTGAATTTCATATGGCGCAACCGAGTCGTGCTCGCGTTTACGCCGATTGCAACACGCATCGACCACGGTAAGAATATATTTTTCATGAAATTTTCTCATCAAATAAATCATTTTCTTATCTAGCGAATACTACGACTACGAGCTGCATGTTGTAGAATGGGGGTATGTAAATAAAACTAATGAAATAAAGTTTTGATTTTATTGGGAAAATTATCGTCGTTTTGTTTTTCGCTTCAGAAATCAAGATGATTATCAAATCGTACGTAAACTTGGTCGTGGAAAATATAGTGAAGTATTCGAAGGTATAAATATAACAAATAATGAAAAAGTTGTTATCAAAATTCTCAAAGTAAATAAATGAAGAACAAAAGAAAAATGTTTTATAAGTAATACGAGTCTTTTCTTTTTTTTTTGTCTTTTGTAGCCAGTTAAAAAGAAAAAAATCAAACGTGAAATAAAAATCTTAGAAAATTTACGTGGTGGACCGAATGTAATTACATTACTGGATATTGTCAAAGATCCTGTTGTATGTTAAAATTTATTTGATTTTATTTTTTTTGCAAACCTATAAATTTCCATTTAGTCAAGAACACCTGCACTTATTTTTGAATATGTCAATAATACTGATTTTAAAGTAGGAAAAAAAAACAATTTCATACAAAATTAATCATATTATGTTTGTTTTTTTAGCAACTTTATCCTACTCTTTCCGATTATGATATTCGATTTTATATGTATGAATTACTTAAGGTACGTATTACGAAAATATTATTTCTTTTTGCAAGTCCTGATATTCTTTTTTATAAATAGGGACTCGATTATTGTCACAGTATGGGTATTATGCATCGCGATGTAAAGCCTCATAATGTAATGATTGACCATGAAAATCGAAAGGTATAGAATATTTTTCATATATAATTTAATTAAATAAATTTTTTTTAGTTACGATTGATTGATTGGGGTTTAGCGGAATTTTATCATCCAAATCAAGAGTATAATGTTCGAGTTGCATCACGTTATTTTAAAGGACCTGAATTACTTGTTGATTATCAATATTATGATTATTCACTTGACATGTGGAGTTTAGGTTGTATGTTAGCTAGTATGATATTTCGCAAAGAACCATTTTTTCATGGTCATGACAATTATGATCAAGTTTGTATTTATACATCTTTAAAACAAAATTAAATAAAAATCGTTTTATTTTAATAGCTTGTTCGTATTGCTAAAGTCCTTGGTACTGATGAACTTTATGAATATCTTGAAAAATATCAAATTGAACTTGATCCACGTTTTAATGAAATTCTTGGACGGTAAAATAAAATAAAAAATATTTGAATAATTTTATTTATTTGTTATGTTTCTTATCTTTAAAAGACATTCACGAAAACGATGGGAACGTTTTGTTCATTCAGAAAATCAACATCTTGTTAGTCAAGAAGCACTTGATTTCTTAGATAAACTTCTCCGATATGATCATAATGATCGTTTAACAGCTAAAGAAGCTATGGATCATCCATATTTCTGTATGTATTGCAAACAACGAATGAATAAAGCAAAACTATTATCTTATTTTAGATCCTATTGTCCGTGATCAAGGTCGCACAACTTCTCAAGCTTTACTTTCGAATAATGGTAAATTATTTTCTTTTCTTTTCTATTATAAAATTTTCTCAAATTATTTTCAGCTGGTGCCTCTATATCTTCGACTAATACACCGTCACCGCTTAATGTGAACAGTAGCGTGACGGCAAATAATCAGTGAACAAAAATTATCCATCATGACTGTTATTACAAAACTGCTATGAGATGATCATTGTCTTTCTTCTTCTTCTTCTTCTTCTCTTTTTTTTACTTTCTAGCAGTGTGAATATTTATAGAGAAATATCAAAGACATAAATTTTTTCTATGTAGGATGATGGAATATGATGCTTGCCATATGAAAATAACCTGTTCATCTATGTCATATATATATTTTTTTCAACGATCATTCATATGGATCTTCTGTGTTTGTTCTTCTTTCTCTAGTTCAAATGTTACAAACAAACATTTTTTTTTCTCCTTTGAATATGCACGCTAAAAAAAACATCAACTAAACAAAAAAAATCTCGTGATTGTCTCAATTCTTTGTAGATTTTACTTGTGAAGAATGTCGGATGATAACGATCAAATTAATGCGCCACCAGATGATTTTGGTTTTGATGATGATACGAAAGCTGATGAATCATTATTTGTATCAGCTTTATCACCAGCAACTGTTGATATAGCTTTAAGTGGTGAAGAAGATGATGAAGATGAAAATCCATTTGGAGATCAACCACCAAGAGAAAAAACAGCAACAAATACAACAAATGTCGTCGAATCAGCTGTTGATAATGAGAAAAATTCATCTCCACCAGAAAAAGCAATGACTAATATTGATGAAGATGATGACGATATATTCGGTGTGAAAACTACGAGCACTACTGCACCATTGTTAACAACTGCTCCATCACAAATATCTGTTACTGAACCAACACCACCATCACCACCACCAGCATCAACATCAACATCAGCAAATAAAGAGAATACGATGTTTGATATTGATTCAGATGTTAAGTCACCAACACCTGTACGATCCATACCATCCTATGACAGTCAGATATCGTCATCAACACCAATATCAAAGAATGTTCTTAGTGGAACTGTAACAACAAATCAACCAGCACAAAAACGTGCGGATCATCTTGATATTGAGATTACTGTTAGTGATCCAGCTAAAGTTGGTAGTGTAAGTTGAATTGTTAATCTTGTAATTTCAATTCTACTTAATTTTTGTTTTTCCTAAAGGGTATGTCATCATATATGACTTATCGTATAATAACAAAAACAACATTATCAATGTTTAAAAAATCAGAATTTTCCGTAAATCGACGTTTTAGTGATTTTCTTGGTTTACATGCTAAAGTTGTCAATAAACATTTACATTCAGGTATAATTATCCCATCACCACCTGAAAAAGATTCTTTATCAATGGCAAAAGTTAAAATGTCATCAAAAGAAGAAGCTGTACCAACTGATTTTATTGATCGTCGTCGTGGTTTATTAGAACGTTATTTAAATCGTTTAGTACAAAATTCGAAATTAGTTGAAGATAGTGATGTACGAGATTTTCTTGAAATATCAACTGATTTACCTAAATCAACAAATACACAAGCACTGAGTGGTGCTGGAGTTTTACGTGCAGTAACAAATATATCAAATACAGTAACAAAATTAGGAGCTAAAACAAGTGAACAAGATCAATGGTTTGAAGAAAAACATAATGCTGTACTTGATTTACATGGAGATTTAAAACATATATATAATCATTTTAATACATTATTTTCTCAACGTAAAGAAGCTGGACATTCCTTAAAACAATTCTCAGCAGCTATTAATCATTTAGCTACAACTGAAGAATATACATTATTATCTAGTGCATTAATTGAATTAGCTAATTTGGAAGAAAAAATTGAACAAATTAATAATGAACAATCTTTAAAAGAATATACAACAATAACAGAATTAATTAAAGAATATGTTTCATTATTAGATATGGTCCAATTAGCATTTCATGAACGTATTAAAATTCATCAACAATGGTTACATGCTGAAGATACATTGAAACAAAAACGTGAAACAAAAACGAAATTAGAACAAACACCTAAAGGTGCTGATAAACTTCCTCGTGCTGAAATGGAAATACAAGAATGGGAAGGTAAAGTTGAACGTGGTAAAGAAAGTTTTGAAAGTATATCATCAACAATCAAACAAGAAATGGAGGCGTTCGAAGAAACACGTATTGATGATTTTAAAAAAGCATTTAATAATCATTTAAAAAATGCTTTAGATGAACAAGAAAAAATTTTACAAATTTGGGAAGCATATTTACCTGAAGTTAATAAAATTAATATATAATTGCATTTCTTCTTTAAATAATTTTTGTGATTTAATCTTTTACTTACTTTTTTACCTTTCTTTTTTTGTCATATTCGTGCATTATTTTCAAGTCATATTCCATAGCGATTGTTAAAAAAGAATGATTATTTTAATTTGTTTTTTCTTTTTTTTTACAAAAAAATTTTATTATCGTTGATTCATTCCATTTTTGTGTGCTATTTATGAATAAAAAAAAAAGAGAAATGATATTTTAATTTGTAGATATATTCAAGTTTAGTAAAAATTCATTTAATATTGAATCATTCGCACAGTATTTTTTCTATTGAAATAATTTAGATCAAAATGGTGATCTTCGTATATGATGTATCTGTTCGTGATACTCTAAATGATCGTGAGAAATCTATGAAATAGTATTGCGTTTGGTGTAGACATCAGTTTTCCGTTAATTATTTATATAACTGCCGATGTTCAAGTTCATATCAATGGTCTTATTACAGATGAATGTCATGCGAAACGTGATCTATCACCGTTATTAAATATGAATACGACAAGGACAAAAATATCTGACATCATATGTGATGTAATTGATTAATAATATTGAACTGAATTAAAGACACAAGTTTTTACCGACGATTGATTATTAAATAAATATATTTCATTACTTTTGTTATTTTGTTCTTTTGTTTGAATGTATAGATCTGATTCTATTCTCTGTTTTTGATATAAAAGAATAAATACAATTCTTTATTGATAAGAAAAAATTTCATTGTTATAAGACGATTAAAAGTAAGAAAATTATTTTTAATATGAAAGTTGTCGAAATAGAAGTATATTCAGTATTTCTGCATCCTATTCTTTAGACAACATATATATATGAATCAATTAGTTGAACAAAGCCTATCAAATTTAGTTCAAGAATTAACTATATCTGGTTCAAGAACATTAAATGAAGAGAAAATAAAACAACTTAAACAGATTTGCAAGTAAGTTAATTATTTATTTTAGGGTATGGATGTGGATTGTTTTAATGGTTTGGTGAACGATGAGCACAGGAAAGTTAAGGGTGTGGATATGTTGAATGTGGACGAAATCATACATTCAACTAAGGCCCACACTCTCAGTCTTCCTATTTTATTTTTATTTGTGCTTAACTTTCCTGTGCTCATCGTTTCGGTTCTCTGTTTTAATATTTATCAATAGAATACTTATCATAGTTATTTATTTAAAGGCAAACTGATGTTAATGTTGAATATTGTTATCGTTTATTAATTGCACAACTTAATAAAAATCACTCGGAAATTCGTTATTCAACATTTCAAATAATTGATCAACTGTTTAATCGTTCTCATCATTTTCGAACACTTTTACTGGATGATTTTAATTATCTGATTGATAAATGTCTTGGTAATTTATTGATAATGAAATTATTTTCGATTATATGTTTTTATTTAGGATTAAATGTTGATAATCAATTGCCACCACCAAATCAAACTGCAAGATTATTACGACAATTTACAGCAACATCAATTAAAAAATGGCATGAAAAATTTGGTACAGCTTATAAATTACTTGATATTGGTTTTAATTATTTAAAAAATTGTAAATTAATGAATTTTGATAACATGGAAGAACCAATTGGTATTACTGCTGAATTAGAACGTGAACGAAATCAAGCAAATCAAATTCGTTTAACACAAAAACTTCAAACTGCTTCTCGAGAATTAAATGGTTTGTATTTTTTTTTGAAAAATGAAAAAATTAATCTCAGAATTTTATAGAAACATCCAGTGAAATTTATTCTTGTATTAAACAAGCAGAAAATTGTCTTAATTTACTTGTATCTAATAAAACTGAATCATCGTCTGCAATAACAACTACTGAATCAGATGAAGAAATTGTTGATGACGACGACGACGATGATGATGATGAAGATGATGACGATGATTTTATCGATGTTCCAATTGAACCAGTAAAAATTAAAAATGATGAAGAACTTCTTCAAGTACTTGGTTTAGGAACAGCGGGAAAATTAAATATAACAATTGATTTAAATGAAAGACCCAAATCATCTTTATTTAATATAGAAATGACTGATGATAATCGTGCATTAATTGAAAATCTTCATGATCTATATCGACAATTAGATGATGTTTATTTAAATAAAATTCAAAGTTGGATGAATATATTTATTCAAGTTCAACAAAATTCTAATGAACAACAAACATCAACAGTTATTAAACGAGCAATTGATTTAAAAAATTCAATTCAATCTTGTTTAAAAATGATTGAAAATTATCGTTTAGCACCGAAAAGAACTGTTGTAACACAAAAACCAGGTTTAATTAAGAATTATTCTATATATATATCTAAATATTATTTTAGGGAAAATATCTCAAGTGAAAACTGTAACGCAAAGTCCACCGCAAGAAGAAGTAGGTGAATAATTCTTATTTTCTATTCAAATAAAAATAAATTTTAGACAACATTACCAACATTAACTGATAATGAAATACAATATTTCTTTCATGATGATACACAAGTTCTAAAACGTACGTTTAAACAAAATGATATTGAAAATCCTTTTGTACGTCCGACAGAAAGTAACGAGATGCCTGAAGTAAGTTTATCATTCGAATTTTCTTTTTTTTGTTTATAAAATTATTCGTTTCAAAATAGAGTTTACAGTATTCATTGTTAATGCATAAACGTACATATGTCAGCGAATTACCCGCTATAAAATGGAAATGTCGAGCACCTTTAGATAATAATAAATTATGTGAACGTATGGACCGATATAAATGTCCATTTCATGGACGAATTATTGCGCGTGATGAACAAGGTCAAGCAGCTGATGAAAAAATTCGAAAACATGAAGAAGAACAGCAACTTGCAAGAAAACGTTCTCGCCCTGAATGGCAAGATCCTGAAATGTTAGAAGATATTCGTTTAGCAACAGGTGTTGATTTACGTATGAGTGAGGCAAATAAAAGGAAGAAGAAGAAAAAGAAAATAGAATCTGGTTTAACTGAACTTGGTATCGAGGAAAACACCGTGCGAAAACGATTAGAAAAAAAATTATTAAATCGGTATATTCTAAAGAATTTCATATATATATATATATTCTTTCATATGAATTTTTAGAGCATCAGTGAAACGTATTGGTGCAGCATTAGAAGCTGATGAACGACGTCGTAATGAAGAAAAATTTCATCATCAATTTAATTATTCTTTAAATAACTAAAAACAAATATTTTGTAAATAAAAAAAAAGAATTTTTTTAAAGAGGTCCGAGTATATGAATATCATTATACCATCCATTATCATGCCAACCACCAAATAACCACATATAACCATTATATAAAATAGCACTATGTCCTTCACGTGCTGTTGGAGTACTTGAATTTGATTTTATTTGTTTCCATTGTTTTGTTTCAAGATTAAGAACAAATAATTCATTACTTCTTTGTATACCAACATAACCTCCAAACATATAGAGATTTTTATCCGCCAATATACATGTATGACGACCACGTTTAGCTGGAATAACACGTGAATTCTCACTATATTTTTCTTCTGTCCATTCTAATGTACGAAAATCAAATGAATGACAATCATTAAATTTTCCACAACCTAAACCACAAACTATATATAACCGATCATTATATATATGTGCACCACCATATGAACTACGACGTGGTGGTGGATTACGTTGATTAACAAGTGACCATTGATTTGTTTTAAATGAAAAACGATGCATATCATTAAATTTATTATCACCAATTCCACCAAATAAATACATATGATTTTGATAAATAGCAACTGAATGTGCACTACGTGCACTTGGTGAATTTGAACACGGAACCATTTCCCATTCATTTCGATCAAATATATATCTATACATATCATTTAATTTACCTGATGAATCCCAACCACCAAAAATATACATCATATTTTGATAGATACAAGCACTATGTTTACATCGTTTTGATGGAACTTTTGATTCATCACTCGGTTTTATTTCAGTCCATGTATGAGATTCAAAATCAAATTTTAATAAATCATTAAAACGAAATTCACCTAAACCACCAAATATATACATAGAACCATTATAAACAACTGCACTATGTCCACTACGTCCTTGTGGTGGAGAATTAGCTGTTTCAATACGTAACCAGGTAAAGGATTCGTTCATTGACATATTTTTTGTTGTTTAATGAAACTTATTTTTTACATTCAGTTTTGTCTTGTTAAAAACAAAAAAATGACTCATTAATGTTTTTACAAAAATGCAATGTTGTGAAAGAACAAGAGAAAAGCAAGAATATTTTGTAATGATTATTCATTGAATTCTTTTTTTTTTCATTCTTTTATTTAAGCATCCGTTAGCAAAAAAATAAACTATTGATGCATTGTTTTTTGAATCAGTGCTTCTAGTTTTTCTTTATAACAACATTTATCTTAAACATATATATTCTATTCGAAATTATTAAGTTAAAAACCATTTTCATTATCGAGTGATTTACTACGTGTATACGTAAATGTACTCTGATTTTCGTTTGCTATTAATGACTAAAATTATACAAGAAAAAAAACATCAAATTATATATAAAGTTTAAGAATTTTTTTGTTTTTATACCTTTCTTTCATCTCTAGCTGGTGGATTTCGTAATAAAACCAATAATGGTGCATAGCACATACAAAGAAATGAAATCATATAAAGCATAGCAGGAAACCCAAATGCATGGACAATAAATCCACTTAAAGCCGGACCTAATTTATCAATAAAAAAAATTTTCTAGATAATTAATTAAATATTTTTTGTGTTTCATACCAACGGCATAACCTAAACAAAATGCAACATCAGCAATAGCATAAACACTTCCATATACAGATGCATGACGTATATCAACAAGATAACCCATTGTAGGCATCATTGATGAATCAACCATACCAATAGCAAAACCAAGAAGTGCATTAGGTATAATTAATCCATAGATACTTGTTGCGAATGGTACACCAATTAAAGCAAATGAAATAAGAAATAAACCGATCATACAACACAACCATCTAATTTCGAAAGTCATTTTATATATAGGACAAAAATAAAAATAGAATTCATAAAGATTACCGGCCGATTTTATGAGCCATTGGTCCGAAAAGATTTGTACCGATTAAATATGAAACTGATGCCGGTAGAAAAGCAGCCCCTAGATTCTTTTTAATTATTTTATCAATATTTTGTATGCATATAGTATCTAACCTTGTTGAAATTCTGATGCTCTCATTGTTGACATCATCCATATTGGTAACGATGGTTCCATCATTGCAATACCAATGTTACCAAATGAAATTGCACCTAGAATTTGTATTTATAGATATTTGTAGACGTCAATAAAAGCTCTAATCCTTATATTTACCGGCGACAAGAAGAATATAAGGATCTTTAATAAGTGTTTTCAACGAAGGACCCTCAATCGGTTCGCTAACCACACCCGGTTTTAATACCGTCATTTGCAAAACTATCAATAGAAAAAATATATAGAAATGAAATTATTTGAAGAGAAATCAATCTTACGTCCATCAAATAAACCTAGTGCAGCTAAAACTATAAATGGTGATGCTTTACCGATATATTCATACATAAATCCTCCAAAAGGTGGTCCGACTATAATAAATAATTAATAAGTTAATACCGTACGAGTAGTACTACTTACTGAGTACACCAAGCGCTAATCCACCTAAGGCAGTACCCATTGCTTTTCCTCGTTCGACATCTTCTGGATATCGATCGGCTAACATTCCGAGACCTATAATAAATCAATGGTAAAGCTATCAAGAGCTATTTTTTTATTTTACCTGAAACACTTGAACATGCTGAACCAACCCCTTGTATAGCTCGAGCTATGAATAAAAGAGCATAACTTCCACTCGAAGCAAATACTAAAGAAGAAAAAAAGCAACATATTTTATCTTATTATTTCAATTTTGAAATAGTAGATTTACTAAGAGTGGATATAATCATAATAACAAATCCAGTAAACATTGGTGCACTATAACCAATACTAAAAATAATCAAACAAAATAGATAAATATTAAATTTTTTCTTTTTTTCTATTACCGGTTTGTTAATGGACCAACAAATGGATTTGTTAATAATTGTACAAAAGCTTTTGATGCAAACATTATACCAACCCATTCATTTTCCTTTCAAACAAGACAAACATTCTTCTTATATATATACATATATAGATTCTTATTAATTTTACTTTTTCTAAAATTACTGTTCGTTGTCTATTTTCACTTTCAGTCTTATTTATTGCCCAATCAACAGTCCAATTACAATATGTTCGAAGTATAACACGAAATTGAACAGGATGTCGCGCAAAATAATCTCGACGTTTCACTAATTCATTATTTGTACAATTTTTTGCTAAAAACTTATATGTATCATCTTGTAGTCTTACTGTTGATTGATGAAGTCGATAAAGATAATCAGGAACAATAGGAACTTTAATAAAGTAAACATTTTTTTTTTCTAAATAAAATTTTTAAATATGTAACTTACCAACTGTTGTTAAAAGCATATTATCCAGAAATAAAGCGATAAATACAATGAATAAAATAAGTGAACGTGATGAACGCCATTTTAGCCAAAAGTCTTTAGCTGTCTGAATACTTTGATAATGCATTTTTCTATTCTAACTAAAAATACAGAAAAAACAGTATCATATTAATGAACGATCTTTTTTTAATTATATGATTATAGGCTATAAAAAAAGGCTTACAATATAAAATAAAAGATGTTCAAGTGGATACACTACACATATAAACAAAGGTAATAAATGAGAAATAATCGGAAATCTCTATAGCTGAATATTTTATTTGTAAACTTCTCCTTTGTTTTTTTATGATCAACAGATGGACTTAATTTTTTTGAAAATTATATTCCATATCAATAGAATTACTTGTCTTAATATTCTTTCTCATATATATATATAAAACATCCTGATTAAACATTCCATATATTAATTCTTTTGTTTCAATGTAATTCAGAACGCGAGAGAAAGAGAAAAACTACAAACCTTTTAACCACAAATGAAAATAAAATTCATTAAATTGTAATAGTAGTTATAGGTAAATTTTATTTGATCTAATATAAAATGGTATTAATGTCAGACAAAAACCGTCTATAAAAGTTATAGATTTTTGATAATAGAAAACAAGCGAAGAGAAGCCGAAGAAAGAAAAAATAGTCATCAAGATTTTTCTCTTATTTTTTCTTTTTTGAATGATTGAACGGAGACCATAAATTTACACATATGAAAGGAAACCGTTGCGAAAGCATCTGCTCAACATATTATTATCAAAAGAAAAGAAACGACTGAATTATATTTTTTCCTTTCATAAATGAAAAAATCTATGTTTTCTAATCACAATGATCGTCAAAGAAAAAAAATGATCTAAATTAGCAAATCACGGCATGTCGTCTTTTGCTTTTTTTTTCTCTCTCTCTCTCTCTCTTTCCCTAGAAATTCGATCACTAATATGTCAATCGAATCGTTGATCCGTCAAACAATAACAATAGTAAAAGATTCGATGGCAACTTTCTTCAATTAGCATATAACAAAAATCATTCATTTTGCAAAACTGACATTGATGATTTATACATGTCATGCAAAGAAGAAAAAAAAGAAGGCAAGATAAATAGATAAAATCGAATATTTTTTTCATTAAATAATCATTGAAGACAAAAAACATACAGATAATTATGCACGAAATAGAGAAAAGCTAAAGATTATTGTAAGAAAATGTATGAGAACATTTGTACAACCACAAATCAATGTTATAATAAGTAATGGAATCAAATTTATTTCATTTTTCTTTGTTAATAAATCATATTCATGTTTTGACTAGAATAAATAGAATATAAATTTATTTCATTATCAAGAATTTTTATTTACCCAATAAGTAATATATATTAAATGAGCAATATGTATAAGAGATAAAATATAAAATATTATCCAAACTATCCAATGTCGTGATTGATTATTAGCCTAAGTTATTATAAATTAATTCTTATAAAATATGAAAAAAAGAAAATAATCTCTTTTTTTTTTACCAAAAGCTTTCCTACGATTAGCCATAAAAAAGTAAGCGGCATTCCAATCGATAATATAATTAATTGATGTCGATCAAAATCTGCTTGACTACGAATATTTAATGTTAATATAGACATCTATATTAGAAGCAAAATAAAAAATTAATTATCTTTTTTTATTTTTTGAATATTTTCACATACAATTAACATTGTATCAAGGTTTACAAACCAAGAAAATGTTATAGCTCGAGAGCAAATTGTTTCTTCTTTAGAATTCATTTGATGTGAATAAGCTATGATACTTGCCCATGGAAGTAATAAAATCAATAAAATCAATACAAAACCTAATCGAAGCTAAATAAGTAGAACAAAATGATATCTAATCAATAAAATCATTTATTTTCCTACTGTTATAATATTAAAATCATCTGCTACTTTATAATGATTCAGTAAAAATCGAACATAAAAATGTATACCAATATAAGCAAATAGAAGTATAATTGTTAGTGTTGTTAGAAGTGCATCGGTAATACCTTAAGAAATAATCTTTGTTTTTTTTCAAATTTTTTTCCTAAATCGAACTTACGACAAAATAAAGCGGTTGATATCATAGAAAAAATAACACATCCTAAAACAAAAATAAAGGAATAATTGTAGAAGAAATTTGATTCATTATGAATAAACCTGAATGAACAAGAAGTAGAAGACAAAATGCAAATTCATTATTGTCTCTTTTCATATTTTGAATTTGTACAAGCGTAAGAAATATTATTGGAAGTATAGTTAAAATTCCAATTGAAGCATAAAACCATCGTTGAAAAACAAATTTTTTAAGCATTACTTTTTTTTTATCATCCACAATGTATGCGTAACTCATATTATTATTCAAATTAGATGAAACTGACAATATACAAGTTCTTTATATTTAATGTTAGTGAAGTTAATCTACAAATTTATCCTTTCTTTATCTTTATTCATACAACGTACGTGTTATCGAGATGAAAGAAAAAATATTTCTTTCAATGACAAATGCACACTAATGTAAATAACTTTCTTTTTAATGAACAAGAATGATAATTGTATATGTATGTTCATATTTATTTTTCATACGAAGAGCTATCGATCGAATGGATAATTTCATATTTCAAGTAATAGATCATAAGCAAAAAAATAGTCTTAGAATTTCTTGTCGGGAATTACAAAATACGCCTCCACAATACTTTACTGACATTATATTAGTAATTGATCGCATTACTGATATTATTCTTTTCTTTAGAATTATTTCGTGAAACATACCATTCAATGTGCTATTCAAATCAATCAATGGTAAGAAAACAAAGCCAAAAGAGAAAAGCGCATAAACGTCTTTTATTTATTGGTAAAAAAAACTCTAAAAGCCATAATAATATATATAGGTGAAGAGAAAGGTCAAACAGAACAGACTTTTATATAAATTGAACTTATATATTCTATATTATTAGCAATGTCATTTTTTTTCAGTATGAATTTAAAAAGAAAAATCTTAACTAATATATTTTCTGAGTAAATAGTTTTAAGAAAATCAGACTAAAAGGTGATCTATATTTTTATTATTGAAAAAAGATAAAAAAAAATGCTTTGATATATCAAATGATTGATGAACTAAATTTGTCAGGCCAAGATGAGTGAGTTTCAAGTTTTTCGTGAAAACTTAGATATCTGTACACTGAAAATCTGGAGTAGACTTAACTTAATCAAGTTGCGGTCATCTTTTACATTTTATTTAACTACGTGACGTTTTGTATCTCGATGAGTATATTTTATTTTGAGAATAAAAGCTGTTAGTAATGATATACTACATAAAAATATTTAAAGTTTCGAAAAAAATCGTTGATTATTATCTCCTGTTGTTTGTACTGACATATGTTGTGCTTCAACTTCTTCTTCTTCTTCATCATCATCATCAATATATTTTAATGTATTATGTAAATATTCTTCTTCTTCTTCTTTAATATTTGATAATCGAGCATGTACTGCAGTTAATGATCTAACAGTATCTATTGGATCAATATCTGATTCTTCTTGATGTAAATTTGGTGCTGAATTTGAATTTGATATTAATGCTGATGTTTGAACTGGTAGAGTTAAATTTGGCATTGATAGTGTACTTAAAGTTGATGAATTTGATTGAATTCCACTATCAGTTGTTGCATAAAAACTTTTTTTAAATAAATGAAAGTTTTCTTTTATTAATGGATTTGTATCATTTGATAATACGGATAAGAGTTCACCAACAAGAAGTACACCTTCATTTAATAAATGACTATTTTTATATAAATCCTCACGTGTTGAATCCAAACGATTTAATAATTCAAAACGTAACATTTGAACATCTTGTTTAAGTTCTTCGAAATCACCTTCACGAATTTCTTCTTGTTCTTCACGTTGTTTATGTAGAAGAAAACGTTTTATAACACGATCCATTACTTTACGATATGTTAAGACTTGATCAAAAAAAGAACCTTGACGTGTTCGATGATTATTAGGAACATTTGATAGTTGCCCATTTGATACTGTTGCTAAACCATTACCATTCGTACTTTGTCTTCGATTAGCACGCGGTGTTGGACGTATTGCTGATGGTGAATGTCCATTTTCAACTGGTTGTTCATCCGTTGGATCTTTTGATTTTGTCATCCAAGCATATATATTACAAAATAAACGATAAATACTTTTTGGTGTTGGAACAATATTAAATGGAACTGGTAATGTTCCTCCTAATAAAAACAAAATAGTACCAATAATATATCAAACGTTCTACTGACTACAAATATATTATTTATTAATGATTATAATTCAAAAGATTTAATTTGTATTCAGCTTCGAATTTCAATAGAAGGAATTTTGTATAAACTTTATTTTTATGGGAATTAATCATGAGCAATTTATACTAGATCTCTCTATTCTAACGATATGTAGTAATCTCCTGTTATCAACCTTCTTCTAACTAGTTGCTTCATCTCGGATTGATGTAGCACACTAAAATTAGAAATATATTATAATATATCATTGATAAGATAAGTAAGAATGTCTCAACCACTTCGGACTGATTAAATTGTGAGTATTTGAAAAAGTTCATAAACCGCATGGATATTAAATATAAATTTATACATAAGTGAATGATTTGATGAAGACTGTTAATATAGATAGTTGTTCAATAGCTGGTAAACTATCACACATAAAGAATTACAAAACAGAAATATATTTATACGCACTGGAATTCTCCCTTTGTTCGGCTTTCTCGGAAGTCGAACGCTTTCGTTAATTATGATCCGTAGGATTGTATGCCGATTATATTACACTTAGTTAATGTTTAACAGGAGTTCGAGAAAAGAAGTATACTAGGTCACACTGACTTTCTCTTCATAATTATAGAAAAAATATCGGTCTTCGAACTACATTTCATAAATTAATATCTTACCGTCTTTAATAAATTCCATATATAGTTTACTCCTAGCAAATTTCCATTCAACATCAGCATGTTCTTCAATGGCTTCATAAGATTTTGACATCATGGCAATAAGCATATTAAGTAAAACAATAACATTTGCAATATTAAACGCACCATATATTAAATATCCAACTGTCTCTGTAAAACGTTTATTATAATGATTCAATTGTACACCTTCTTTTTCAGCTAAACCAAATAATGACCAAAATACGGTTTTAAATGTTGAACTCATTCTAATTAAATATACAAATGATATTTATCATTGTAAATGATAAAAAAAAAATTTAAATTAGTTATAACATACGTTCCAAAAGATTCCTCGGCCGGTAAATTTTCATTCTCATCGCCACTGTCTGGAAGATGACGATATATTTCGACTTTCTCTCGTACGGACTTCTTATAATACCAAAATAAATTATTTAAACCAAACATAAAACCACAGAAAATTATTAGAAATATTATAATAAATTTTCCAATATCCTTTTAAAAAGAGAAGAATATTTATAACTACTATATTAGTTATTATTATATGAAAATACGTACCGACATCATTCGACCTAATGAAATTTGTAATGGTCCTAAATGTTGAAATGCTGGTAAAAGAAAACAAATACGTGCAAAACTTAGTATATTTGCTATAGCAAAAAGTCCTTCAGCAACATTAATTGGATCGAATGGTACCCAATAATAACGATCTAGAATCAAAATTAATTTTCTTAAGATTCAAAAAAGAAAAATTAAATAATTTCATATACCAGCATTTAACCAATAAAATGTTCGATAGATATCCTCTTGAGCTGTTTTACTTAAATCACAAAGTTGTCCAACATCCTTTCCAAACGTACTATCACTAAGGATTTTACGCGATTCTTTGACCTAAAATAGATTGCTATTATCGATGAGTTTCAAAGAAATTTTAGATTATTTAGTATTATACATTATAAACAGAATTGAAATTAATCTTCTTACTTAGACAGCTTATTTTAAATTCAAACTTTAAATTAAACGGTCGTTTTCATTCCATTGATTCGGAATATAGGCAACTATCTAAGAACTTCTTGATATACGTAGAAGATTACATAAGTGCTCTGACCTTCAGTTAAGTTTAAATACTTTCAATTGGTTTGTCTATCTCCAAGTCTTTCAGAACCTATTAGAAAACTTTACGTATTAACATACAGATCTAACTTAAAATTTGTCTACTCAAATAACTAAGATATCTGTGCACGTACTAATGTATGCCATAACATAGTTAAATTTCGGATGGGTGCTACTTATCAGTGCTTTGTTTAAGTCTTTTTTTTGGGTAGGCGAATCAAAATTTCTAATGGACGCCGCTTATTCGCTAGATAAAGCATTGCTCATAGTGATTAATAGCTCCTACGAGAAGACACTAACTGAAAAATTTAAAATATCTTATATTCTATCTTACTTGAAAAATGACATAATATTTAAGCGCAAATGATGATATATATAATATAGTTGTACATGAATCAACAATATTATTCCATGATAGAAGATAATCTTGCAGACCATCATTATATGCTTGCTTTATTTCACGCCAAAGAAAACCTAAATATATAATACGTGGAAAATTTCTTTATCTAGAATAATTTACCAAAAACAAAAACTGATATTGTTATATCAATCCATGTTGGTTTATCAGCGCGAAAAACAAAATTAGGTACTGGATAAATTCGACAAGTACTATTACTATAATTATTTGTTTTTTGATCTTCTAGTGCTTTATTTAATGTATCTGATAAAGTTGAAATGTTCTTTAATTGTACTAAATCTTTTTTAGATTCACTAGCAAATAAAAAACTTGAAACAATGATTAAAACAATAAATACTGCATATGTTATTGTATGACCAATAAATTTTATACATGGTTGTTTAAGAAATCTTTGAAACTATTAATAAAATAAATAGATAAAAAAAATTAATTTTCTCTTCAGTTATTTACTTTTATTGTATAAATTGACCATGATGTTAAAATGTAAATTACACAAGCAAATGGTAATATAAATATATATGAAATAGTTAATAATAAAATCAATAATGGATTTAATTTGAATATATTACGTATTTGACTATGCCAAATTTCGACTAATTTTTGTTGACAATTCGAATGAGCAACAAACTAAAAGAAAATATTTTTAGATCTAATTATTATTATCATAAGAAACGAACAATTATAATCAGTTTATTCACAAAAAATAATTCTATTCTTAACTAAAGGATATCGAACCTAAAATCTATCAACTAACGAGGGAACCTCACCAAGTGATACCCTCTGTTTGAGCTCATATTTTTCTCATAGATAGGGCTCATAGTGTAGATAAAAACCCTGAAAGGATCCGTCCTATTAGCTTGTTCCTGTCGAAATATAGAAATTTTAATGAATTTCCCTTAAAGGACCCCATTTTTCGAGCCAAATCATATTTTGAAATTTCGATCCGAGACTTTGCCCAAGTGAAAACCTCAACTAGACTAGCTTTCAAAAACAATTTCCGAAGTTTTGGATAAAGTCTCTCCGAGTTATGAATTTTCAAAAGATGCATGTTTTATATAGTATCTACGAAAAAACGCTTATAACTTGAGAAATTTATAACTCGGAGAGACTTTATCCAAAACTTCTGAAATTGGTTTTGAAAGCTAGCCTAGTTGAGACCTTCATTTAGAAAAAGTTTTAGGTCGAAATTCCAAAATATGATTTGACTCGAAAAATGGGGTTCTATAAGGGAAATTCACTAAAACTTCTATACCTCGACAGGAACAAGCTAATGGGACGAATCCTTTTAGAGTTTTTATCTACACTATGAGCCCTACCTATGAGCAAAATATGAGCTCAAACAGAGGGTATCATTTGGTGAGATTCACGCGTAAGTCTAGGTACGCGATAAAACTTTCGCACTAGCGTGCAGATAGGATTCGAAAGCAAAACGAATTCTTTCAACCTCACCCACGCCTATCTTTCGAGATCCTAATTGATTGAATTAGTTGATGTTATTATATTTTGCACTTACTGATTTTTCTTTATATTTAATTGCTAAATAAAGTCGTGCTAATATGACATATTTTTCTTCTGATTCTTTGCCAGTTTTTCCCAAAACACAATCAAGTTCTTTATGACCACGAACTTTATCAAGTAATTTAACTGCATATGCACTTAATTGATCAGCTAATAGCATATATTCATTCTAAAACAATAAATCAATAAATATTAAAAATATATATATATTTTCTTTTATTTCATACTTTAAAATATTTTTCTTTTCCAGATAAATCTCTTAATTCTCGGCCAAGTTCAAATGCTGTTAAAATTGGATCAATCGATGCTAAACTAATATAACTTTCACTAGCTAAACCACGATATGCATTTAAACGTGATTGTGCATGACGTAATGAATCAAATTTAAATCGATTACGACATTCTATACATTTACAATGATAATCATGTGGTTTTGTTATACGATCACCTTGACTTAAAAGTAATTGAACTAAAAGAAAAAATCTTATAAGATTTAAACTTTTCTTCATTTGATTTTTACCTATTTCAGTTCGATTATGTTGTGCTGCTAACATTAATGGTGTTATATCCGATGCAAATTGTGTATCATCAGATGTTGGTGTTTGCCAAAATGTCCCTTCACTATCAGTTATAGCTCTTTTATCATTTAATCTTCGAAATGTTGGATGATGTAAACATGCTTCAGCTATTTGTATATGACCCAGATAAATAGCTAATAATATTGCTTCACGTATTTTTTGTCCATCACAAGAATATAAGAGAAGTGTAACAACCTATAAAATGATACAAATGAATAATTCTTATAAGAAAATCTAAATAAGACTTCAAGATGCTCATTTTCAATAGCCAATTGTATTGCTGTACGACCCAATTGATTGGCAACATCAATATTATATTTTTCATTTTCTAGAAGTATTCGATGAACTGTACTATAATCTCCATTTTCACATGCACGAACAAATTGCTCGTCGACATTGAGTTCCTAATAATAGAAACCAAAAAAAATTCTTTTTCCCTCTTTGTACAATTTTATCTACGGTAGTTTTTGAATTATCACCATACATTCGTTTATTTAAACCAGTTCGAGGAGTAATAAGTTCCGCACGTCCACGCATATTTGCTGTTGTTCGTTCACTAAAACGTCTCGGTTGAAGGCCAGTTGAAGTATGACCAGTATTTGCTGGCACGTTATTCATTTAAATGTCAATGATGAATAATTTCCACACAAAAAAAAGAAGATGATTATTATTCGGATTTATTCTCAGTAGGAAATTAATAATTCTTTTAGAGCTATTATATTCATAATAAAAAAGAAATAGAGAAAGAAAAAACGTGATGTTCAATCTATGCAAGATAATAAGCAGATGCTTATCAATGTTGGCATACACACACACACGTCGGAATGTAATATTATCTCATGAAACTTAGTTAGACTAGGAAAAATATATAAATATTAAAATCATGTCTATATTGAGTTTTTCTTATTCTTTATTTTTTCAATATAGAAAAAAAAATCTAACGTCTAGGTATATTTGAATGACAACCATATATTAATAAATATAATCTATTTAAAAAACATGACTTTGACATACGAGAAAAAAAAACAACAATAAAATTCATACGTGATTAATTACATCTATCTATATTTAAATAGATTAATCATATTATTATTTTTCAAACATTTAATTAATTATGAACATAATGTTTTCCTGTTTATATGAATAAAATAAAATAAGACAAGTTAATAAATATTTTTTTAATGGATGTAAATTGTAGGATTTAATATTAGAACATTTGTACGTAAAGAGAAAATTAATAACTATGTCAATATTATTTATTATGTTCGATTTTTATTTTAGAATTCAAACAAAATTTACTAATTCTAAAATACATTGTTCTTTAGAAAGTGCATAAAACTTTTTTTTACTAATATATATATTAAATTGAACAAGAATTACATTATAAATTTTTTTTATAAAATAAAATTAAATAAGTTTTTCAGCGGTATCTAAATATTTACTATAATTTGATGATAGTGGAGTCTGAAATGATTTCAGTACATTTCCTTTATTTCCGGGACCTGCAACAATTTGTGTTAATTCATCATCATCGTCATCATCGGAATTTTCATTGGAAGATGTTGAAAGTTGAAATCGAACGTTATGTGGTGATGATGATTGTTGTTGATCATTAGATATGACATTTAATTGAATATTAGTACCATTAGTTTGTTTGAGAGTAATAATAGATTTGATTGCTTCTAATAAATTAAGTGATCTATCATATTCTTCTTTATCAACATAACCGATAATAAAATGAGTACGAGTAGTAGATTGATGTAATGGATTTTCGACAATATCTTGTGTATTTATTGGAGGAGTTATTTCCATTGTATTATCATCTGTTTCAAATGCAGCATTTGCTTTTGCTCTTGCATCAGGATCTTCAATTAGTTTTGAATTATTACGTCGTGGAAGTCGCCCTGAACCAGCTCTAGAGTCTATACCACTACTTTCATCATCGGAATACTCATGTAAATCAACATCATCATCATCATTTACATATAATCTTCGAGCAAAAACACGTTGATATCGATCAACAAGAACTGATACAAGCATACCAATTGTTGCTGCACCAAATAATGCACATAAACATGATATTACTCGACCAATTGGTGTAATTGGATATATATCACCATATCTGAATATTAAAAAAAAAATTAGGAATAAAACTTTTCTTGATTGTTTTTAGCTTTTATTCTTACCCAACACTAGTTATTGTTATAATTCCCCAGTATGTCGCTTTAAATATAGAATCAAATGCGGCTCCATTCGTATCATTTTCAGCAAAATAAGCCGCTGAACCGAAAAGAAAACTTACTAATGTTAAAATAACAATCATTATAAGAAAATCTGGTATCGATTGTTTAATTGTTGATGTTAATACACGTAAAGATTTAACATTTTTAAATACACGATAAAATTTGAAAATACGTACAAAACGAAGACTACGTAGAAGACGAAAACAAAGATAGGCTGTTGTATAGAGTTCAGCTTGATAACCAGCTAAATGAAAAACTACGAAAATATAATATGGTATAACAGCTAAAATATCAATCCAATTCATAGGATTTTTTACATAGATAAGCAATGATGGTGTACTTATTATACGAAGAACTAGTTCAATTGTAAAAAGTCCAACACATATAGATTGAATAATAAAAAATGGTTGTGTAAAATATCCACGACAAAAAAAATAAGCATTATCTGTTCCATTTGTGTTCGTTCTATTAATTGCATCAAATATATGTCTTTCATTTTCACAAACTTTTACTTCCATTTCATCATATTGTGGTAATGATTCAATTGCAAGTGAAATAGTTGAAATAAGAATTATAAGTAATGAAAAAATATTTACAATTTTAGCCGTTATCGAATAATCAGGATATTCCATAGTTGCCCATATATGTCTTCGAAAACGATTTTTAGGTAATTGAACTTTTTTAACTTCTTTTAGATTTTCATCTTTTCGTAATTGAATAAGAGCTTCTTCTCCTAATTGAAAGAAAGTTACTTCTTCAAGAAATACATCAATTGGAACATAAGCAGGTCGTCTTAAACGACCATGTGATTGATAATAATAAAGTATAGCTTCAAAACAAGCACGATTTCGATCAAAAAAATATTCCTTACGAGTTTTATCATAATAATATTTACGTCGTTTACGATTTCCCAGTAAAGTATTAGGATACAGTTCAAGTGTCGTACGATGAGTTTCATAACGATCACCACATAAATTTATTATAATACGTTCTTCCAATAAATTATTAGTTTCACGTTTACGTTGTTGAGATTCTATTGCTCGAACATTAAGTAAACTTTGAACATTAATAATATCACTATTTTAATTATAAAATAAAATATACAATTATGATTATAAAAAGACTTACGAAACATATGTATCTTTTTGTGTTGAATTCCAAATTGATTGTTTCTGTGGCATTGATTTTCTATTAAGATAAATTAACGATTTGAAAAATGACATTTATAATTCTTAGTTATATACTCAAATAAACGTTCAAAAGTTGTTCGTCGATGTGTTGACGATGGTTCAATATCATTATGAGGTTGATGTACCGGTTGAATAGGTTCTGATTGACGAACACTTTGCATTGTCCTTATCTATCTATATACATATCGACACAATGAATATTAAATCGAATAAAAGAACGAAGAAAAAAAAAACGTATCCTTTATAATATCAATAAATAACGAATCATCTATTAATGTGTACAAAATATGACAGATTCAGGATTAAATACTATTTTAGTCATTTATTATATTGTATAAACAATAAATATTATTTATTCATATTTAAAAACAATTGAATCGTATATATGTAAACAAATATTACCTGTGTTGTTTATTGGGTTTATTATAAAATGCTTAAAAATACTATGAGGTCAGAACTCTATTTGTCGAAAAATAAGTATGTGATGATATAAAGATTGATATAATGATATAATAATAAGAAAAATATAACACTTTTCTGTTGCAATTTATTTGTCTATCACTTTCTGTCTTCCAGCGATATTTTTAATTGCAAAATTTTGATTTCTCTATCGTTGATTTTTATACTTATGAATAATTTAACAAGGTTCTTATAATTTAAGATTCAGAAGTTATTCTCGGAAAGATATTTTATTGAACATAGAGAATATCAGTAGAGTTGATTATGATATTTATATAGATATATCGTCTATTAGAAAATTTTTATTATCTTTCCTATATTTGTGTTATTGATATCAGTGTCATCGATCTATTATGTTGTGAAGAAAAAGCATCTCTTTAGTAATACTTATCATGATTTGAAATCTTTCAATTAAAGTTTTACCTATCAAACGGATCAATTATGATTAAATCAAAAACTTTCAGTACATCCTAATAAACAAATTAGAATTGAAAATGTTTCAAAGCAATAGAAATATCTCATGATTGATACCGATTCAAAGTTTCATAATGGTATTAATCTAAATTGAGTATTTAGATTCAAGCGTCGAATTATTATATTATGAAGTATTGGAAAGAAAGCGATAGATATAGTTCCATAATACAACATTTACTCTATTATTTGAGGAGTTACGGCTATAGGTAAAATCATTAAATAGTAAAAACTTTTAATAATAGTCTTTTAAAAGTTAAACAAGTGTAGTTAATTATGAATTCATATGCACAAAAGAATATTGTATTATTTCATTAATATGAAATATTTTATCTGACTATTCGTGTCCTCTATCGACAATTTAACTGATTGGTAACATAGATATGAATCAATGAATAACAAACGCCACTTGCTTTTTCTTTTGTTTACACGTTGATTCTAACGATCATTGGGTGTGTGATCACAATTATACAAAGGCATTGATTGTATCTATATCATATATTGTACATCGATGCTATTTCGATCTTTTGTATTCTACATATAAAATAATATTTTGCCGATTAATTCATGGTTAACACGCGTAGTAGTCACCCAAATGGTGATACAAATACAAATGATTCCTATAAAGAACGACATATAAAAGTAATTTGTTGATTTTTCTAATATTTTATTGAATTTTAATGAACTATTTTTGTTATTTAGAAAGTTGTTAATTATGAACAAGAATCATCAAATGATTCGTTTGGAAATTCCAAAGGTCCATCACATTATCATGTATGATACTGAATTCTATGTGATATTTATAATATGAATTTATTTTTAGCGTATTTTAAGAAAACGAACTAATCCAACTTATCAAAATTCATTCGATTATATGGATGACGAGTAAAAGAAAATTTTCATTTTATCTTTTTTAATTTTATTTTTTTTCCGTTAGTGATGAAGAAGAAGAAACCATTGGACGTCGTCGTCGTCGAGAATCTCGTCGTAATGGTAAACAAAAAGAAAATCGTCATGTTTTTTTCTCTTATCAAATCTTTTATTTTGTTTTAGTTCGAACATTAGTTGATACATCTAATAGTGGTTCTCCAACAACTGGTCGTTTAACAAATGGTGCACGATCCGAAAGAGTAAATTTTTGTTTTTTTATTAAAAAAAATATTTTATTTGTTTTTTTTGTTAACAGAATTTAAGTATGTATGATCGTGTAAAAGCTCGTCGGAAATCAAATGATCCTGATATTTATTCAGAAGATCGTGAAGAAAATGATGTCAATGAACAACAAGAAGAACAAAATGATCAAAATAATGAGAATGATAATGATACAAAAAAATCTAAAAATAAAAAAAAAGAACAAACAATTGGAAATGGTGGTGATGATATGACGGAAGAAAATACTATGGATATTTTAAATCAAGATGAAGAAGAGGAAGAAGAAGAAGAATTAAATAATCAACAAACAGCAAAATATTCATTAAGAGAACGAAAACCACCTATTCAAAGATTTTCTTTATATGGTAATATAATTATAGATTATTCTCTAAACTTTTAAAGACTATTCATTGTTTTTAATTAATTAGAACAACCACGACAAAGACGAAAAACTATATTCTATGACGAAGATGATGAACGACCATCAACATCAAGATCACGTCGATCTCGACAAAAAGGGTATAATTTTGTTTTGTATACGAATTAGTTTGTATAAAAATAATTTTTTAGACGACGTGTTTCTGCTCATGTTTCAAGTTCATCTACATCCGATTCGTCATCAGATAGTGAAACTATGGGACCATTAACAAATGGTGATCTCGATTCTCGACCACAACGAACTGCACGTTTAGCTAAAAGCACTGCAATGAAACGCATGAGGTAATTATAGTTTTTATTTCGATAAAGATTTTAAATACGCACTAACAACTATATTGAATTTTATTTAGATGTTTACCAACAAATTTGGATATACTAGGTGTTTATACGAGTTCAAAAAAACCAGGTACACGCACATCATCCAATGGTGCTGGTAGTGGTGTTGGAGCATTAAACCTTGATTTAAATAGTAAAAGTCGACGAGGTAATAATGCAGCTGTATCGTTAGCAGATGCTGAATCAATTGAGATAGATCGAACGGTTTGTTATATATTTATTTGAAAAAAAGTTTTATATTATTAAAATATTTTCGAAATTTTAGATTACATTTGATGATATTGGTGGTCTAGATCCAATAATACGTTCATTAAAAGAAATGATTGTTCTTCCATTAGTCTATCCTGAATTATTTCATCATTACAAAATAAAACCACCACGTAAGAAGAAGAAGAAAAACAACAGTTAATATTTTTTTATTAACTAAAATGCATTAATATTTTAGGTGGTGTACTCTTTTATGGCCCACCTGGTACTGGTAAAACACTAGTTGCTCGTGCACTTGTCAATGAATGTTCATCACCTGATCGTCGTATAGCATTTTTCATGCGTAAAGGTGCCGATTGTTTATGTAAATATGTTGGAGAAAGTGAACGACAATTACGTGTTCTATTTGACCAAGCTTATCAACAACGACCAGCAATAATATTTTTCGACGAAATCGATGGTTTAGCACCAGTACGTTCAGCACGACAAGATCAGATACATGCATCAATTGTTTCAACATTACTTGCACTTATGGATGGTCTTGATAATCGTGGTGAAGTTGTCGTTATTGGAGCAACGAATCGTTTAGATGCTATTGATCCAGCTTTACGACGACCGGGAAGATTTGATAGAGAATTTCGTTTTTCTTTACCAACAATTGAAGTAATTACAAAAAAATAAATAAATTTATCAAATCTATTGTTTTTTGCTTTTCTAGGCAAGAAAACAAATTTTAAAAATTCATACAAAAGAATGGGAATCAAAACCACATACTGGTTTTATTGATGAAATAGCGATTCGAACTGCAAGTAAAAGATCTTTATATAAATATTCTTTTTCTGACAAAAACTAAACTATTTTCTTTTATTATAATGAAAAAAGGTTTTTGTGGTGCAGATTTAAAAAGTTTATGTCAAGAAGCATTTTTATCAGCTTTACGTCGACGCTATCCACAAATATATGATTCACGACAAAAATATAAAATTGATCCACGTTCATTACATTTATCACGTGGAGATTTTTATACAGCATTACATCGTATTGTACCAGCCTGTAATCGTGGATGTCAACATCCTGTTGGTCGTCCATTAGATATGCATTTAATACCACTATTAAGTGAACAACTTGATAAATGTTTAGAACAATTACATGAAATTTTTTTTAAACGTACAAGTTCAAATAATAATAATTCAAATCAGATACCATTTCAAAGTATTAGCGACGATTTAACAACAACGACCACATCAACATCATTACGAAAAGCTCCAACGTTAGGTTTAACAACATCATTCGCATCGAGTTCACATCGAAGTGCAACATTTACAATGAGAAGTATACCTGACAATGGTTTATGTCGATTTTTTGCATCGGCTGTTGTTCAACAACTTGATTGTGCATTTTTTGTATTTGAACTTGGTTATCTTCATGCTCAAACATCACGAACACCGGAAGAAGCATGTGCACAATTATTTACTGAAGCAAGACGAAGTGCACCATCAATTATTTATGTACCAGATATTGAAAATCTTTGGCCAAAATTATCTGAATCTGTACAATATATGTTTGTATCGAATGTACGAACATTACCACCCAATTTACCTATTTTAATTTTAATTGCACTTGAAACAGATTCATATGATGATATTCATCCAGATGTAAGTATTCAACTATATGAATTAACCCGACTTTTAAATATTATCTCGTTTAGATAAGTCAGATTATTTCACCGAAATCAACATTTACATTGACAGTACCAAATGCGGACGATCGTTATTCATTTTTTGCACCATTATTTAATGAAGAAATGTTTTCATCAGTAAATTCAGCAGATTCTAGAGCAGGTAATTGAAATCTTGAAAAGAATTTTATTTTTTATAATATTTTTAATTAGAACCAGTTCAAGAAATCTTAGAAATTGCTGAAATACCAGCAATATCTCGTGAACGTAGTGAACAAGAATTAGAACGTGTACGACAACGTGAAGAAGCAACAATGACTGAATTACGAGTATTTCTTCGTGATATGCTAAAAATTCTATTACGCGATAAACGCTTTACATATTTTTCACGGCCAATTGATGTTGAAGATGTACCTGATTATTATGATGTTATTGAAAATCCTATGACATTTTCTATGATGTTAGAAAAAGTTGATAAACACGGATATACATGTGTTAAACAACTTACACAAGACATTGATTTAATTGTTTCAAATGCATTACTCTACAATCCAGATCATACCACTCAAGGTCGATTAATTCGTCATCGAGCATGTGAATTACGTGATGTTTGTCAATTTCATATAAATGCTGAACTTGATATGGAATTTGAATTATTATGTCAACAAGTTACTGAAGCACGAAAACAACGAGGTTTGTTAGAGAAAAACTATGTTTGATTTTTTACTGATATGCTTTTTTTTCTTCTCATTTAGGTGATGACCCTAAAGAATCATTACCGAATTATGTTTATACCGAACAAACAACAACAGCAGATAGTAGTACTCATCAAGAGAATGAAAATGGTTCACATAATGGTACTGAACATGCCATGGATGTATCAACTAAAAATCCATTAAATACAACTGATCAATCAGAAACACAAGTAGATATTTCAATAATATCAACAAGAAATTCAGCAAAAAGAAATAAATTGAATCATAGTCAACGTTCGAGTACAACACGAAGACAAGCTAAAGAAAAAGAATTAGTTAATGGACATAATGAAGTAAGAATATAATAAACCTATAAATCAAAAATATATGAATTTTTCTTCTAGGAAACTGTTCTTTCAGCTGAAGATACAGAAACAACAACGATAACAACTGAAATATCAACAAAAACACAAACAACTGATACAAACGAATCAATAATAATAACAGCAATAACAACAAATCAATCATCTCAATCATCATCATCACCATCTAATGAATCATCAAATAAAAAACGTGTTAAACGAACAGTATCTTCTATTTCATTATCACCATCAAAATTAACATCTACGAATGATACATCAGCGGAAATCAAAACGAAACGACAACGAACTGATATAACAATTCAAGTAATAAGATTTTTCTTATTGATTTTATAATTTTTGTGTTTTTCAATAGGCGATTGAATCAGCACCAGCAAATATTGAACAACATGAACATCCACCTAGAAAAATTAATATAGAACGTCTTACATCGAATTTAATGTATCTTGTTGAACATACAAATGATTATGGTGTAGAAAAATTAAGTACAATATGGTTTGAACTATTTGATATAATTGAATCATGTCGATCACTTTTATCAGAGGAATCAATCTTTGAAGTAATTATATTCCTATATATTTTATTTATATAAATTTTATATTCTATTCTAGAAATTTGAAACAAATCTTCGTTCAATTATTTAATTTATATATATACATAAATATATATATTTTCATTCATTATTTATCTAGTCTTACCATTTCGCATTCTTCAAAAAACTAATAATAAACATGAAATCACTCAGGAAGAGCATTGTATGGTTTCTTTGATATCTCTCAGGAGACGAAAAGCATATAAAGCTCATTTAGTTTTTTTTCTCTCTCTCTCTGTCCTTATTGACTATTTTTCTTTTGTTGTCATAAAAAAAACAAACTTTATTTAATCAGTATTTTTTTGGTATAAAAAAAAACAAATTTATGTAGAAATATGTAGCACTCAGGTTAGATGCTATTTTTCCTTCATTTCTTTCTTTATGCTTATTATTATATTTGTCTTGTCTTACATATATTTTCATCTGTTCATTTTTTTTTCATTGTAAAAAAAATAGTTTCGCTCTTTTCTTTCTTTCTTTTTTGTCTTTATCTCATGTATGTAAATAAAAAAAACCACACAGCCCAACTACATTATAAAGATATTGAATTAGTAAATAATGAAGAAGAAAAAAAAAGATATTTATTGATTATTACACCTTTTTTTTTTGATTTCTTCTAGATGTCAACGGTAATTTCGAATAGTAAAGTCGTTCAAGTGTGTAATATATCAACATCATGTCAAAGAGATCAATTAAAAGCATTATTCAATTTCTTCGGAAGAATTGATGAAGTTCAATTATATCCGGATAGGTAATACAATGAGAAAATTATCTATGTTAGATCTCAATTTAGGGTTGGCGAACGATGAGCACAGTGGAATTAAGCGCAAATAAAATAAAAAACTCTGATCTCTTATCAAAGATCAATTTAGGGTGTGGATGTATGTGTTAATTACAAAAACATATAATATTGACAGTCACACTCGCTCACACCCACACCCATCTATACAAAAAGGGTCATTCAATAACAGAGAAAAGAATTTGTACAGTGTTTTATCCAGGTTTCTTTTTTGGAGTGGGCGCCGCTCTCCTGCTAGATAAGATCGAATATCGTGGATGTTTCGAAAAAAAAAGAATAATGAATTGTCCTCTATTCTCTAAGTTGGCGATAACGAGGAGAAATATTTGAAAGACAGGTTTAACTCTAAATCTATATTAGATTCGAGATGTGTTTATCGAAGAAAATAAATATCACCCAATTTATTTTAGTTTAGCCATCAAAACTATCAACTTAACATTGAGATCTGATCAATCTAATTTATTTATTAGGGTAAAATTGCACAAGACTGCTTATTTTGCCTTACTCATAAAAAAATCTAATTAAAATAATAATAATAATAATTTATAATACTTTTTTTCCTAGTGAAACTTTAGCACAGACAATCAATGGCAAGGTTGGTTATATTAAATTCGATCGTAATGATAGTGTTCATGGCGCATTAAATATGACAAATACAATATTTATTGATAAACCATTAATTGTTTCTCAAGTATTTGAAAATACTATACCTGATGAAACTGATTCAATGATGTATTGTGCACCATTAAATCCAAATGTAACATTAATCAGTGGTGGTCCAACGTGGCCGAGTACTGTAATTAATCGACTTGTTGGTCAACCACCAAATGCGTATTATGAAACAATTGATCCAGAATTAACTGATCGAAATTTACCTTCATATCCACCATTATCAGGAACACTTGATATACCAAAAGTTGAAGAAATTCGACGAACTGTTTATTTATCGAATTTAGATAAAGATGTAAAATAAAAAACAAATTTTATTAATAACAAAATATATATTTAGTTTTATATTCTTAGATTGATTTAGATGTATTACATGAATTTCTTTTACAAATTGGTGAAATTCGTTATATTCGTTCAGCTTATACTGATGAAAATGCTGAAGTACGTGGTACTTATGTTGAATTTAGTGAACAACCATCAATACCTAAAGTACTTTCAATAAATGGTTTTCAATTTTTTGGTCGACCTTTATTGTAAAGAAATATTTTAGTTTAGCAAATTTTATTCTTTTTCTTTTAATTTCCACATAGTGTTAATCATGCAACTTCATGTGTTATTAAGCCAGCAACTGTTCGAGGATTACGAAGTGGTAAGAAAATTTTTTTCACTTGAAGTAAAAAATTATTTTGTTTTCTATTATTTAGATGAAGAAGAGATGAAAATGAGTCCATCACGATCTCGAAGGTATATTTGAAATAGTTTAAATTTAAAATTTTGTATTAAATATTGTATTCTTAGTGCATCACGTCGTCGAGGTTCAGCAACAGGTGAAGAAAGTGATCATGATCGTAAGTCAACATCAAGATCAAAATCTCGTAAAAAATCTACAAAATCAACACGATCACCTAAACGTCGTTCAAGGTAAAACCATTTTTGTTTCTTTTATTCATCATAAAAACTAATAAATAATTTATTTTAGATCAAAGAAACGTAGTCGATCACGATCATCACGTGATCGAAAACGACGTTCACGTTCACGATCATATGATCGTCATCGACGAAAGAAAGATTCACGTAAACGTTCGCGTTCACGTTCTCGTTCACGTTCCAAAGGACGTCATCATCGAAGTGAAAGTCGTAAAGATAAAAAATCTCGACGATAGAATAAATATATACATTAAAAATTTTTTGTTATATATGTGTTTGTGTATGAACTTAAGATTCAATAAACTAGAAAAATAATTGTTTCATGTTTTGTTTATTTGTAATGTTATCGACTTTGTTTTGTAATTGATTCGAACAAGGAACAAAAATTCTTTCATAATTATAATAAACAAAAAACAGGTCGAGAAGAAAATTTTGTTTCAGATATTAATGAAGTATAAATTTAGTTTGCCCATTTTTTTACTATACAAGCCCTACGAAAGTTTCTATTGAATCAATGCCGTAAGATTATCTTGTCGATGGGCCGACTGCAGTTACCGATAAGCAATCCGAAAAAAAACATACAGATCCTGTGGTAAAAACAATACGATTCTGAACTCGACAAGCATTAATCTCCTCGGTGGTAAAATAGAATATTACAGATGAAATTGTAACATATTGGACCTATTACATCTGTAGAAAATTTAAATACATGCATGCAATACTTCAAGAAACAGTTTTTCTCTCATTTTATCAGTATCTGTTGTTAACTAATACGTTTTGTAACTCATTCTAGTTTAATAATTCTCAATCGACGTATAATCTATTACTTTTTATGAAAACTACCAGTGTTTTATCCAGCGAGTAGGCTGGGTGGGCACTGAATAAACGCCGCCCACTCTGAATTTTGATTCGCCCTTCCAAAAAAACGAAACTTCGTTAAAACACTAAGACTATACTTGTTAATTTCATTTGAACGTTACAAAAGAAAATCTTGTCATATAATTTCTTCATTTTCGTTTTCTTCTCTTATAATAGATTGAGATAATTATCAATTTTCCGATTGAACATTAATCTAGAACAATGGTGAATTTATTATCAATATTTGTAGTTCTGATAGAACGAGCTCGATTACAAAAAAACAATTGGATATATAAAAGAATTCGTATGTATAAATCAACATGCAATAATGGTGCTTTTCGCTTACAGCTATTCTATCTAGTTAATTGATTGCTATTATTTAGATTGCAAAATATTGATGATTAAAATATTTTATTATCTTTCTATCCATTTCATTTTAGATATGCAATGATCTTTTCTTCTCGTGCTGTGTTTTTACCAAATAATTATCATTCAAAATGGTTTCTTAATTTTTTAAAACAACCATGGCGTTGTTTTGGTGGATTAGATACATCACCATCTAGTGTTATGAGAAATGCTGAAGTTCAAACTATTTATTCACAGACATTAACAATACCAAATCAAGGTCGTTTAGAAGTTCGATGTCCATTTAATCTCTATATAACACCACTTCATCAAAAAGATTTTCCAAGACTTGATAAAGCTTTTTTTACTATTTATGGTATGTAAAAATATATAATTAGACAAAAAAAAAGAAAATTGTTTTCTTAGGTGATAGTGGTTTTCAATTTTCAAAGGAAGTATGGAATAAATTATTTCAATTTTCAACTGTATTTAGTCCTGATGATCGAACTCTTCGTGTTATGGGTGGATTTACAGAAGCAGGTGAAAAAGAATTAGGTGAACAAGCTCATACATTAGAAGTTTATTGTCAAATTCCTCCACATTACGGTAATTTAAGATTTTAATAATTTAATAAAAAATTCTTTGTCTGTTTTATTAGAAGTCGATATTAATTGTTCGGATAATAATAATGTTAATGTTGAATATTTGCAAAGTCCTCGTGTTCATGTAAATATTTTGTTTTTTTTTGAAATAAAATTATATAAAGAAATGTTTTTTTCTAGATTCAAACAAAACGTGGTGAATGTTCTTTAAAAAATATAGTTGTAGGTTTTTGAAAATTAAATTTTGCCATTGAATTAAATTTATTTTTCTATAGGCAGACAGTATTGTTGTACACAGTCAATCTGGAAATATAACTTGTTCTGGTTCATTACATGGAACTATCGATTTAAGTACGGAAAGAGATGGTGTAAATTAAAAAGAAAAATATTTATATTAAACTCTATTTTACTTTTTCTTAATCTTAATTAGATAATCAAAGCATCGAAATTACAAGGTCCTTTTGTTCGATTAAAAGTTGAAAATTCTGATATTCGTGCAAAAAGTATTCATTCGGAACATTTTTTTATTCAAGGACAACATGGGAAATTTCGTTTGGGAAATTTACATGGTCATGGAATACGTAAATAATGAATCTATTATTCGTTCTTTTTATTGCTAAGATTTTTCTATGTTTAGTGGATTTAAATAGTGGATCAATTAGAATAGGTAAACGAGGTTTTAACTGAAATAAAAATTTAAGAAAATTTAAATTTAGGATCTGTTGATGGTGATGTTAGTCTTCAATGTGAAAAAGGTGATGTGAATGTATTTTTTTCATCTACAAATTCATCGACAATACGTGTTCAACATGGTTTGTGTATAATATAGAATTTATTTTCTTTTTTAAATCTCATTTTATATTTAGGTGATGTTCGATTAGGTGTTATTGATACTGTAAGTGTTCGTTTAAATCTTGTTGGTAAACGTGTTCAAGTCGATGAAGATGCTGAACATTTTCATATGAATACAACAAAACAAGGAGGTATTGTTCAAGTACAAGGTTTTATAACAGAAGAATCTTCTGGTTCATCAATTGATGTTAATGCACCAAAGGGTACTATTCAACTTGATGTACGAGATTGGTTTTCAACATTAAAACTTCATCGACATGTTGATCAATAAATATCATTTATTATTTTTTGCGCTTTTGTTTTGATTTGATATTCTCATGTAATTTTTTCATTGAGTTTTATTTTAGATTATATTTTAATATATTAAACACTAAAAATGATGTTAGGTGGACCAGGTGGAGACGATTCCGATACAAATAAACGTATGGCTGATTCACAAGTAAAATCAAGCTTTATACAATTTATTGTTGCTGTTGGACTTATTAATTTAGGTAAAGAAAATTTTCAAAAAAAAAAAATTTAAATTAAATATTTTTTTCTCGTTTTAGCTCCATATGTTCTTGAAGCAGTTATGGGCGAAAGTGTTCGTTAAATCAAATACATTATGTTTTTTTTCTCCTCCTCTTATGTTTTTTTCTTTTGAAATTGAAAACATAAATAAAAACAAGAACAAGAAGATATAGATTAAATATATATGTGTCATGTTTGTTTTGTATTAATTTAGATGTCTCTTTCGAAAGTTCCTGTTCATAAATGTTTAGAAAAAATTCAATGGTTATTAGGTGTTTGGCGTTCGGAATCAGCTACTATTCAACTTGAAGGAAAATCTTTTTCGTATTTAAGTGAACTTAAATGTGAACATGTTGGTCAACCGAATTTTATTCTTCATATTAATGGGTTTAATGTTCAACCATTAACAAATGATAATAAGGTATCATGGACAAATGCAAATGAATTAAAACCATTTCATCGTGAAATGGGTTTTTTACGTGTTAATCCGAAAGATGAAACAATAAATAATATATCATATTTAAATGTACAAAATGTTGGTTTATCTAATGTTGAAGAAGGAAATATAAATGGAAATAGTTTCACTGTTGAAACAAAAACTATTGGACGTTCTTGTTTTAATAAAGATCCAAGTGTTCAATTACTTCGTCGTGAATATCAATTAGATGAAAAAGATGCCAATATATTAAACGTAAAAGTATTTATGAGTACAAGTCGAACGGATAATAATGAACAACCATTTGAACATTTAACAATTCAATATCGAAAAATATCAAATGAATAAATTAATTCAACGATAAACAATTAACATTAAACTTATTTACTTTTGTCTTTCATTTTCATTTATAGTTAATAAAATAAATCAACTAAATATTTGTTATTTTGATTCATAATAGTAAAATTCTTAATCTTTTTTTTACAACTACTATAACTAAATATTCGTATAAAAGTATGTGTAAATATAAGGTTCAAGGATAATTCTTTTTTCGAGGTCCTATTCTTATCGCATTTTGATAACTTTTCTTTTAATACATGAATTTATATTTCTTTGTTACATTTTTATCCATAAATATAAACCATAAAAACTTCGATTCTATTCAACTTTATTATTGATATATTTGATTAATCTGACATATCAGGATTCTCGCCACACATTTCACACAACGACGTATCTACGGTATAATAGATGAGAAGACAGAAAAATAAGATATATAGGTGAATCATAGTATCACATGAACTTTTTTCATTTACAAGAAAACGTTGACTTATTTAAGAGAAAACGAAAAGGAGATATTTAGCAGATGATAGAGCTTTAAAAATTTATATTGGAAAAAGTTGATATCGATTAGTTTAGTTTTTCACCGAGAATTAAGCATTTTACACACATGTGGGCGAAAATGTCCATGCACGGTATTAGAAGGGTTAATATACAATTTCGTTATATTTCAAATACTTCTAACATTCTACGAAGTATTTTTAGTTTTTAAGAATATAGACAATGTTTTTTTTTATCTTGAAATGTAATCTAAGTCAACAGGTGGTCGATATGCAAGGTCTTTTATGGATTTTTTCCCATTAATCATAATATTAGATTGCATATTTCATATGCGTAATAGAAAGAATGCCCTCAATTGGACCAAATAAACTTTGTATTTTAATTCTTTTTTTGCATTTGACATACTCCCCTATATTACTAATCGTACTTCTTTGATCGCCATAAATGCTTTTAATAACTGGCGGAGTATGTACGTCACATATTTATGTTTTAAAGAATAAAAAACAAATTCATTTTAATACGTATAAAGTTACTGTATCCAAATAGAAATTGAAATGGCGTAGGATTTAATTCCGTTTTTAATGTTATTAATCACAAATATAAAAATATGTCAAATTGATTGGTATCTACGAAGTAAATAATCTTAACCTGTACTGATACAGGTAAATAGATATGATTAATTATTTGTTTCAATCACTATATCTGATCTGTTTTTTTGCATATGATCATAACTTATATTTTACAGTACTGTTTATTATAATTCATGTATATATGAGTAATCATTGTAAACATAGACAACAAATAATGAGAAATAAAAGTAAAAGCGTCACATACTTAAAAACTACGTATTAAAATATATGTTGTACAAAATCATAGTCGTTTTTTTATTTTTTGATGACTCTTTCTAATATTACCTTGAACTATATACCTTAACTACCTTTATTCTATAGTTTGTTGTAGTTACCAACAACAGCCTATGATATCTACGTTTTTTGTTTTTTTTTCCGTTCTATATGTTCTTATTTTATTAATACGACTATCCTATTGCTAAGTAAATAAATCAACTTTTCGTAGAAAAGTTTCTCTCTCCGTATATATAAGTACCTTGAATAGAGGTTTTATAACATATTTATTCTTTAGTACGTATATATTTTAGAATAATTTTTATCTCACATACAATTTGTAATTAAGTCATGGCTGGTTTCGATTGTCGAAATAAAAATACAATGAATGAAAAATATTTATGTCGGTCTTGCAATCTTCTCCTACGAGATCCTGTTCAACTTCTGTGTGGTCATCGATTTTGTCAAGCTTGTATTGATTCACAACAGTAAAAATCAAGTTGTTTTTTTTCCAAGTTTTTACTATAACTTCTCGTTGTTTGTAGGATGATTCTTGATTGTATACTATGTCACGAAAAAACAAACAAAAACGAAGTAATATAACTATTTGTCTACTCTTTTTTTATTATATTTCAAATATTATTTATTCAGATGTTTTCTGATCGTGGTGTAGTAAAGGACATGACAAAATTAAATATATGGTGTTTTTATTGCCAATGGACTGGTGAATTTAAAAACTATGAAGTAATATAAATTTATATTTGTTATGTATATTATATTGATATACTTTATTAAGAATCATTTAATGATGAAACATTCAAATAGATTTGTTAATGGTAATGTCAAAAACAATGCATTCTCTCAAATTCGACGATTAATTCAAAATGTAGATGAATGTCGAAAACAATTTCGAATGATGATGGAGATGTCAGAAAGAATTTTATCTCAAACATCACCTGATAAAACAAGTATAGAGGAACAAAATGCTCCAGATGAACGACTGCCTCAACAAGAGAACTGTATTGCTTCACATGATGGTACATTGTTATGGAAAATTGATAATGTATTAAGTAGATTAAGTAAGATATATTCTTGTATTAGATATTTACTTATAAGCTTTTATCCTAGATGGAAATAATAATTCTGTTCTTACATCATCACCATTTTATACTTCACCAAGTGGTTATAAAATGTGTGCTCGTATTTATTTAAATGGTAATAATATTGATCAATCAACTTATGCATCTATTTTTCTTATTCTTATGCATGATAATTGTAACGCTATACTTAAATGGTCATTTGATTTTCAAGCCATATTTTGTCTTTATAATCTTAACGATACAAAAAAACATATCATCGAATCATTTCGAACTGATATAAAATCAAGAAGTTTTCAACGACCACGATCCGAAATGAATATTGGTAGTGGTATTCCAAAATTTTTTTCATCATCTGTAATTCAACAAGAAAATAGCCCTTATGTTTGTAATGATTCAATATATATTAAAATTATGGTTACAGAAAATAGTATACCTATATCTATTTTACCAAAGATTATGTCTATAGATCCTGCATTACCGGTTTATATTCAACAAGAAATGATTCAAAAAGAAACTGAAAATTATAATATGCAACCATATCAATTAAAATTAACATTAAAATTACGACAAATATGTAACAAATAATGTTTTTTTTCTGTTTTCTAGTGTATATTTTATATTTTAATCTGGAAGTAAATATTATTCAATGATGTTCTACAAGAAACATTTCATTGAAATATAAAAATATTTTAATAGAATCAATTATGTTCATTTTATGATAATTGTAAATCGTAAAATCAAAACCTGATTTTCTTATCAATGTACTTGAAATTTCTTCTCTTATTTAAAAACATACTTGATTTTGAAGAGTTTACATTGACGTAGAAAGTATTATAAATATGCAAGACTGTATTTACCTATTTTATAGCACATAAAAAAACATATAACAAGAAGAGAGTCAAATTATTTTTATAAAATATTAAAAATCGATGTTTGTATTTTTAAAAAAAATAGAACTTACAAAAGTTTTTATGAGAAAGTAATCATTGAGATATTCAATTCAAGATATATGGATACATAGTAGATGAGTAATTATTTTTCTTTGTGCCGAAAATAAGTAAAAATTATTTGGCACTATATTAAATAAGGTAAATATACGAAACAGACCAAAAGATATGTTGATTAGCAGACGAAGACAATAAATGTTAAATAGAAGACTTTGATGAGAATGAAAATTTCTACATATTTTTATAATTTTATTCAGATCTATTGCTAATACTACATCATTGATCACTATGTGCCGAGGCCGAATTTCCCGAGTTCGAAACATGACTAACTATGGCGTCTATTTTTGTGGTAAATTGAATCACAAATTAAAATAGTTAATTAAGATGTTTAAGAGAGTACTTCTTACTCTTTCATTCTATGATATTATTGCAAATGTTAAGGTAACATCATTACCAAAGTCTTATGAGCCTTGATATCTAAGCTATACATTAGCCATAAAATAATTGATCAAATTGAAAAACAATAAACTTTCTTCTCATAATTTTTTTATATCTTGAAATGTATTGAAAGATCAATCCTCCGAGGTTTCAATACGAATTTCTAAAGTGACTGCTAAGGAAAACCTGCCATGTTTATGTAAAAAACGAAATACTCACAATTTTTTTCAAACTAGTTTTATTATTAAATTTCAAGATAAAAATATTATAAAAAGCTCATGAAGTTTTAGCACAATGTTGAAGGAATTTTTACTAAAATATATTTCATTTAGAATCCCAAGTATTTTATTCTCGAGTACTTTGCCTACTTCTATTTGAGCTTGTCTCGTCGTTGATGACAAACACTGTGTATTTAACTGTGTAAAATATTCCAGATCCAGATAAGTATTATATGATAAATTTATTTATCTGTACGTTGATATGTACTATTATTACAAAAATATTGAATAGACAAAAGAGCAAAGTACAAATTCTTTTTGTTATTAAAAAAAGAATGCATGTTTTCGAATGCCTTTCTTTCGTTTTCTATGTACGCATCAATAGATAAGATAGATATATAGATAACAGCAGCAACATTATTCAATAGTTATAAAACAAAAAAAAAGATGCCGGGTCAACAAACATCACTGCCTATTATTGATGTAAGTCCATTGCTTATAACTGATTCAAGTGCTAGTAGTCAAGAAGAAACTGCTAGACAAATTCATCAAGCATGTCGTGATTGGGGATTTTTTTATGTTAAAAATCATGGTATACCAATGAAATTACAAGAAGAATTAATTGACTTTAGTCGAGAATTTTTTGCACAACCTTTAGAAAACAAAATGAAAATAGCAATGAGTAAAGGTGGCCGAGCATGGCGTGGTTATTTTCCAGTTGGTAATGAATTAACAAGTGGAAAACCAGATGGTAAAGAAGGTCTTTATTTTGGTACAGAAATTGATGATGATAATCATTCAAAAGTTCTCAATAAAATACCTTTACATGGACGTAATCAATTTCCATCAATTGGTAAAAATGATGATGAATTTCGTCATGTTATATTAACTTATATGATAGCTGTTGAAAATCTTGGTCGTTTAATCATGTCTGGTATTGCACGTTCACTTAAATTAGATGTAGATTTTTTTGATAAAAATTATTTTCGTAATGAACCAACTTGTCTTTTTCGTATATTTAATTATCCAGCTTCATTCTGTCAACAACAAGGAAATGAAAATTTATGGGGTGTTGGTGAACATACTGATTATGGTATGTTAACCATTTTATTACAAGATGATATTGGAGGTTTACAAGTCAAAACGAGTAAAAATGAATGGATACAAGCACCATCAATAGCAAATACATTTGTATGTAATATTGGTGATATGCTTGAACGAATGTCAGGTGGATATTATAGATCAACACCACATCGTGTACGTAATTTATCAACAACACGTGACCGATTATCATTTCCATTTTTTCTCGATCCAAATTGGGATGCTGAAGTATTACCAGTACCTATGGAAGGGGTAACAGATACTAATGCTAATGATGATGATGCTGAAGATCGATGGGATAAAACAAGTGTGCATACATTTCATGGAACATATGGTGACTATTTATTAGAAAAAGTTAGTCGAGTATTTCCAGATCTTGCTCAAGAACAAACTATTATTGGACCAAATTCATATTAAATGAATATTTCAAAAATCATAAACATAAAGATGTTATTTTGTGCAATAAAGAATTTAATTTCAAATTTTGAAAATATTGTATTCTGATTATTTAAATATATATACATAAAATAATAATATCCTTGGGGGAATTTTTCCTTTTATTATAGCATAAATATACTTAGTCACTATTGTATTCATCTTCGACTATCATGATCAAACATAGTGTAATCTAATCTGATTTAGTGAAGTATGATATGATAAACATTACAAGCAAAAAAGTAAAATGATAATACTAATTACTAGCGACATCACCATAGTTACGATGATAACAATAATATCTATATTTAATAAACTAGATTAATGTAGGAAAGAAAATTCGTTAAAGTTCCTTGATTTTTTTCGTTCTATTTTAATAAATATATGAAAAATATAGGTCTATTATATTTTGATTGGTTACTTTTAGTTCACCAACATGTGATTATTCTTTGTTCTCTGCCATAGATGATTTTAACGACATTTTAACAAATTGAACTTCGCTGGGTTTTTTTCGATCAATGGAGGCAAGTCATCTGTTACATAGTGGTTATTTTAATCCAACCCTTCGATCATGGCATGGTTCTAATACATTGCTTAATATAAATCAATTAATTTATCCAGTATTTGTCACTGATCTCATTCCAGATGAATCAAGCGAAGAAATTCCCAATTTCCCAGAACAACGTCGCTATGGTGTTGATGCTCTCGTTGATCATTTATTACCATTAGTTAATAAAGGTTTAAAAACAATTCTTGTATTTGGTGTAACAACAAGTTCAAATAAATCGTCAAATGGTGAATATGCATCATCAAAAGATTCACCTGTTCGACGATGTTTACCAATATTACGTTCAAAATTTCCTTCGTTAACTATAGCTGTTGATCTTTGTCTATGTGGTTATACATCACATGGACATTGTGGAATTCTTAAAACAGATGGTACAATTGATAATCCAGCATCAATTCAACGTTTAGCTGAAGTCGCATTAAGCTTTGTTCAAGATGGTGCACATATTATAGCACCATCAGATATGATGGATGGACGAATCGATGCAATAAAAAAAATTTTAATACTTAATAACTTAGCAAGTTCAGTTGCTGTTCTTTCTTATTCTTCAAAATTTGCCTCATGTTTTTATGGTCCATTTCGTGATGCAGCTCAATCAGCCCCATCAGCAGGTAATCGTCGTGCTTATCAATTACCTGCTGCATCGACTGGTTTGGCTATTCGAGCTGCTGAACGTGATGTTATTGAAGGAGCGGATATGTTAATGGTAAAACCTGGTGGCCCATTTTTAGATATAATAAAAGAAGTGAAACAACGTTTTCCTCATCATCCATTAGCTGTTTATCAAGTCTCCGGTGAATATGCAATGTTATGGCATGCAGCACGTGCTAATGCTTTTGAATTACGAGCAGCAGTTATTGAAAGTTTAATTGGAATGAGACGTGCCGGTGCAGATATTCTTATTACTTATTTTACACCTCAACTTCTTGATTGGTTAAAAGAAGAATTACAGTATTAGTTTTTATCATCTAACTTTCTGTGTTTTTTTTTTCTAATGGATTTTATCTACATGTTTTTGACATATCACGAATATCTTTTGTTTTTGTTCGTGTCTTAGTTTAAAAAAAAAGACCTCAATGATCATTGATTTTATTTTTTAGAAATATATCTTATAGATTAATTGTCATCGATCTTAGTTTAGAAGAAAACTTATGTCCGACCGACAAAATTCACGTGGACGTGGAGGTTTCGGACGTGGTGGTGGTGGTGGAGGTGGAGGTGGTAGAGGTACACAGTAATCTATACAAAGAAAAAATCGAATAACATTTTTCGTTTTAGGTCGTGGTAGTTTTGGTCGTGGCGGTTTTGGCCGTGGCGGCGGCGGTGGTGGTGGCGGTCGAGGTACCTATCAACTTGATATAAGAGTTTAAATTATATTATTCATTCTAGGCGGCGGTGGTCGTGGTGGTGGTTTTGGTTTTCAAAGTCGCGGTGGAAATGATCGAGGTCGAGGTGGTAATCGTGGTGGTAGTTTCGGCGGTGGAAGAGGTCGAGGTGGTTTTCAAAGTGGAAATCGTGGAGGAGGAAACTTTAGTGAAATAAAACGTGAATTTATGACAGACAGTGTTTATGTTGGACAACTGCCTGCAGATATCAAAGAAAATGATTTAAAAAAACTTTTTCCAAAAGCAAAAAATATAACATTAACTTCAGCTGAAGGTCAACGACCTGGGTAAATTTTGATTTTGATTAGAATTATTCATTGTAATTATATTTTTAGACATGCTTTTGTATCGTTTTCTGATGATGCTTCAGCAGCAGTTGCCGTTAAACAAGGAGCAACTTACAAAAATAATCAACTTAAAGTTGCTTTTCAAACGAAACGTCCCGAACCACAAAAACGATCATCGGACACAAATGATAATTCAGGTTAATATTTAGCGAAAAATTCTATATAATAGATGTTAAGTTAGTTTTATTACGATCAAATTCAAATTGATAAACATTCATTGTTTCATCGAGACTTTGTTTTTCGAAGAAATGCATTTTAGAAACTATTATGATAGCATAGATTTTCATATATTCGTTTTAATTTTCAAATAGGTCCCAATGCGAAAAAGCTTAAAAGTGATACATCTGAAGGAAAAGCAGGATTAACAAGTAATGGTTTACAACCAAAAGGAAAAAAAACAGTGGATTCCGATGATGAAGAAGAAGACGACGACGATGATGATGAGGAATCGGTAAATAATAAATATATTTTCTTCAGTTCATAAAGACGATAATATATTTTAAATTTGTCTAGATGGATTTCAATGCTGGTAATGATTCCGATGATGAAGATGATGAAGATGAATCAGATGAAGATGATGAACAAGAAAAGAAGATTAAACAAACTGTAGCTAAAATGGTTGGTGGTGCAAAATCAGCACCTTCTAAATTAACAGCTGTTAAAAAGAAAAAAGAAGAAGATGATGATGATGAATCGGTAAATTGACTTAAGTGTAAATCATTTTTGATGGTTTTCTCATAGGATGATGATGACGACGACGACGATGATGATAGCGATGATGACGACGTAAATATTGTATGATATTTGCTTT